GAGCCAGGGGCAGGTGACAATGAAGGGGAGGGAAGAGACCAGGGTCTCAATTAATCAGAAAAACTGGGGCAGAGGAAATGTTGCTACCCTAGAAGTCAGGGAAACCTGGGCTTGAGTCCCAGCTCCTTCCTCACAAGCCACTTCACCCTTGGCAAATTGGCTCCAAGCATTGGTTTATCCAAAGCTTTCTGTACCTGTGACTTACCAGTCCTGCAAGAGTAAGCAATGACAAAGACACATTTCCCTATCTGCAAAATGGGCCAAGTAAGCCTTGCGCCAGGGCCCCGGGATGGCAGTGGTGACTGGTAAGCTTGCTGCAGTGCACCACCATGAGAAGCTTGTTTTTTTAATTTTCACCCAAATCTCAAAGAGTGTTATCTGTGCAGAGCAGGGAATAAAAGACTCCCTGACCTCAAATCCTCTGGCCCTTCCTCGGGTCCAGGAGACAGCACAGCAGAGGCAGGCCCCAGGAGGATGCTGCCAATGCTGGGGTCCATTTCCCTTGTGCCCACAGCATCTACTGCCCTCTGGTGGAGGAGTCTGACACAGCCACAGGGACACTGGGCAAGTCACAGGGATTTCTGAGGGGACTGAAGGGAGGGGAGCTGGGGGCTGGAGTGGGCAGAAGAAGGAGAGGGGAAGCGGAGAGGGAGTCCCCTTTACTGAAGGCCTGCTCAGCTCCTAGCCCTTTGCCGGAGTTCCTGGTAACTCTGGGGACCAGTGCCCTGAAGTAAATATCCCTGATCCACAAGAAGGAAATCAAGACTTGGTATGGTTAGGAACAGCCCAGGACTCCCACAGCCAGGACACAAGCTGGGGGGCTGACCTCAAAACCTCTCAGACCACAAGCAGGAAGAGAAACTAAGGCCCCGGAACACCTAGGTGGCTCAGCAGTTGGGCATTGGCCTTCTGGCCTTCCGCTCAGGGTGTGATCTCAAGGTTCTGGGATCAAGTCCCGAGTGGGGCTCCCCGCAGGGAGTCTGCTTCTAACCCTAACCCTAGGCCTATGCCTCTCCTTTCTATGGGTGTCTCTTATTAATAAATAAATAAAATCTTTAAAAGAAAAGAAACTAAGGCCCCCAAGAACCCACGATCTCTTCTCCCAGGAGTAGGACCACTCTGGCCCAGACACCATGGGGAAGCATTCTGGAGGCCCCTGCCGTCTTCCTGTGCCCCCTTCCAGCTGTCTTCTCTCCTAGCCACATCAAGTCCCCAGTCTCCCGTGACACACACACTCACACTCCTGCTTTTAGAGTTCTGGTATACCGAAGACATTCACAAAGAACAGTTCACCTAATTTCCCATTTTAAGATTCACTCACCTCCTCTGCAGCTGCCAACTGTAGTCCCTGTCCTTTGCCAAATGACATGGATCAAAGGCAGGAGATGAAAGGGGGACTGCTTAGGGGACGGTCCACGTACATGGCCAGCAGGCACCACCCGCCCTGGTGGATCCCAGGTGAGAGACTCGACTGTCAGGGGAACCTCTTAGCAAAAGGTGGGCAGTGGAGAGAGTTCCTCTCCTCCCAACTAGTCACACAGAGACCTCTGCCAGGGTGGGCTCATGAGGGGGACAAGGGCATCAGGTTTGAGGGAGTTTTCAGGGTCATAAGGCAGAAAGAAATAGAGACAAGGTGAGAGACAGGGAGAGGAAAGGGATGGTTCTAGCATCACAGCTGGACCTGGCAGCAATGCCCAGGGTCCTGGCCACACTCCAGCTGGGTAATAGCGCCAGTGCAGCCCTAAACTTTAATCAGTGGATCTAAGGCTTGGCCACAAACAGCAGCAAGGAAGATTAGCAGAGACCTGGCAGGGAAAGAGGAGGCGGGCATGTTTGGCCAAGGAAGGGTTGTATGGATCTCTCTTGGATCAGAGTTAAGTGCTTTCAGTACCCCTTCCCAAGAGGTGTGGAGTGAAAGGCTGAGCTACATCAACAGCGAGGGAACAAATCTGACCCACTGAGGCTCAGCTAGAACCCAAAATTCAGCCCCAACTCAGTCTTCCCCAGTCCCAATAAGCTTCAGTGAGACCCCAGGATGTCGGAACAGGGGCAGCTCAAGATGTTCATGCCATGCCTAGTTGGTAGGAGGGGATGTCTCAGCAAAGGAGCTGTGGCACCCCGTTCTCCCCTCCAGGCCAGGCTGCACAGAGGGATGGACGGAATGGGCCACATTCCCACCCCCAGTGTGCTGGGGAGAGGGTGGAAAGTAGGAGGCGACAAATGGTATCAGCTGCCCAGCATAACTTATTAGCATCCAGGCGAGATTAATCAAGCCCAGAAACCTCGAGCAGACCCCTAATTAGTTGCTGCTGATAACTATATTTGTCATGCTCTCCAATTATTCCACTGTAAATTTCAGAGTTTAATTGCACCTTGTTCTTCATTGAAGTGTCACTGTTTGCACACGCTCCCCTAATTCTTTAGCAAATTTGACAAAATTCAGCATTAAATATAGATTATCTTTAGATTTCCATAATTAACACAACCAAACTGTCTCAGGCCTAAATATTTCTCCCAGTGCCATAAATCTGGCCTGTCCCCAGAACCCAGAGAGCTGCTCCCAGCTCCCGGCAGAGGCCTCTGGGAGAACACGCATGAACATGATGGGCCTTTCAGGGCTGGGGTAGGGGTGGTAGGTGAGGCTTCATTGAGGTCATAAACCCAAGGATCACCCTAGCCCCAAATTTACAGGAAGCTTTATCAAGGCTTCTCCCTGGGGTAGCTCAGCTGGTTCCCAGAGTTTAGAAGGCCAGTCTGGCACCGTGGCTGACCTCTGGCCCTGGCAGGTGGGTTAGAGGCAAGAGGGCCAGCCTACTGCCAGCCCGAAAGTCATTTCACCCCACAAAAGCCAAAGGGCCCTTGTTTATGACTTTTTTCCCCATTAAAGCCCACCTTGGTGTTTGACATGCTAGGAACACAACCCAGACAGACAGGAATGCGCTCCATGCCACAAACCCTTCCTGGCACCCTCACTGCCAGTCTTCTCTCCAACCTACTCTCTCCAGACTCACCAGGTGAATATATGTCCAGTCAATTCTAAACACACTCAGATGGGACTCTTAGTTCGGATTGGAGACGGAGGGCGGGGGAAAATTTATGCCCACCTCCAGCATTAGGTTGTGAATCTTTTCCATCAGCCCCAAACTCCAAACTTAATAATGTAACAAAGTCAGCAAGGTGCCCCATTTCCAAGATGACAAAGGGACAGTAGGGGTGAGTGGGACAGGGCAGAGAACCCCTCCAGAGCCCTACCCAGCCCTTGGCCCCTGGTAAGAGAAATATATGTTGGGTTTATTTTATTTATTTTTTTAAAGATTTTTTACTTATTTATTAATGAGAGACACACACACAGAGAGAGAGGCAGAGACACAGGCAGAGGGAGAAGCAGGCTCCCTGCAGGGAGCTCAAGGGGGACTTGATCCCGGGTTTCCAGGATTACGCCCTGGGCAGAAGGCGGCGCTAAACCACTGAGCCACCAGGGGTATCCCATATGTTGGGTTTATCTCAAGTCAAGTCCCTGCTCCTTCCCCAGGCTGGCTTTTTCATGGGCAGCATAGCATCCAGAGCTCAACTGCAACCCAAGACCACCCCCACCGCATTCATGCAAATACACACAAACTCACAGACACACACACAGATAAATACAGGTGCATAGAGACACACTACTGACACCCATGGACACACATACAGACACACAAAATCACATACCAACACACAACATACACACACAGAAACACATACCTGTCTGCCTAAGCCCTGCAGCCAGGGAGCAGCCAGGCAGGGAAATACTCTCTCCCCAGAAACCAGTGCCATCCCAGAGTCTTGCTGTGCCGTAGGGCCAGAATGGGCTGGGGACTCCAGCCGACAGCACCTGCAGGCCTCGTGCCCTCCCTATGGCCTGCCAGCGCAGCACTCCTCAGTTTCCCTGAGGAAGCTATGGTGGTGGTTGAGGGGCTGAAGGTGGGAGCCGGCAGTAATATTGAGAAGCCTCAAAGTGTATTCACAGCAAATTTGGAGGAAAATCAATGGCCTTTAATGATATTTGATTTTTCTCCATGATGGGCCGGGCTGGGGGTAACGTGGGGGAAATTTCTGGGCACAACATGGGAGATGAGCCAGGACACAGGATGCAGGACTGGGCAGCCAGAGTAAGAAGCTCCAGGCCCAGGAGCCACAGGGACAGGCAGAGACAGAAGACGAATAGATAGGATATGGGGCTGCCATCCAGCACCTCCCAGACAGGGTCCCTGGTCCGGCTTGGGTATCTGCCATGGCTGAGCTGGGTTCTGGATCCATGAGTCTGGATAGACTGCCCTCAGGCTATGAAGGGCTGGCCAAGGCCTTGAACAGTGGAAGTGGTCACCAGAGGGTAAGGAGTATGTAGCCCATTTGGGGTCACTGGCTTTGAAAGATGGTGGGAGGCAATTATCTGGGATTAACCCTGGTCACTAGTTTACTGAGCACCTGTCAGGCTCCAAGCTCCTGTTATTGCCATTCTGTCAACCCTGTAAGAGAGGTGACAGCCCCTTGCTCAGATGAGGAAGACGAGAGTCAGAAAAGTGAAAGAAATTGCCTGAAGTCAGGCAGCTGGAGAGTGCCTCAGGCAGTACCTGGATCAAGGTCTGCCAGGCTCTGCAGGCTCTGTATCATGCATTGTGCTCACAAGCAGCCCCCTTGCAGATGAGGAAGGAGACACATCTTTCTCTCTCTTCTCTTCCAGCCCCAGGCTCCAAGATCCTCGGGCCATCTGGGTCAGAGCTTGGGTCGAAGCTCCAGGCTGATACGAACTCAGGAAATCTCCATAGATAGACCCCAATACAAGACTTCCCCAGGCACAGAGGAAGGTACACCTGTCACCTGCAATCCTGCCCACCCCACCCCCCACCTCACTGGCTAAAGTTTTGAGTTCCCAATCCTTCCTTACTGAATCATAGAAGTAATCAGAGGCCATCAATCCAACTTTAATATCCTCTCCCTGAAGTTCCTGTGCAACATCTTACCTGAATGGTCATCTGAGTGCTTATACTCCTCCAGTGACAGGGAATTCATTACCTCTAAAGTACTCCGTTCAACCTCTGGAATCCTGTTAGATTGAGCTGCTGTCTCCCTGAGCTTCCCACTGGTTCTAGTCCTGATGTCTGAGTCACTGCCCCACCCAATGAGCTAAAGATGTTGACAGAATTGCTGACAGTGGAGAGAAGCAACCATTTTGGATGGACTCAGCAATGATTTCTTGGATCTGATACCAAAAGCACAGGCAACAAAAGAAAAAATAGATAAATGAAACTAAATCAAAATTTAAAACTTCTGGGCATTAGAGGACACCTTCAATGGAGTGAAGAAGTGCTTCTCCCTCTGCCTGTGTCTCTGTCTCTCTCTCTGTGTCTCTCATGAATAAATAAATAAAATCTTTAAAAAAAAGAAACAAAACATACAAGCAAAGGGAAAAAAATGAGAAAGAGGCAAATCAAGAAATAGACTATTTTTTAAAAAGGTTTTATTTATTTGACAGAGGGAGAGAACAAGCAGGGGGAGCAGCAGGCAGAGAGGCAGGGAGAAGCTCAACTTCCCGTTGAGTGGAGTCTGATGTGGGGCTCCAATCCAGGATCCTGGGATCATGACCTGAGCCGAAGGCAGACGCTCAACCAACTGAGCCACCCAGGTGCCCCAAGAAATAGACCCCTTTTTTAAAAAAGATTATTTATTTACTTATTTGAGAGAGAGAAAGAAAGCACAAGCAGGGGAGAGGGGGAGGGGGAGAAGCAGACTCTCCACCGAGCAGGGAGCCCATGCAGGGCTCCATCCCAGGACCTGAGATCATGACCTGCGCCAAAGGTAGATGCTCAACTGAGCCCCCCAGATGCCCAAGAAACTGACTCTTAATTATAGAGAACAAACTGATGGTGACCAGAGAGGAGGGAAGTGGGGGATGGGGAGAATAGGTGATGGGAGTTAAGGAGGGCACTTGTCATGATGAACACCAGGTGATGTATGGAAATATTGAATCCCTATATTGTACACCTGAACTTAATATAACAGTGTATATTAACTATACTGTAATTAAAAGAAAAAAATTGGGCAAAGGACTGGAATAAACGTGTATCCAAGGATAATACACACTTGGCCAACAAACATAGGAAAATATGCTCTGTATCACTAGTCATTAAGGAAATTAAACCCACAATGAGATATCACTTCACAACCATTAAGATAACTATGCTAAAAAAAAAAAAAAAACAGAAAGTAAATGTTGAGGCACCTGGGTGACTCAGTCAGTTAAGTGCCTGACTCTTTTGGTTTCGGCACAGGTCATGATCTCACAGTCGTGAGATCAGGCTCCGAGCTGGGTGTGGAGCTTCCTTAAAATTCTCTCCCCACCCCTCTCTCTGTCCCTCCAACACTTGCTGTCTCTCAAAAAAAAAAAAAAGTAGTTGGCAAGGATGTGGAAAAATTGGAGCCCTTGTGTGTTGGTGGGAGGATGTAATGGTTATAGCCACTATGGAAAACAGTTATGGAGATTCCTAAAAAATTAAAAATAGAACTACCCTATGATTCAGCAATCCCACTTTTAGATCTATATCTGAAAGAACTGAAAACACGATATCAAAGAGATATTTGTACACACACGTTCATTGCCGCATTATTCACCAAGCCAAGAGATGGAAGCCACCCAAGTGTCTATCATTCCATAAATGGATAAGTAAAATGTGGTATATACATACTGTGGAATATTATTCAGCCTTAAAAATGAGGAAAATCTTGTCACATGCCACATGGATGAACCTTGAAGGCATTAGGCTAAATGAAATAAGCCAGTCATAAAAAGACAAATATTGTATGATTCCACTTATATGTGTCTCTAAAGTTGTCATGTACATAGATACATGGAAAATAGAATGGTGGGGATCCCTGGGTGGCTCAGTGGTTTAGTGCCTGCCTTCACCCCAGGGCGTGATCCTGGAGTCCCTCTGCCTGTGTTTCTGGTTCTCTCTCTCTCTGTGTCTCTCATGAATGAATAAATAAAATCTTAAAAAAAAATAGAATGGTGGTTGTCAGGGGCTGGGTGAGGGGAACAGGGAGTTAGAATTTGATGGGTATAGAGTTTCAGTTCAGTTTCAGATGGAGCAGCTCTGCTGCACCACAGTGTGAATAAACTTAACCATACACTTAAAAATGGTTAAGGAGCACCTGAGTGGCTCAGTTGGTTGAGCGTCTGACTCTTGGTTTGGGCTCAGGTCATGATCTCAGAGTCATGAGATTGAGCCCCAATCAGCTCTGCTTGGGATTCCTTCTCCCTCTCCTCCCCCTCTGCTCCTCCCCATCCTCCTCTGCTTGCCTGCACATGTGCACTCACACACACTCTCTCTCTCTCTCTCAAATAAATAAAATCTTTTATAAAAATGGTTAAGGGACACCTGGGGGGGCTCAGCAATTGAGCATCTGCCTTTGGCTCAGGGCGTGATCCCGGATTTTGGGGATCGAGTCCCACGTTGGGCTTCCTGCATGGAGTCTGCTTCTCCTCCCTCTACCTGTGTCTCTCTGCCTGTGTCTCTCATGAATAAATAAATAAAATCTTTAAGAAAATAATAAAAATAATAAATAATAAAAAAATGGTTAAGATGGTAACCAAAAAAAAGGGGGGGGGGACAGAAAAGCAATGGTTTTGGAGGCAGACAAAACTGGGCTTGAATCCCAGCCCTGCCATTTCCTGTGTGTCCTGGGGTAAGTTGCCAAATATCTCTGAGCCTCATTGTCCTCAACTATACAACAGAGAGTGAGAGAATCTAACTGGGTTGCTGTGAGTATTAGCTCACTGGCAAAGCAGTGAAGGGCCTGGGACATTGGTGTGAAACTCTAGGCATGGAGTTGCAGAAGCAGCAGAACCATGTTCTGGAAGCTACCCTAGTAGAAGCTGCCTAGGCCTCTCAGATTGGAGTTGGGGCAACTATCAGCCCAGGACTGACCATCCGTCCCAAGCCCCAGACAGCCCCTGGCCCCATTCCTTCTCCCACCCATTCTCTCCTTTTCTCCTTATTCCTCACCTCCCCCCCCCCACAGCCACACCGGCCCCTCTGGGAGCCTAGAGCACACAAAGCATCACCCCCCACCCCCCCACCCCCCACCCTCTGCCAGAGAGTCTTTGTACTTACCTGATGTTTTCACTGCCCAGAATGCCCTCCAATGGCCCAGTCCCTCATTCTCTTCAGGGCTTGACTTAAAGGTCACCTTTTCAAAGAACCTCATCCTTCATGAGCCTATTTACAATGTCACCTCCCCTCAATCACTGCACTTCCATCCCTTTTTCCTGCTCTATTTCTTGCATAACACATTATAGAATTTTACTTATTGATTTTTTACTTGCTTACTGCTGTATTCCCAGCTGGCACATAGTAGGTGCTCAACAAATCTTGTTAACCCACAGCATGAGCCAAGCCTTGGCCTTCTGTCTTCAGAGGCCCTCTGCCCCATCCTCTACACCCATTCTAGTGGCAGGGTCTGCAGCTTTAAGGACTCCCACTCCTGGGTCCTGGCAAGGGAGGGGGGGAGCCCCACTTCCCCTGCAGCCCCAGGCTCCCCAGCTGCCACTCCATGCAGTCTGGGCACCAATCCTGTCCATCAATATCGGCCTCCAGCAGCCACAGTTGGACGCCCACCCCAATCGATAACCAGCGGCTGCCATCGATCAGCCCCCAGGGTATCAGGAGCCAGGGGAGAGGCAAGAAGAGGGACAGACAGGCTGTGGAGACACAGCCCTAGAGAGGGAGCAGCAACAGGGAACCCCCAGGGACAGGCAGACAGGACAGAGATCATCAGAAAATAGGCAGAGCTGAGAGAGAGGCACCAGACCCCAAAGCTAGGAAGGGCAAGGAGGCAGACACAGAGGGAGGCCCCTGAGAAAGAAGGAAGAGGCCAGCAAGGAAGAGTTATTGAAGTCCTACCATGTGCCACGAGCATCTTTTCTCGAACCTCAGCACAACCCTGGCAGAAATGTCATTGGTGCTATTTTACTTTATTTTAAAGATTTTATTTATTCATGAGAGACACAGGAAGAGAGGCAGAGACACAGGCAGAGGGAGAAGCAGGTTCCCCACAGGGAGCCTGATGCAGGACTCTATCCCCAGGCCCTGGGATCATGCCCTGAGCCCAAGACCAATGCTCAACCACTGAGCCACCCAGGTGTCCCACTAATGCTATTTTATAAGGAGGAAAACAAGCATAGAGGTTGAGAAATTTGACCGAAATCTGAGCCTTTATTTGGGAGCAGGGCCAGGATTTAAACCTAAATTTGGGTGTCTCTGGGAGTCCAGGCTCTTTTGCTGCATCCCACAATAGATAGCTCTGAGCCCTCTATGCTGGCCTCCCAGCCTGGGTATACCACCTAGCTGAGTGGGGAGCTGGTGTTAAGTGGCCCTCACCCCGCTCTGCTGGGATGCCCTGCTTACAGATCGTCAGGATGGTTCAGGAGAGCTGGAGTTAGGAGAGGGCTAGGGGTACTGCGTGGGGGCAGGATTGGTGTGGTGGGGGTGTGGGGAGGGTGGCTGTGTGCAGATTTGGCTTGGCCTCCTCAGCCACAGGCATCCTAGCTGATGCTTGAGCTGGAGGCTCTCTCCTTCCAAGCCTGACTCCCCACCCTCCATCCTTGACCCCCTATAAACCCCTTTTTTTTAAATTTTTATTTATTTATGATAGTTACACACACAGAGAGAGAGAGAGGCAGAGACATAGGCAGAGGGAGAAGCAGGCTCCATGCACCGGGAGCCCAATGTGGGATTCGATCCTGGGTCTCCAGGATCGCGCCCTGGGCCAAAGGCAGGCGCCAAACTGCTGCGCCACCCAGGGATCCCCCTATAAACCCTTTTAATTGCCACAGCATGGGCTTAGGCAAGGTACTCAACCTCTCTGGGCCCCAGCTTCCTATCTATGAACCAAAGGTAATAGTGCCTATCCCAAGGTATCATGAGGATTAAATGAGATGAAGCATGTAAAACCGTTTAGCACAAGCTAAGTATATAATGAACGTTAGTAGCATCACCGTCATCCTCATCACCCTGCTCCAAGCACACGGCTTCGGGGGCCCTTCCCCGCCATAGTGAGACTGTATTAAGTACGTGTGTTGCTCTCAGGGCTGATTCAACCAAGATCCAGCCCCTTGCCATGCCTGACCCAAGGCTAGTATCGTCCCCCCCATCTACGGGAAGGGCATCTGTGCGAGGCCTGGATGCACATGGGTCTCAGCAAGGCCGAAGGCTGAGATGTTCTACAGAGCATCCCCTTGCTCTCAATGAGCTCCTTTGTCTCAGAGAATCCAGAGCAGCTGTGGCTAGGACTCATTTGTGTCTTGCCTTCTCTGAAAGTGGAAGGGGATAGCCAGCTGGAATTGTGGGGCGATTTGCCCCCAGCTGACAACAGAGAAGAGGGGGAGGCCGGTAGTCTCCAAACTCAGGACCTGCTCACATGTTCATTTGTGATTGTTAAATACCCAGTATGTGCCTGGCCCTGGGCAGGGACCAGAGACTATAAAATGAGGAAAGAGGGACACCTGGGTGGCTCAGTGGGTGGGCGCCTGCCTTGGGCTTAGGTTGTGATCGGGGCTCTGGGATCGAGTCCCACATCAGGCTTCCTGCAAGCCTGCTTCTCCCTCTGCCTGTGTCTCTGCCTCTCTCTCTCAGTCTGTGTCTCTCATGAATAAATAAATAAATCTTTTTAAAAAATGAATAAATAAATAAAATGAGGAAAGCTCATTCCTGCCCCTCTCCTATAAAGGGGGGGGGTGTCCTAAAGGTAGGAGGGGCTGCAGAGGCCTATGGAAGCAAGGGGCTTACTGGAAGGTACCAAGCCCACCGTCTTGCCGCCCCCCTCATTTGGGAATTTGTGCCTTGGTTTCTTCTCTCTAGAGGAAACTGCTCAGCTCACTGACATTTTTTTTGAGACTATGGCTCAATCACAAAAGGGGACACTTCACAGAGTCTCTCTTCTGACACCCACAAACCTCAGCAAAAAAGCCTCAAGTCTGAGAGGAAGAGGAGGTGAAGAGGTGGCAGGAGAAAGCAGGGCGGGCCAAGTTCAGCTGGCTGCAGGGCTGGGACAGGGAGAGGCCCAGGGCCAGCTCCTCCTTCCCGGCCCACCGCTGGTGAAGGGTATCCTCTGAAATGAAATATTGTGACTGAGGGGGCACAGCTGGGGTGAGGGGCAGGCATTTCCATAAGAATCCTTCTTCTTTAAGTGTCTGGAGGGGAACGTGGTTTAGAAGCATCCTTCCCAGAGCCCAAGATCTAAATCTCCAGGTCCTAATTCATGGATCAGCCCCACTCCTTTTCCCAGTCTGGGGAAGAAACTGGGACAATTAAGTGGGGCAGAGCTTATGCCCTTTCCTGTTTCTCTAAATGTGGCTGCTCCCCCACCCCCACCCCCACCTGCAGTCAGCTAAACAAGGTTCTGCAATTTAAAAAGATAATTCAGGGAGTTGTGTCTGCAAAATAACAGTGGCTGCCATTATTGAGAGCTTAGTTCTCTGGGCCCTGCGCTACCATACCATAGGGAGGCTATCCCGGTTTTACAGAAGCAAGTGCACATCCTAGAGAATAAGTGACTTGCCTTAGGTCAAGGTAGATCAGGATTAGAACCCAAGACCATACTGCTCACATAGAGTCACAGATTTGAAAGGAAGAAAGTGTCCAGATTGGGATGCAGTGGGGCTGAGAGACTAGAATTTACCAATGAGAGATTGAGGGGGGGTAGAGAGAAAAAGAGGCCAGTCCCAGGTACTACGTCCCCTGACCAGGCCTCCAGGACCCTGGAGTAGCAGACAGCCTCCTGGCCAGTGGCCCCCTCTCTGTCACATAAAACCCTCTCCATGTGCATCTCAGTCCAGACCTAGGAGCAGGCCACATTGAGCTCTGGCTGAGTAGGGGGCAGTTAGAACTTTCTGGAGCACCTCCCCCAGTAGGATGAGCTGAAGACCACCAGGGAGGTGTTAATGAAACAGGGAAGCTGTGAACAGACCCAGGAGTGATTCTAATCTGACACCTCCACCCTAGCCCCCACCAGTAATGAGCTGGAACCTGCCCTTCTCCCCAGAGAGGAGGGTGCGGGGGAGAAGAGGAAATCCTTGGGTATCTTTGTAGCCTCGGATGCCTCCTTTCTTCCTCAGCATCACCATCACCACCATCATCATTTTCACTGCAATAAAAAGCTCACATTATTAAGTACCTACTGTGTCCTTTGCACTGTGCTAAGTCCGTTTCCTAAATCCAATAATGAATTGTCACCACGAAGTATGTGGTAGGTACTATCCTTGTCTCCATTTTACAGGTGAAGAAACTGAGGCTCAGTTAAGTGATTGGCCTGAGGCAGACCCAATGTTTGGACCCAGGCCTGTCACACTCAGAAGTCTCCGTTCCTTTTTTTTTTTTTTTGTAATAATAAATTTATTTTTTATTGGTGTTCAATTTGCCAACATACAGAATAACATCCAGTGCTCATCCCGTCAAGTGCCCCCCTCAGTGCCCACCACCCTGTCACCCTCACCCCCTGCCCTCCTCCCCTTCCACCACCCCTAGTTCGTTTCCCAGAGTTAGGAGTCTTCCATGTTCTGTCTCCCAGAAGTCTCCGTTCCTAATGCCTTTACTACGTGCCTCATAGCATGGCCCCACCAAATTCCTCAGTAGGAAGGTAGATGGAGTGGGAATGCTCCCCCGTCTGGAGACAGGCAGAGGAGCTGGACTGTTGGGACACTGGGGGTGGGCTCACAGCTCCATGCTGGGAGGCCTATACGTGTGGCCGCAGAGCTGGAGCTGGTGTGGTACAAGAAAGGCAGCAAGCTCACCCTGCATCCAGAGATTCCAGAACTAGAGAGACAAAGGGAAGAAGAGGATCCTAGCCCTATCACTGAGCCTCATACTGTCCCTATGTGCTCTTCCGGTCTTCTTTCCATATGTGTGCAAAGAGAGTTGGGTGAGGGGGCTCCAGGGAGGGACCTCCAGCTCTACCCACTGCCTGGGGAAAGGGATGGAGAGGGTCATTGGCCTAGTGTGTGTGTGTGTGTGTGTGTGTGTGTGTGTGTGTGTGTGTGTAGAGGGGGTGCTGTTAGAAGACTCCTCCCTCCTGGTCCTGGAGGGAGGGGTTGAGCAGCTCTGTGAGTGGAGTCCCATGTTTGTAAACATCATTAATCAGGGATTAGCAGATGGGCATGCTAATTGCACCTGTGGAAGTCGGAGACCTCAAGGTTGATTACATTTACAAACTGTGGGGATCCCTGGCGCCTGGCCCTGCAAGAGTGATGGGGGAGGGTCTAATTTAGGACCTCAGCCTGGGGGAGGGAGCTGGCAATTTAACCTCCGGCCAAAAAAAATTGCAGCCCCGGAGGGGGCTGGGGTGCTGGCCACAATTTAGCTATTCTGGAATACCAGCCTTCTGGGACCCTTCCCCTCTTGGCTGGGGAGCCCTGACAAAGGAGGAGCTTGCCAATGTCATTCCAACCCCCTCCCTCTCCAGCTCCCTCCAGCTGCTCTCAGAGGTAAATCGCATGTTGCAGCTGAAATAGGCCCTAGTCTATGGGGAAATTGAGGCCAGGTTGGTAGGACGGCAGAGCCCATGCCCTCAGATGCTGCAAGAACAGCTGCCATGCTCCTCCAGGACTGGACTGAGGGCTTTACATGCATGAGCTCATTTGATCTGCACCCCGACCCTCTGAAGTGGAGGCTATCGGAAAAGTTAAGGGATCTGTCCATATTTACACTATGAGCAAGTCTGAGTTGGAACTCAAAGCAAGCACTACTTCACGGCCAGGGTCATGTTCTTAACCACCACTGCTCCCCTCTGGCTTCATTCTGACCCTGCCCTGCAGGGGACGGACCCCAACCAGCCCCCCTTCATACCCACAGCCACGGACACCCCGGGTCCTGTGTACTCAATCATGCTTGCTGAGCAGTCTCTGTGCCAGGCACTGCCCTGTGTCAGCGACCAGAGGCCACCCCAAGGAAATCCAGACTTCTCCTTCACCTTAGGCTCTCAGGTGCTTTCTCTTTGTCTTAATGCCTGGTTTGCGTCACATAATTACATACCTATGTGCGCATGGCAGGTAATCACGGCCTCAATCCCCTTTGGTTCAAGTGATCCTGACTTCCCAGAGGCCAGACAGCCTGTTGCCCAAGGGATGAAGCAGGGAGGAGCCCCCTGTGCTTGGCTCTTAGCCCCCAGAGTGGCACTTTAGAGAGTGGCCCTCTAGATGGCTCAGACTCTTGGGATCTGGAAAAGTGATGAACACCGTGCCCAAAGCAGGGTAGATTAGGTTCCAGACACTACATGAGAGTCCGTGGGCAGAAGAACAGCCTCTGAACCCCGAGTACCCCCAACCACAGCTTCCAGGTTTCATGCTGGGTTTGGTCCTAGAGAGCAGAGCTCAATTCTGTACTGCCGCATGGAGGGAACACCAGGACATCTCAGTTAATTTCCATCAAGTCTACAAATCTGGATTCTCCAGAGACACAGAACCAACAAGTGATGCATACCCATATCCCTATCTGTATACACATGTATACACATTTGCTTATTATGAAGACTTGGCTCACTTGATTATAAGACTGGCATGTCCCAGCTCTGCAGGGTTGAGGGAGCAAGCTGGAAGCCCGGGAGAGCTGATGACACAGTTCCCATCTGAAGGCCACCAGCAGGCTCAAGACCAGAAAAGAGCCCATGTTTCGGTTCCAAAAGGCAGGAAGAATTCTTATCAGGGGAGTGTCAGCCTTCCCACCACAACCCCCTTCAGGCCTTTGATTGAGGCCTGCCCACACTGGAAAGGGCGCTCTCTCCCTTACTCAGTATACCAATTTAAAGTTTATTAGTGATCTATTTATTAATAATCTCTACACCCAACGTGGGGCTCGAACTTACAACCCCAAGGTCAAGAGTCACATGTTCTTCAGACTGAGCCAGCCAGGTGCCCCTCAGTCTACCAATTTAAATGTTCATCTCATCCAAAAAACACCTTCACAGAAACACTTGGAATAACTTTTAAGGTTTGGAATAAGGTTTGGCCAAACAGCTGGGTATCCCATGGCCCAGGCAACTTGATATCTAAACTGAGCTGTTACAGCCACGTCTGTATTATCACATGCTAGTCCTGGGGTGCACAACACTTAGGTTTACAGAATGTTTTTGCTGATACTCTCTTTATTCTTACAAATCCTTGTCGGGGGGTGGGTACTGGGGCAAGTGCTGAAGGCACTGTCCCTATTTTACAGATGAGGAGGCTGGGAAGCTATCCAGGCCAAAAGCTGTGGAGCCAGGGCTGGATGCAGCACCTTCTAAGAACCTTTAGGCACAGATGAAAGGTTAACTGGCCCAAGCTTTCAGACATGCACTCAAAAGCGTGGGTGTGGGGGCACCTGGGTGGCTCAGTGGTTGAGCATCTGCCTTTGGCTCACGGCGTGATGCTGGGGTCCTGAGATCGAGTCCCGCATTGGGCTCCCCACGGGGAGCCTGCTTCTCCCTCTGCCTCTGTGTCGCTCATGAGTAAATAAATAAGATCTTAAAAAAAAACACAGGTGTGAATGATTTAGAAGCAGTTTTTTGGACACGAGAACGTGGTTTCAAAGACCAGTGATTCTCGAACCTGGTGACACAGTGGCGTCAACTGGGGAGCCCTAAGAAACATGGGACCGGTCTCCTTCCCCAGAGATTCTGATCTAATCAGCTTGATGCCTCTGGGCATCTGGAATATTAAAGCTGTTACCACCACCACATACATCCTCAACCCTGATCTATGGAGTTTTATGAAAGGGTTTCTTCTTCTTTCTCTTTTAAAAAGACTTTATTTATTCATGAGAGACAGAGAGAGAGAGAGAGAGAGAGAGAGAGAGAGAGAGAGAAAGAGAGAGAAAGGCAGAGACACAGGCTGAGAGAGAAGCAGGCTCCTCACCAGGATCCCAGCCCCCTGGGATCATGACCTGAGCCAAAGGCAAAACCCTCAACCGCTGAGCCACCCAGGTGCCCCTCTTCCTCTTTCTTGAGAGGAAAAACCTTTAGAGGCATCTTAGACCCTCCTAATGTCTTTCTAAATTGGCATCCCCATCAAAATTCCAAGATCAATTCATTCCAAAGAGAAAAGAATGGTACTATTTATCGAGCACCACCGGGTGGGAGGCACCCAGCTCACATTGCCCTCTCTATTGTCCCACAACTTGGAAAGGTAGGATGATCCCCATTCTCCAACGAGGAGATGGGGGCTCCAGTGGGAAAGGAACCTGCCTACGATCACACAGCAATCAGGACTTGAACTTAGGTTGCTGTCCTCCAGATCCATGCTCTGGAGCAGTGCTTCCCAACTAGGGGCAATTGTCTTCCAGGGGACCTTTGGCAATGTCGGGAGGCATTTTTGGTTGTCACAACAAGGGACAGGGGTGCTACTGGCATCCAGTGGGGTAGAAGCCAGGGATGTTGCTGAACATCCTACACCGCACAGGCCAAGCCGTCACACCAGAAAGTTATCTGGCCTAGGGTGTCACTACTGAAGTCCAGAAACCTTGCTCCAGTGGTTCTCAGCCTGGGCTATGCCTCAGACTCATTTGGGGGCTTTAAGAATCCTGATACCCAGGCTGCCCCCTGACCATTTACACCAGAGTCTCTGGGGTTGGTCCCCAGTGTTAGTTGTTTTTGAGTTTACCAGATGGTTCCAATGTGCAGCCAGGACTGCTCTAAACTACTATACTGGGGGCTTCTGCTCCATTTGTGGGGTCCTGTGGGAGGAGGACCAAACCTATCTGGGTTGTACAGTAAACAGCAACGCTCTGCTTGACCAGGACTCTGATTCATCAGTTCCTTTCTTGGAGATGCACTGACTAATGAGTGGCTGGTGAGGGGTTCTGGAGGGCCAGTGAGGTAAGAGCTGCTGGCTAATCTTTCCCTCACCTCTCTGGGGGCCACCACCAAGAATCTCCCCCAGGTGGCTGTAAAAGCTTCCAGAAAACTGTGGCTCAAAGAGCGAGGCTGCCACCTAGTGGAGGAATGGGACAGGACGGCCCAGGTGATTTTATTTGATTCTCACAAAGAGCCCTGGGGAGGGAGGTGCCAACAAGGGCTCCAAGGCCCAGAAGGATGGAGCCATGTGCTCAAGGTCCCCACTAGGACAGGGTTTGAGCCTGGATTTGCACCCATCTAGTCCACAAGAGGAACCCGGGCTTCCCTCTACATTCTCACACGGGTTCCAGAGGAACAGGACACCTGGACTTGGCTGCCTGATTCCCTTCTTGTCTTCCAGGCAGGGCCCAGGAGCAGAGACCCTCTCTCCCAGCACATCTTAGAGATTTTTTTTTTTTTTCATCTTAGAGATTATTAACAAGCTGCCCCCTCTAACCATAAGCCCAAAATTAAAAGCTCTCCTCTGGTCTCTACTACAGAGCTCGCTGCACACCAAGACAGTGGTTAATAAACAGGGGCCTAGGGACGCCTAGGCAGCTCAGTGGTTGAGCACCTGCCTACAGCTCAGGGCATGATCCAGGGTCTGAGGATTGCGTCCCATATCGGGCTCCCTGTGAAGAGCTTGTTTCTCCCCCTGTGTGTGTCTCTGTCTCTCTTCGTGTGTCTCTCATGAGTAAATAAATAAAATCTTAAAAAAAAAAAAATACCAGGGGCCTGGTTGCACACTGAGGCAAGAGACTTCAGCACATTCAAGCATGTGGGTATGCATGCCCTCCGGCACACACAGCTCAGTCCAAGTCAGCTCCCATTTTGTCTCTCTCATTCTGATCCTGAGGATAGTCCCGGGTGCTGTGCCAGCCCAGGCCCTTCTGATGTGGCTGAGGGTTCCCGGGGGTCTTGGAGCAGGTGTTCTCTCTTCCTCCCCATAGGGAAATCTTTCCTCTGGCAGCAAATGGAGTGAAGAAGAATTCCTGTGCCGATAGACAAAACGATAAGGGAAAGGGAAAGATAGAGAAGAGGAAGGACCACATGCCAGCCACGCCCTCATCCTACTGCAAGAGGACGCATTTCCCCCATCTGGCACATACAGTGACGGAGACAGAGAAAGCCAGAGAAACTTGCTTGAGGTAGAAGAGCCGCATGTATGTGATCAGAGGGCAGGAGGTCGGGCAACAGTAGACTCACCTGCAGCCACGGAGACATTCAAGGACTCGAGTTCAGGAGGCAGCTGCCGGCCGGGCAGGATGGTAAGGAGTAGCTGGCAGGATGCCTGCACCGCCTGGGACAGACCAGAGCCCTCATTACCTGCAGGGCACAGAGGCAGAGGGTTAGGGATGCCCCAGCTACACATGTACATCTGGACAAGGAAAAGCAGGGATGTCTACCTACCCAGCACTAGGAGAGTAGGCTGGTCCCAGAGGAACTCCAAGCAGCTAGTGATGGGGATCTCAGAGGATGGGGACATCTCAGGCCTTGGGCAGGCCACCGTGCCAGCCACGAGCCAGCCCTGCCGGGCTTTGGCCTAAAGAGAAGAAATCCAGTTCTGGCTCACCAAACCTTCCTCGGGCAAGGAGCTGGCCTTGCCCATATAGTCAGTTACTCCCTCACTGATCCACCAATTCAGGCAATAGTTATTAAGCCCCTAGAACAGGCAGGCTCTGTCCTAGGACTTAGGACAGACAGGGCAGAGAACAAAACGGGCTAAAATCCCAGCCATCTGGCAGAAGGGTGATTGAGGGTCCCACTGAGGTGAGCGGGAGGATAGAGTACTGTGTAGGCTTTTGGGGGAAGAAGAATCTAGGGAGAGATGAGCAAGTGCAAAGGCTGAGAGGCTGCTGCTTTTGCGACACGTGTGAGGAATGGTGGCCCCGCGGGAAGGGAGCCACTGAGATGCAGAGGGAACAAAAGGCCACCTAAGGCAGGACCTCAAAGGCCACTGAAAGACTTTGGCTTTTATTCTGGGAGAGCTGTATAGGCTTTTTTTTTTTTTTTTTTTTTTTTAAGATTTCATTTATTTATTTGAGAGAGAGAGAGAAAGAGCAAGTGTGCACACACAAGCAGGGACAGTGGCAGAGGCAGGGGGACAAGCAGACTCCCTGCTGAGCAGGTAACCCAATGCAAGGCTTGATCCCAGGACCCTAAGATCATAACCTAAGCCAAAGGCAGATGGCCAACTGACTGCACCCCCCAGGTGCCCTGCAGTAAAGGCTTTGAGCAAAGAACAGAATCACTCTGCCAGCGATGTAGAGGGCCAACAGGAGACTGGTTAGGACATTTCCACAACACTGCAGGCAAGAGATGATGGTGGCCTGCACCAGGGTGGGAGCTGCAGAGATGGTGAAGATTGCTAGGAACACAAAAATAACTTCAAGGTAAAACTGAAAGAATCTGCTGATAGGTGTGGGCCATAGGCTATGAGAGCAGGAAGAAGGATCAAGGCCACCACAGCTTTGGGCCTAAACAAAGGGATGCAGTTGCCATTGGCTGAGCTGGATAAGTCTACACAAGGAAGTGCTCAGCTTTGGAAATGTGAAGTTTGAAATGCCCCTCAGACCACAAAAGAAGCTGCTGAATCTGGGCCTCCCGAGTAAGATCCAGGCTAGGATATACATTTGGGAGCCATCCAAGTGTAGATGGTATTTAAAGCCTTGAGACTGGATGAAACTAAGAAATGAACCCAGAATAGAGGAGGGGGCGAATAGTCAGAGGAGTAGCCAGATGCAAAGCAAGACTGCCCCCTTGTGTCCAGCAAGAGAAGCACAGCCGAAGACAGAAACCTGGACCAGGAGAGGGTTTTCCTTAGGTGTTTACCCCTTCCTGGATATCAAAGTTGTTTGGTGGTGGTGGTTTGTCTGGGTTTTTGGTTTTTTTCTGGGTGGGGGTGGGGGGATGGGGAAGGCATAGATCAGTCCTTGTTCAGAGAGTCTTTCAAGCTGTGCCCCTACTCGGAACACATGACTCCTGCCACCCAGCTTCTCAAAGCTCAGCAAACGTTTACTGAAAACCTACCGAGAGCGAGGCTCTGAGGTACACTAACTAGCCTCCAGGGCAAAGAGCTATGTATGCCTGGGGAAGGCACGAGGTAAAGGGAATGAAGCCAGAAAGTTTCTAACTTCAGATTCTGTTCTACTAAACCCCTTCCTAAAGGGATTTAGAAGGACATAGGGAACGATCCTACATCCTCCTCTTCCTCCATCAGGTGGCTGCAGAGACTGGGCTTGGTTCCCTTCTGCTCCTTTCCCCACGGCCCCCCTCCACGCCGTTACCTGTAGAAAGCCGGCCAGGTCCTCGGTGGAGAACACGTCCATCACCTCCATAGCCCCTGCGCTGGCCTTGCTGACTACCGGAGTGAGCGGGCAGCTGCAAATGGCCCCATGCCCTGCATTAAGGTGGGTAAACTCAAACCCGGCGCCCTCCCCTCCGCCCCGGCTTCCAAGGGTTAAGGGTGTGAATTCTGACGATGGGAAGCCCTGGCTGAGGGACCCCGGGTCAGGTGCTTAGAGACTCGGCTGCACCCCAAACCAGGGCACATGGGGACTAAGGGACATCGTGCCTGTTTCTCCCGCTGGTGATGACTTTATCCACTCCGAGGAAGTGAGCAGAACGCAGCACGGCCCCAAGATTCCGGGGATCCTGGAGCCTCTCGAGGACGAGCCACAGCCGCCGGGGGTCGTCGCCCGGCCTCGCCTCTTCGACCTCAGTCCAAGGCCGAGGCTTCAGCGGGCTCACCTCCATGCACACGCCCTGGTGCACCTGATGGCGGCACAGGGCGTCCAGCTTCCGCCGTCTGGGCCGCAGAACTGGGATGTCCCGCGCCTCTGCCTCCCGGAGCAGCTCGGCCCGCTCCCCTTGCAACCCGGATCTGCCGGCCTGGAGCAGGAGCCTGGCCACCCGGCGACGGGCGGCCCGCAAGGCCAGGAGACAAGGGGACAGGCCAAACAGAAGCTCCAGTCCCCCCGAAGACCGCGAGGTCGGCGCCAGGTCATCCAGGAGCAGGCGGCTCAGCTCCCCCCCGCCCGGCCGCTCCCCACGCCGCGCCGCGTGGGAGAAATGACAGGCGAAGAGGCGACCGGGACAACGCCAGGTCGCGCCCCCAACGGCCCCGGGCAGCGACATGGCCAGTGGCCCTGCAGCGCTATCAGGAGCGCTCACCCCGCTCCCGGGGCCCCAACACGGAGGAGGGGGACGAGCGCCCCGGGCGCCCCGCGCGCCCCGCAGACTCCCTGGGACCGGCGGCCGCCGCGGCGGCCCCTCCCCCGCCGCCCACGTGGGCCGCCCCGCTTCCGGGTTCGGGCGGCGGACCCGGCCCGCCCACGCACTGCGCATGCCCGGCCGCCCGCGCCTGCCACAGCGCCCCCCGCAGGGCTGGCTGAGCCGCGGCCTTCTCTGTCGCGCTGCCGGCTGGACCTCCCCTGCCAGCCGCTTCATTCTGCGCCCTTCCAGGTCCCAAGAGGTGTCCGGAGGCTGAAGAGCCACATTCACCCAGGCCCCGGCAAACGCCACTTTAAGGGCGTGTGTTCCACCGGGGCAGTCGTGGTGACTCCCTCCCCACATCCAGTCCACCGGCCGGTGCAGAAACTTCCGCGTCCAGCCCTTCCTGGGCACCTCCACCAGGCCCGTCGGGTCCTCAGGATCCTCTGCAGGATCCCAGCAGCCACTTCCTGTCCCGCGGCGGCTCTCTAGGCGCTGTGCCTATCCCTCACCTGCTCACAAGCCACCTGATGCGCTTGGCCCGCAGGTGCTGGGCACACACACTCCTTGCTCGCACTCAGACCTGCGTGATCCACGCAGGAGCTTCCTTTTCCGCCCCATCTCACCCCCGCACTATGTTCTGTGCTGTTGCCACAACACTGGCTGCTCATTCACTTATTCAGCCTCCCACCCTTGTATCCACTGGTGTCCTGTTTCCTGGCTGGCAAACTCCTACCAATTTTCAAGACCCAACCCAAACCCACATCTGCTTTCTAAGGTAAATCCACACTCCTGGAGCGATGCCCCAAATCTACCCACCTTCCCCCTCACCTGGAGGAAATTCTGAGGCACAACTGCCTTGATCACAGAAAAGGAGTTAGAACCTGAAAGACACTCCCAAAGCCAAGGTAGGTTGTTGCAATTTTTCTTTTTTAATTGTCACAGTGAAATTCACTTGGGAGGCAGGCCCTAGTAGTCAGCGGCCATAGTCAGTGTGGAGTGATGACCCCAATAGGAGCCAAGAAGCCAAGCCTGGGCTGGAGAACTATCATGGGGGAAGAGAAAGGACAATGGGGGCAGTAGGGCAGGGAGAGGAAGAAGCCTGGAGCCTTGGATAACCATTCAGATAGAAGGTGAGGGCTTCTCTCTGCCACTTCCTCCCTGAGGGACAGGGCATGGGATGCAAGAAGACAGGGAAAGCCCCCCTCTGGGCCACAGTCCCTTCCCCAGGTCAAAAGGGAGAGACCAAAGACAGCAAACAAACACCAAGGAGCCTAAGAAGGGGACCAAGAATGAGTTAACACATGAAATTATCAGGTATACCACCTCCTCTCCCCAACCCACTGTTCATATTTGTGGTGGAAACAGTCTGATAAGATATAAAAACTTCAAATTTTCTAGCCCCTGGTGGGGTAGGGAGAGGAAGCAGAATCCAGGAGTCCAGGAATCAACACCTAAAATCCAGAGGCAGGAGCCAAGCTGTGAGGGGCGGGGAGGGAAGGCAGAGGTCCCCACAGGAAGCTAGATCACCTGCTCCGTGGGCCTCATCTGGATGTCTCCGATCTGCTGGAAGGCACAAGGCTTGAGGCAGCCAGGACGTTCTTCCCACCCCCTAAGGCCTCCCTGTGGTCCTCCTCTGAGGATGGCTGGGCTCTTCCAAGGGGTGGGCAGTCAAGGCCAGACTCACCTGGACATGTGGAGGTGTGCTGAGGACATAGATGACAGCCTCGGCCACATCCTCAGGCTTGAGACACTGGGGAGCACCAGAGGAAAGGGGTGAAGCGAGGGAAGAACAGACCTCCTACCTCTAACGTCCTCTCCAGCATCCTCATCCCCACCCCAGCCCTCCAGGAGAGGTGACAGGCTGGCTAGAGGGGTGCAGTCTAAAGGCCAGGGTTCCCTCTGCCTTTACATAGGGAGTAAGTGGCTCACCCCATCCCAGGGGGAGGCCCCACCTTTATGCGTTCATAGGTGGCAGCTGCCTTCTCAGGGTCCTTGTCATGGAGTTTGAAGGCGAATTGTGTCTCCACCACTTCTGGAGAGATGCACTGGACCAACAGAGACGGCCTGCTCAGGGGCCGAGCAGAGCCCTGCCTCCACCCTAATCAGAGGCCGAGGCTTGGGGGGACAGGATGGAGACCTGGGGCGGGGGGTGCTGCTTCACAGTGATGGCCACCCAGTGTCCAGCAGCCACCTGGTCCTCCTATGGCTGCGATGCTCACAATGACACCTACCACCTTCTGAGCCCTTATCAGGTCAGTGTTTTATGACAGTGCCCCTTAAAACGTTATAACCAAGTAGGTGTCGTCGTCTCCATTTTACAAGTGCGAAGAGTGACACTTGGAGGGGTCACTCCCAGGGTCATGCGGCCTCCAGGAAAGAGCCCAGAGCCCAGGCTTCCAGCCATGCTTTCTCACACTCCTTGCTTTCTCTCAGCCTCACCCACTGTGTTCCCTTCTGGTCAGCCCCCTCCCACCTCAAAGTCAAGGACCAGGCAGGGGCATGCAAGCAGCAGAAGAGCCCAGGAGCTCTGTGCCCCTCACACTCCTGGCAGCACAGCCTGGACAGTGTGCGTGTGGGGTGGGGAGGGCCTGTGCCTACCCTGTCCCCACCAGGGCCAGGCTGCACCCTCACCGTGGCTCGGATGTGGCTCTGGGCCTCCCGAAGCTCTTGCCTCAGTCCCTCTGTAAGTGCGGTGACGGCATACTTGGTAGCACTATAGAAATGGATCACGGAGTGGGGTGACACTTGGTGACCAGACATGCTGGAGGAAGGAGGAAAGGGGAAAGAAGAGTGAAGCTGCTGAGAGAGCAGCCGCGCCCCCTGCTGCACCAGCCAGCCCCACCACCTAGATGCCACAGGAAGCCTGCTCAAGGGGACCTCTGGAGGCCATTCCAGGGGCCCACTAAGGTAGCTTTCGTGGTTCAAGCAGCTCCTGCAAGCTCTGCACTCCCCAGAAGTCCACCTAGGGGCTGGCACTTGATAACACTATCCTTTCCCTCACCACAATTGTGCCATCTGGCTGTTAACTGGGTATTAAATCCCTATTTTACCACCAATGAAACCGATGCTCAAAAAGGTCAAATGAGCTGCAACAGATCACTCAGCTTGGTGGGAGAGTGGTGACCTGAGACGTTGCCCTCCACCACCTGCCTCACCTGTTGATGTTAATGATATGCCCATCATCCACCTTGCGTTCCTTCATGGACTGGTAGGCTTCCCGGGTGCAAATGCTGAGCGCCAGCACATTCACCTGCAGGCCAGGGAAGGCAATGGGGTGTCCCCAGCTTGGGCCCATCGGAGCTGGTAATAGAGCCAGAGTACGCCCCCACACCCTGGGAGAGTGGCATTCCAAAGTGTCCAGGTCCTACCAGAGACCAACAATGGTTCCAGGGTAACTTGCCTCCCCCTAAAACCACAAGCCCCAGGTGACAGCAGTAGTAGCTCTCCTCCCAGGGTGAAATCCCCTCCCCGGTTTCTACAAACAGGAATGGAAGACCCCCAAACCCATCCAAGATCTTGGACCCTCCCTGTCTTGGCTGTCTCCTCTGCAAACAATAGAATGCCTGCCTTAGAGAACCATCTCCTGTTCTTCCCCAAACACCCTACTCCTCTCTTCTCTGGGTCAGTGTCCCTGGCCCTGCTCACTCTAAAAAAACCTAAAAATCTTTCCTAAGATTGCTTTAAAAATCTCTCTCCTGGGATCCCTGGGTGGTGCAGCGGTTTGGCGCCTGCCTTTGGCCCAGGGCGCGATTCTGGAGACCCGGGATCGAATCCCACGTCGGGCTCCCAGTGCATGGAGCTGCTTCTCCCTCTGCCTATGTCTCTGCCTTTTTCTCTCTCTCTGTGTGACTATCATAAAATAAATAAAAATTAAAAAAAAATTTAAAAATCTCTCTCCTCAAGCACAGACCCTAGCCTCTCCCCACCCTTCCGAGTACTCTCTACTCCCTTCCTGTCCTCTCCCCTCCCCTGTGACTACAAGCAGAGATGGCCTGACCTTCCTTCCCCTGCTTTCCATCTACAAGACTAGATGTGGAGACTCTTTAGAGAGTGGAGTAACTGGTCATAGGATGGCAGAGGAGCTCCCAAGCACATGGGGGTTTTCTGTCTTCCTTGGCCTCTGCCAAAGGTGGCCCCAAGTCCCCACCTTTCATGGAACAAAGGCCTGAAGAAGTATCTCAGCTCTAAAGCTCCGGCCAAGCCCCACCCTTCCCCCATGAGGATAAGCAGAGATAAAGCTTTCAGCAGGTCCTCACTCTCTCTTCCTGAGAGAAGAAACAAGACCTGCCAGGACATTAGATGTTTCTCTTTATCAGGTGTCAGAGCCAGGCATCGGGGACAGAACACTCTCGGTGTGAACCTGCCTCAGCACACATGCCAGAAGGGCACGAGAAGTTTTGAGCCCTGTTTCGGTCCTCTCGGTAATGTATGTATGTGAGGCAGAGAACTCAAATCTGAGGACAGATGGAGTAGGAGAAACAGGTCCCCTAGGACCAAGGGAGTTGATTCTCCTAAGTCTGGTGGTATGGGGTGGCTGGAGATGTCTCAGAAGACAATCCTAATAGGATTTTATAATGCTGAATGAAGCTGAAAGGGTCTTAAAGATTTGAGATAAGTCCCTCATTTTACAGATGAGGAAGTTGAGGTCCAGGTTTAGAGACTCATTTAACTGCAGGTGAGGACTGCAACTCAGACCTCTCAGAAAGCTTTCTGGGGATAGGGGATAGTGCTTCATTCTCATGGTTCATTGTTTCAGTGTTCATTGTTCATTTCTAGGCCCAAGCACCATTTAGGTGCCAAGTCAATTGTGGGGAAAGATGGATCCCCATGGACACACAGCTTTTAATTTCTCGGGATACTTTTATACCCTAATATTGCCCCATAATATAGTCTATAAGTTGAAAACCATGTCCTGAAGGCTGTGTTTGATCTATACAAAATTTTAAAACACTTTTAGTTCACTCCCAATGTGTACTGGGAGGTTTCATTCACTCCACAAATACTGAGCATCTACTGAATATCTATTATGGGCAGAGAATAAGCCAGACAAAAATCCTTGCCTTGGGAGCACCTGAGTGACTTAGTGGTTGAGCGACTGCCTTTGGCTCGAGTTGTGATCCCAGGACTCAGGTTCTGCCCACATTGGGCACCCTGCTCAGTGGGGAGTCTGCTTCTCCCTCTCCCTCTGCCCCTCCCTCCTGCTCATGCTTTCACTCACTCTCTGTCTCTCTCAAATGAATAATAAAAAAATCGCTATTAAAAAAATCCTTGCCCTTGGGCATTCCTGGTGGCCCAGCGGTTTAGCACCACCTTCAGCCCAGGGCGTGATCCTGGAGACCCAGGATCGAGTCCCGCGTCAGGCTCCCTGCATGGAGCCTGCTTCTCCCTCTGCCTGTGTCTCCGCCTCTCTCTCTCTCTCTCTCTCTCTCTCTCTCTCTCTCTCTCTCTCTTTCTCTCTGTGTGTGTGTCTCATGAATAAATAAAATCTTAAAAAAAAAATCCTTGCCCTTGCAGCAGAGGTTTTGGTCAATGGGAGGGGTGGGATGTCACATAAAAACCCAGGCTCTCTGCTCCTCTCAAAGAAATCATTGATCTGGCCACACTGGACCCACACTGCACTAGGGTCAAGATGCTGGACTTCAGCAGCCACCCTTGTACTTGGCCGTGTGCTCCCCCATTGACAGCAGACTCCATCTGACCTACCTCACTCATTTAGGCATTTACCTGGCCCCAGGAGTTTGTGGCCCTAGACATCAATGATATACGTGTGTTCACTCCAGTTAAATGTGACAAGACTGGAGCTCAAAGAGGGTGGCCGGCCACCTGCTTGAAGCCACACAGTGACTGACAGGGCTTAATGAGAATCTCATCTCCTGTCTCTTGGCTCCTTTGCTTCTGAAAGACCACATTCCCAAGCATGTAGCGTGGTACTGACACACAGGGGCATTCAATAAACAGCAGTTCTCTCCCTACCAGTCTTTCTTCCAGGAGAAAGAAATCAGCCTGGACTTTAAAAACGGCCCCTTTTGGGGGCTCAAAGGAAAGAACAGAAAAGATGTGGCCATTCATCTCACTGTGCCTTTGGTAGGGAAAGAAACAAGGGTAGAGTCCAAGTGCCCCAGGTAGGAACCCAAAGCACCCTCTGCTTTGCTGTCCTACCCCAAGCCGCGCCCTGGTTCACAGAGCCCTGGCTTCCCACTCTCCTCCCAAGACCTCCATCCAAGACAGCAGCCCTTACATTGAACATGTCCTTCCAGCCGCTGGTACTGCCTGAGAGCAGGGTGTCAGGCCGGGCCAAGCCAGCATTATTGATGCAGATGTCTACACCGCTATGCTGAGACCGGACGGCCGAGAACATGGAGAGGATGTCCTCCTCGCTGGACAGGTCACATCTGTGGGGGATCAAAGTCCCAGGATAGCCCGCACTCTTACATTCGGCAGCCAGCTCCTATGGAACCCAACAGGGAGCTAACTGGGGTGAGCTGCTCACTCCCACACCTTCCCGCCCAAGACAGTCTTCCTCCACTGTCACTCCTCAGAGACCTCTCTCCTTTGGTAGCCAGCCACCTTCCAGCCACGTAGATATTGGGGCTACTTGTCCTCTTTGGTCAAAATCCAGGAGATGATGAGCATTCCCTGAGTGAGGGGGGCCCAGGGGAGTTGAGATCGTCAATGGAGGAACCTCATGATAAACTCGAGTTTTTGGTTCCGAGAAGGGAAAAGGGAGCCAGGGGTCCTAGACAGTGTGGTCTCTCTTCGTTCTGCCTCTCCTCAAGCAGGAGCCCTTCTCTGATCACAGGTAAGCTGCACCTTTCACCCCACTCCTTGTGTCCTCCACCAGTACCAGGAGTCACTGAGCTGGTTACTCAGGGATTCTCTCCTCTCCTGTTGCCTCATCCAGTCCCTACCAGAGGGCCTATGTCTGAACTGTCACCCTCCCTCCACAGAGTGCAGCCAGCCGGCTTTCAGATTGAGCCCAACTGCCAGTCTCCCCTCGCCCTACCTATAAAGACAGGTGAGGAAGTCAGGACAGATTCTTTTCCTCTGTCCCACAGTGTACTGTCCTCTACCCCTAAACTTCTCGGGTTATGATAAGACAAGTCAGGTGGCAGGTGACACCGGGCAGCCCCAATGTATCAACAGGGACCTCAGGACGCTGAGGAGCCCTGAGACAGACAGACCTGAGAAGGCAGAGCCACTGCAGGTGGCTGTGAGGGAGGCAGACATTCAGAAGCAGGAAGAAACCAAGCCATGTGGCCTTGGAGGCCAGAGATTGGGCACCTGAGGCTCGTGAAGGTGACCATACATGTGTGGGAGGGAGAGCGTTAGAGGGTAGGAGGTGCCCTAGAGGAAGGCCAACTTGGACACCAACTGCCCTGGCCTTGAACCCCTTCTTCCCCAAATCAAGATGGGAATAAAGGGTTGGATCAAGGGACCTAGAGATTCTTTTTCTGCTTTAACTTCCCAAGAGTTCAAAAGGTATAGTCCTCTGGGACTTTGAAGGCCCCCTTTACCCCATTTCATCTACTCACAGCCACAGGACAGGGCTTCTCTCTGTTGGGGGCCAGAACTCAAACTCTGTTTTAATATCAATAAACACAAATATGGCAGGGATCCTCCCTTCCCCTGGCATACAACTTCTCCCTTCCACCTCCAGACTCAAATCCCCACAGGAAAACCAAATTGGAGGACTTGGGGACATAGAGCTCCCTGTCATTGCCTTCTCATGTCCCACCTATCCTCATCTATCCTCAGAAATGACCTGAAATTATATCTATCCCCTCCCAGCACAGGCATTTCCCCCTCACTAAAGGAGTCATCCTGGGGCTGGATGAGTAGCCTGAAGATCCCCGTGGAGCTCAGGGACCCCTTTCCTGGCTAGTTTGCGTTGGCAGGGGATGGTGGTGGGGAGTAGGAAGAGAAGGCAACAATGGCTTTAGAATTAAGGAATCCATGGGTCTAAACCCTGGTCTGATGGTCTAGGCTCCAAGGCTGGGGCTGGGCCCTGAGCTCCTCAGGACAGGAGAAACGGAGGGGTGGAGTAGGTCAAGGATATAGCTGGGTGACCTTGGGACTACCTAGATAGCTATAAAGTGTACCTTTGGCCAGCAGCAGGGAAGGGGACAGCCCTCCTTCGGTACACCTTCTCCCTTTGTCCCCACCCAAAGCCTCCTTATGTTGGGACTTTGACCAATGGTGAAGATAAAGCCCTGCAGCTAAGCACTAGCCCAAACCCCGAGAGTGATCTTGCCAGGAACAAATCCAAAGATGACCTATGATGGAAATTTCTCGTCGTCTTCCTTCCTGTTACAACATGGCCAACTTCATTTCATTTTACTCTGGGCTCTTGTTGCTCACATCTTGGGGCTCCCGACCCCAGGTTAAGAAAAAAATAAGAAGTTTCGGTTCCACATTGCTTTGTCTCCTCAGGGCTCACATATTCCATGCCCTATTTCACCTACTCAGTCCCACCTAGGACAGTGAAATTGGAGAAAGGTCTATCTGTAAGTATCCCACTGGGGTCGGGGTTATCCCTCAAATTTGGGAGTGAGTCTCTTCTGGAAAGCTCCACTCCCACCCCAGTCCTGGGTAAAAAAAGTATCCTGATCAAAAACCTGTAGCCCCTGTTCATCTGGCTGGCCAGTCACTTCGCTTGGCTTTGTGGGCAAGGAGGTCTGGGGACTAGAGGGAGAGATCCAGTAAGCCAACTTAGCCACTGAGGCCAGTAAGTTTTCTTTCCATCTCCCTAGCTGCCTAGCTAGCCCTGATCTCTGGCTTCCCCTTTCCTCAGCCTACCTGGGCAGGTAGATAGGCAGGGAGAAAGATGCCAAGGAGTCAGAGAACTGGTACACTGCAGTAGAGGCTGTCAGGAGTAGGAGCTCCTTAAAAGACGGTACTTTAGGGATCCCTGGGTGGCGCAGCGGTTTGGCGCCTGCCTTTGGCCCAGGGCGCGATTCTGGAGACGCAGGATCAAATCCCACATCGGGCTCCCTGCATGGAGCCTGCTTCTCCCTCTGCCTGTGTCTCTGCCTCTCTCTCTCTCTCTGTGTGACTATCATAAATAAATGAAAATTAAAAAAAAAAAAAGACGGGACTTTATAACAGGTAAGACAGAGGCCTGTCCTACTAGGCATCCATCCCTCCCCCTCTGACCCCCTTGCAAATGGCCTTGCGGTGGCGGACAGGGGAGGACAGGTTCACCCCGCCTCCCCCACCCAGACCCGACCCGGCTGGAAACGACGCCTCCCAGAACGACCCTCCCCGCGGCGGGGACTTACCTCGATGTTGCCCACGGTGCGGGCACAACCCACTACCTTCAGTCCCTGCTGGACCAGGGCCCGGGCCACGGCCGCGCCGATGCCCCCCGAAGCTCCCGTCACCAGGGCCAGCCGGTCACGCCACCGCTCCATGCCAGCCCTGGCAGTGGTCCCGAGCCGCCCGCCCACCTCGCTCCACGAGCCGGACATTTGGGTCGCGGAGCCCCGCCCCGGGTCGCTGGGGCTCGGCCGCTCTCCGGTCACCGCCGCGGCCGCCGCCCACCGGCCCCGCCCCGAGCCTCGCCCGAACCCGCCTCCACTCCGCCCGGCCCCCGGCTGCGGCCCCACCCTCCGCTCCCCGGCGACCCGCCTCCTCCCAGCGGGAGGCCCGCCCGGGCCTGGCCGCCCCGCCCCCGCCTGGCCGCCCCGCCCCCGCGCCGTCCGGCCCCGCCCCTGCCTGGCGGGAGCTGGGAAACCACGCTTGCCGCCGCGCTGCCGGGCGTGGGAGGGCCGCGGGACGTCGCGGGCCGGCCTCCTACAGCGGCAGGGAAGCCGAGGTTTGATGGGGGGCTTGCTCCAGGCCCGAGGCCGCACGAACCCCCTCCCCGCGTTCAGTCTCCCTTCCCAGTGTCCTGAGCCCTAAGGCTGGGAGGAGAAATTAAGGGCGCTTAGGTGACTCCAACGCCCCCGGTGGCTGATGGGAAGAGTTCGGCCCAGAAAAGGCTGTCTCAGCAGCGATCATCGCCTAGTTACCTGGAAGAGCCTCTTAAACCCACCTGAATCCTCGGCGTTACTAGAATGAGAACTTAAAAATGGAAATACCCCCAAGTACACGTTTACTGGCCCACTGTCTCCTAACCCTCCCAACTCCCATTGAAACAAATGTATCACTATGCATATCAAAGATTAAAGCAATAGCTAATATTTATTGAGCACTTACTGTGTAATAGGTACTTTTAAAGCACTTTAAATATATTAATATGCAGAGCAGCCCTATGAGATAACTACTTCCTGGTCTTCATTTTATAGACGACTATCCTGAGAAGGTGAAGCATGGCTTGGACTTCAAGCTGTCCAGTCTTAGGCCAGAGGGTGTGCTCCTAAACTGGGTTCCACTCCATTCTCCCCTTTGTCTCTTCTTGGGTTGTTGGGTTTGCTCAGAGTAGAGCTCACTTTGCTCTCTGACCACACAGGATGTTCCATCAAAGCTCTGGAAACTGCCTTCCTTACGTCTGCATTCCTAATATAACCATCCTTTCAAAGAAAAAAACACCTCTGCAGTGGAACTCCTCCACTGCAAGCAATGGTATAAGCAGTAAATGTGGCTGGTTTATTCATTCACCAAGTACCATGTTTGGCCCACAAAGAAAGATTAAAATAAAATAAAACCAGTGATGCCTGGGGGGCTCAGTGGTTGAGCATCTGCCTTCAGCTCAGGGCATAATCTGGGGGTCCAGGAATTCAGTTCCACACCGCTCCCTGCAGGGAGCCTGCTTCTCCCTCTCTGCCTTTGTCTCTCATGAATCAATAAAAATCTTAAAAAAAAATAAAGCCAGCCCTTCTTTTACGGATCTCAAGAGAAAACCTGACTGCAAAGGCAGTGAAGAGAGCTTTAGGGCTGTGGGGGACCCTTAGTTATTTTTTCTGGATTCCAGGATGAAAGTGAACAAAGGTCAGAGAGACTCATTTTACCTCTGCCCCACCCATCCTTATACAACTGAGGGGATATATCAAAGAAATGCCACCATCTATAAAAATTAAATCTAAGCTTCTGCTGTTGTCCCCCTGAAGCCTGATTAAGTGGTAGAAAGCCCCTAAAATTCACTCCATCCTCACTCCAAAGAGGTATTGACTGTCCCACTATTTTACTGCTGCCCACCAAGTATTATCAACATGCAAACACAAAGCTCTAAGCACACGTTTACTGAACTGACTCAACCTTTTAAATGGCAGCCAAATACTACTCCAGGGGGAATCGCTCTCCTTCAGTTCTCTCAGACAGCTTATGGAAGCAGTAAACTGTAATGCCATAGTGACTTTATTGTTGGAAACCAGACAAGGAGCATGCACTTACAGACTGCAATGTGGTTAGCCTTGGGTGCAGCCCTCCAGTCCCAGGTTTATGTGCTTGCTAGAGTACTTCTCAGGCCACCCTTGGTAGAAATTCTGGTTTCATTCTTCTAGTTCGATATGAATCTCTGAATTTAAGGTGCTTTATGTTAGGTATCAGGGAATTTTTCATAACAGCAATTAACAATGTCATGAGAAAGATGCTAGCTAGCCAGTATTTAAAGGTACTGAAGCAAATTTCTTTCAAGACTGGAAACTGCTTTTCTTGGTTGTTGACTCTGGTCAAGGGAAGAATTTTGCCCTCAACGATCTGTATCTCTATCCTAACATCAACAATGGCTAAGTACCAAGTTCACAAGTGGCAGATATTAAACTACTGCCACACATTAAGTAGAAACATGTACACCAACTTTTACTATGCGTATTAATAAATATTCTTTATTTTAAATTTTGCACATTGCGCTTTAACATTACATCCAAACATTTTGCAAGTGGATGTCTACTTTGTAAAACCATATATTCAGCTCATTGTCATTTCTGTACAGAAGTATAAGTACAACATTACTTTTTGCCACTAGGTTGCTTTAGTAAGTCTCACAGGAAGAGAAACATTTAATGAAGAGAGATGGCTTAAATCATATGGCAGGCCTGCGCAGCCACGCAACTAAAGACACAAGCCTGAAGAAAGAACAAACTAATGAGGTTACCTCCACCGTCTCCCAAAACAAGAAAGAATCACATTGATTTAAGATAAAATTTTGCCATAAGTCACTAAATTAAGTTTTTTGAAAGAGAAGGCGCAGTAGTCATCTTGAGTGTTTCATTGAAAGACAGAGCTATTTTATTTATTTAATTTGCTCCAGCCGTTGTCAACCAGCCACTACAAATGGGCCTCTTGTGATCATTTAAGCGGCAGTATTTATTAAATTTCTCCTTCAGATGCTGTCGGTATTGTTCTCTATTGCTGTAGAAAGACTGGTTATTAGCCATAAATGACTGTATTTCGTCTTGTGAGATAAAGATTTCCTCATCTGAAGTACATTCAGACTCATCCTGCAAATAAAAGCAGTAGTTAAGATTATGAGTTAAACTAAGAATGCAAAATACTATGCTGATGGAGGACAACTAAAAATTAAGGCAGGTTAGCCTTTTGATTTCAATTGAGTCACAAAAGATCTTTGATTGGACTGTTTACAGAACAAGCATCATGTCATTCTGTCTCAGAAAGTACTAAGTAAGGATATAATCCAACTCCACTCAGTTTGAAATTCTGAATCTATAATTTGTCCTAGAAGACCTGTAAGCCTGACAGATTACCAACATGCCTTTGCCTTAAAAAAAATGACTAGAGGGCAGCCCCAGTGGCGCAGCGGTTTAGCGCCGCCTGACTGCAGCCTGGGGTGTGATCCTGGAGACCCGGGATCGAGTCCCACATCAGGCTCCCGGCATGGAGCTTGCTTCTCTCTCTGCCTTGTCTCTGCCTCTCTCTCTCTCTCTCTCTCTCTCTCTCTCTCTCTCTAAGTGAATAAATAAAATCTTAAAAAAAAAAAAGAAAAATGACTAGAGATGGTTATAGCTCGCTACCAAACTCTAAATAACCGGACCGATCTGGTTTTTAACTGGCTGGTCCTATGCTGAAACTTTTAGCTCTAACAAATTAAGTAAAATATAACCTTTTTAAAACTTAGGAAACTTAACCACCATGTTAAAAAAAAAAATTCTAAAGGATTTGGTTCCATTAACAGCCTAACTACTATACAAAAGATATATCACCCATCTCTTTTCTTCCCCCTCCTCTAAGCTCCACACAAACTATGTACTACTGGGTTGCTTGCAATCAGGCATAATTCACCTAAAGTATCAAGACTTGGGAATCAATATAAAAGATTTTCCAGGTTCAGTTATGCTCTGATCCTACATGAACCTAAAGGATAGAACCTAGAAAAGTGGGCTCTAGTTCAGATTCTACATATTTTCCTGGTCTGGAAGGCTAGCCACCATAAATTGCCACTCAGAAAGGCAGTTTGCTTACAAATAACCCTTTTCAAAGAGGCAGACTCCTGGACATAATGCTAACTCTATCCCCTTCCTCCCAACTATTCTCTCCTACCTCTGAGACAAAGGAAGACAAGGAAATGTGCTCTAGAGCAGTTACATAACCCATGACTGGAAGAGCAGAAATGAAATCACCAAAAATAATGAAACTGCCCTTAATGTCCCCCAGTCCCAAGTTTAAATTCTCAAATATTGTCCCCTTCCACATCTACCCCATGAGCAATCAGTTATTCACAATAAGATATCCTTACTTACAAGGAGTTCAACTAAGCTCTTGGCACCTTTACCGGAATCAGGACCAAATGACGGTTCTGTAGGTTCTGCAAACTGTGGTACATTTTTCCTATGCTCAAACCAAGGCAGTGGCTGCCCACCCTTTTCAGAACTGCAACAGCTTTCAGGATGTGCATCTTTGGTCTTGTCACGGTGAAACACTGTGTGCACGGTATTTCCTGAGGTCTCTCGATTACCTGGATCTGTAATACAGCTTCCAAGCTTTTGGATCTGAAACCACAGCAAAGGATATCCCAGATAAAAAGGCAGGAAATAATAGCAATTACTCTTTAAAGAAAGAAAAAAAAGGCCCTAATGATGTGTTAACTTTTTAGAAGGAATGCTGAATAACAGCAGCAGCTGGCAGTTAGTAGGCACTTACTACATAACAGATGCTATGTTAACTCATCAATATCACCTCATTTCATCTTCACAGAACTTAATCCGATAGGGACCGTTCTCTCCTTAAAAATGGAACTGGGATGCCTGGGTGGTTCAGTGGTTGAGTGTCTGCCTTTGGCTCAGACTGTGATCCTGGGGTCTGGGGATCGAGTCCCACATCAGGCTCACCACAGGGAGCTTGCTTCTCCCTCTGCCTACGTCTCTGCCTCCCTCTCTCAAGAATAAATAAAATCTTTAAAAACAAACAAAAACAAAAAACCAAATGGGACAACTAACATAAAGCAAACTGCTCAAGATTACATAGCTAATTCATTTAAAACTATTATGAAGGGACGCCTGGGTGGCTCAGGGGTTGAGTGTCTGCTTTCAGCCCAGGGCGTGATCCTGGAGACCCGGGATCAAATCCCACATCAGGGTCCCTGTATGGAGCCTGCTTCTCCCTCTGCTGTGTCTCTGCCTTTCTCTCTGTCTCTCTCATGAATAAATAAAATCTTAAAAGAAAAAAAAAAAAAGAAAAAGAAAAATGGGGTGCCTGGATGATTCAGTCAGCTAAACATCTGCCTTCAGCTCAGGTCATGATCCTGGGGTTCTGAAATCAGGCCCCACAGAGCTCCCTGCTTTGTAGCGAGCCTGCTTCTCCCTCTGCCCTTCGCTTGCATTTTCGCTCTCTCTCAAATAAAATATTTAAAAAATGTATTTTGAAAAGAATGAACTGGATTTATGACTCACATGGACTGCTGGTCAAATGACTACATGGAACTGCATTCTAAAGGTACTCCTTCTCGAATAATAATAAATACTAAGAACTAAGCTGCAGACTTGCCACTCCTACGGAAAATAGGCTGTTCTCCCCTCAACAGCAAAGATTTTAAAATTATAACATTTACATGTTCATCACATTTCAACATCTTGGCTTTCTTTTTCTTCTTTTTATTTTTTCCTTTGGTGTTGTTCTCTTCAGAATTTGCCCAACATTCAACACAGCTATCTCCATCATCCTCTTTGTCTTCACAGTGATGAACACAGGAGTCGTCACCTGCAGAAATCAATAATCTCTTATTTATGTGCTTAAATCAGCCATGTAGTAGAAATAATTGGGAGGTTTAATCTGAACCTACCGTGTTCATCATGATTACAAATGCCTTCAGTGCAAGCAACATCTGAACCCTCCCGAGAACCTGTTTCACTCCCTTCCATGCTAGATGAATATCCACAATCACTACCATTACAGTGTGGTGATAAGCCTGAAAATAAAGCAGTTGAGAGATACAATTAACATACCAATACATATATTAGTACAAAGAATGAACTGGAGACTACAGAAAAATTTCAAAATTGATAGCTTACTGAAAATAAAAAATTAAATAATGAAAACATAATTAGGGATTTACAGTTTTTTGTTTTCATCAAATAATAACAAACACCATAAAAAAAGGGACTAGTGTCTTAAGTTACAGGATCTCTAAAACCTCTTACATTTTTTTTTTATTTTTAAAATTTAAGTTTTTTTATTATTTATTTATTTTTAAAGATTTTATTTATTTATTCACAAGACGAGAGAGAGAGAGAGAGAGAGAGAGAGAGAGAGAGGGAGGGAGGGAGGGAGGGGCACAAACACAGGCAGAGGGAGAAGCAGGATCCATGCATGGAGCCTGACATGGGACTCGATCCCACGTCTCCAGGATCACACCCTGGGCTGAAGGTGGTGCTAAACCACTGAGCCACCCGGGCTGCCCTTAAAGTTGTTTTTAAAAAGTAATTTCTTCCCTCAATGTGGGGCTTAAACTCACGACCCTGAGATCAAGAGTTACATTCTCTATTGACTGAGCCAGCCAGGTACCTCCAAAAACCTCTTACATCTAAAAGAAAGAATATGAGGCCTCTGGGTGGTGCTGTGGGTTAAGTGTGACTCTCAGTTTAGGCTCAGGTAATGATCTCAGGGTCCTGGGATTGAGCCCTAGGTCGGGCTCTGTGCTCAGCTCAGAGTCTGCTTGAGACTGTCTCTCCCTCTCCCTCCTCCTGCTCATGTGCACATTCTCTCTCTCAAATAAATAAATACATCTTTAATAAATAAATGAGCTTGAGACTTAATTTTAAAAAGAAACCGTAGAGGGAATACTTGGGTGGCTCGGTCAGTTGAGCATCCAACTCTTGGTTTCGGCTCAGGCCACAATCTCAGAATCATGAGATGGAACCCCCACATCAAGGCTCCTGTTGGGCTCTGCACTCAGTGCATTATGTTTCAGATTCTTTCTCGCTTCCTTTCCCTCCCCCTCGCTTCCTTTCCCTCCCCCCCCTTTTTTTTAAGATTTTATTTATTCATTCATGAGAGAGAGAGAGAGAGAGAGGCAAAGACACAGGCAGAGAGAGAAGCAGGCTCCATGCAGGGAGCCCGATGTAGGACTCGATCCCAGGACTCCAGGATTACGCCCTGGGCAGGTACTAAACCCCTGAGCCACCCAGGGATCCCCTCCAAAATAAATCTTAAAAGAAAAAAAGAGAGACAGAGACAGAGAGAGACAGAGAGAGAGAGAGAGAGAGAGAGAGAGAGAGAGAGAGAGAGAAAGAAAGAAAGAAAGAAAGAAAGAAAGAAAGAAAGAAAGAAAGAAAAAAAGAAAGAAAAAAAGAAAGAAAAAGAGAGAAAGAAAAAACTAAACTGTATTTGGTTACCTTTCTTTATTTTAGGGGACCCCAAGAGATTGCCGCTGCTAGGACAGGTACAGGACGTATTTTCATTGGTAACGATGACTTCTACACAACCATTACCATCTTCAGTGCTGCCACAGGCTTTGCAGCTGTTTTCTATGAAGTCTGTTTCCTTTAAAGATCAATCAATAGTAAGAGATAGTAAAAAGTTTTACCTTCAAAATGGCTACATTTTAATTTCCTTAACAGCAACCAACAAGATAGGAGCTAGAAGGTTAACAACTGAAAAAATTATTCTCATGAAAGAAAATCACTAACCCACTGATCAAGACTATGACAACTAAAAAAGCAAATTAACAGTTAATGGTATCAGGAAAGTCTAGGAGAGCAGTTTTCAAAGTACAGTCTGCTGACTCCCTAAGTCAAAACTATTTTCATCAGAATACTAAGATGTGATGCCTTTTTCACTGTATTGACACACTGATGGTACAAAAGCAGTGGTGGGGAAAGTTGTTGGTACTTAGCACAAATCAAACCAGCAGCAAAGTGCACTAACAAGTCACTATATTCTTTACTTGTCAAGTACTCTTAGGAAATCAGTAAGTAGAGGCCCCTCTTAAAAATGTCTTCCATGAAGCAGTAAAAATATTTTTATTAAGTATCACCTCATGGGTAGATGCCTTTTTAATAGTCTATGTGACAAACAGGAAGTATGCTTAAAGTACTTTTGCTGCATACCAAAATACTTTGGTTGTCTCAAGGAAGAGCACTTGAGCAACTACTTGAATTATAAGCTGAACTAGATGTGTTTTTATCCTGAAACATCAATTTTGCTTGACAGAATGAGAGACAAACCATGGTTATTCAGACTGGGACCCTTAAAAAAGCACTTTCTCAAAAACGAAGTCAGCCTATCACCTCCAAGAAAACAATGGACAGTATTTAGTATCAGTGGTAAAGTTCAAACTTTCAAAACACAATCAGAATTTTGAAAATTTCTATACATAAGCATAATGAGCTTGAAGCTTCCCAATACTTAAAGTCCTTTCTGATGAGATTAGTAGGGGTTTTAACATGATTACGTGATGTTATGTAATGAAATCATATCTGGCAAGATCTGCATAACTCAGTAAACCAGTATCTTTCAAATGACCAATGCATGATGTTACAAAATCATGCATGAGTAAAAGATCTATTCAAAGTGCAAGACTGACTAATAGATTTTAATTTAACTGAGTTATGAAAAGGTCACTGATAGCTGCCAGGTTCCACATCATAACTAATCTTTAAGATTTAAACTACCACTTGTTGAGTTGCAATGCAAAAAATAGCCGCGACTATCTGAAAAAGTTTATATTAAAATATTTCTCCCTTTTCTATGTGAGGCCAGACTTTCTTCATATGCTTCAACCAAACACCATAAGGAACTGGACTAAATGCAGAAGCAGATATGAGAATCCATCTAATTCCTTTTATTTATTTTTTTTCCACCTAATTCCTTTTAAACCAAATATTAAAAAGAGCTGCAAAACTATGAAATAATACCAACTCTTCTCACTTCTTTTTTTGGGGGGAAGGGGGAACATTTTCCCAAAACTATTATTCATGTTAATATATAACAGGTTTTTTTATTTTCTTAGAATTAATAATTTTTAAATTTCTCCATCTTAATTTCTAATACAGCATATACTTTTAAAAAGTATAATCCACATAAACAAAAAGCACATTGGGCAATATAATTTTTAAGAACGCAAAGGAGTCCTGAGACCAAAAAGAACAGCTCTAGGTCATGCAAAGACTTAACTTTCCAAATTTGGAACTTTTATCTAATCAATGTACTAAGAACAGGTAAAAAGATAACCATTAAACAATATAAAATAAATACATGACATTAAAAATTTTGGCTTTTACCAATTTTAGTAGGAAAAAAGCCAATATACAAGCTGCAACTTCTCATATTCTGGAAAAGCAGAGCAAAAATGCCAAGATCTAGCAAAAAAGCAATACTACATGAGTCGAAATTAAGAAATACTACCTTCTCTTGGCTTACTTCCTTTTCATCTGCTGCTTGTAAGGGAGTAGGAATATCACATACACATTTATTTTTTCGTCTATTCTTCCGTTTTTGGCGTTTCTTTTCTTGCTTGAGTTCTCTTACTCGTTCTTCCTCTGAAAATTCTTCACAAAGTTGTTCTAATCGGCTAATACCCTGTACTTTTTCCACAGTCATCTATTATAAAAACAAAGTTAAGAGTGAAGACTGCTCAAAACTTCATTTATTTTCCAAGGAAATTCTCATTTGCTAATTCTATCTATCTATCTATTTGGGCTCCACACAGCATGGAGCCCAACATGGGGCTTCAACTTACCACCTTGACTGAGATTGAGAGTCGGGTGTTTAAACCAACTGAGTCACCCAGGTGCCCTTCATTTACTAATTTTAAATGATACCACACACAGACAGGTAACTCATGTTGCAATTTTACAGGGCATCCCCACAAAGAATCTTAAATTTTAATACTTTAAATAAAGACATCTTAAATCTACAGGAAGTGAATATACTACTAATCCCTACAGGAAAGGCAAACTTATATATACTCCTATTCCAAACCAGCAATATTCTAGTTTCAAATTTCAAAATTTTAATGCAGCAGAGTAAATACTCATTTTTTCACACAATGAGAAGACTATTTAACCTGATTAGATGATCTAGTTTCTGAAGTCACAAACATACAAAGAGAAAAGGAAACAGAAATGTGTTCAGCAAGAACTAGTACAAATCTCCTCAGACTCCCCAGGACAATGTTTAAAGCTAGTGGATGGGCTTTTGAAAAAAGGGTTTATAGCTTTCATACTATTCTTAAAAGATCTGTGACCCAGTTAAAGGGTTACAACCATTCCCTAGAATGTAACAAAATGTTCACTAGCCAATATTCTATGTGCTAAGAATGGAACCCATCCCCCCAAAGAAAGTTACCAAATCACCAGCATTAAACTCAATACCAGCAATATAAAAAGGCTACACATCTGCAGGCAAGCTGAGCCTCATTAAAAGTTTCTACTTTTGTTCCTTATTTTGGGGGCTGCTTTTAACTTTTCATTAGATATATTTAATAGCAACATCTTGCTAAATAAATAATCACCAACTTCAGTTTTCTACTCTGAGAAGGTTTAAAAACCAAAGCCAGCAGAATAACAGGATTAAAAAAACAAAGAAAAATCTACAAACTTCTAAATTCTAATTCCCCTCTCTGAATCCCCCTAAATCCATGACACCATCAGTGGATCACAGGCCTGTGAGGCAAAATCAGACTGATGGCTTATAGCAATATTCAGTCTAATAATGTGACTAAGCAATCTTAGACACTGAAGCAGCCCACTATTTTTACCTCAAAACTCTTTTTTTTTTTTTAAAGATTTTATGTATTTATTCATGAGAGACACAGAGAGAGAGAGAGAGAGAGAGGAAGGCAGAGGCAGAGGGAGAAGCAGGCTCCACACAGGGAGCCCAACGTGGGACTCGATCCTGGGACTCCGGGATCACGCCCCAGGCCAAAGGCAGGCACTAAACCGCTGGGCCACCTGGGCTGCCCATTACCTCAAAACTCTTGCGTAAAGCATCAACACCAAGATAGAAAAGCATCTGCCATGTTTGCTCTTCTGCTCGTAGTTTTTGCCAGATTCGATGCAGTCTTTCATAAAGATGAATTCCCAAGCAGGTCAGAACTTCCTCTTGAGCTATATCTATTGTCTTTGCATGCCTTTCTCTTCGCCTGTAAAGGAGAATAAATCACATAATTCCTAATACCCTTTACCAAAACAGTAAAAGACAGATTAAGACATCTGCAAGTTCAGGTTTTAAACACAATTTGCGTATCTAATAACAAGCCAGTTATATATTCAAATTCAATATACATATAAACACACAAGCACACATGTATATAACCAACGAGAAATACACATGCAGGCAAAACTCAGTCCTAATATTGCTAAAAATTAGATAATTCAGGAACTGGCCCTAAAGAGATGGTTTTGTGGGGCACAGAGAAGTCATATATGTGTCCAGCTCAAGGTAAACAAGGTAAGTACAACAGCTCCTTTCACCTTCTAATTGTAACAAATGCCTACTTGGTTTTTGTTTCTTTTTGGAATGGAGAAAGGTAATGCCAGTGTGATTCAATCATGGACCAAAGCCTTCCAGGCTAGTTTTCAATAGAAGTATTCATAAAGTTTCAGTGATAATTCTTCATGTTCTAAATGCCTAGCATAAAGTAGGCAAATGAGAGCTGATATACAAAACAAAAAGGAAAATGGGTTCAATTTATTCTAGAACTTTCTCTGATTTTATGTGCACAATAAAGCCAAAGTTAAAATTTTAGGTTCTTTTTTTTTTTTAATTTTTTTATTTAGTTATGATAGTCACAGAGAGAGAGAGAGGCAGAGACACAGGCAGAGGGAGAAGCAGGCTCCATGCACCAGGAGCCCGACGTGGGATTCGATCCTGGGTCTCCAGGATCGCGCCCTGGGCCAAAGGCAGGCGCCAAACCACTGTGCCACCGAGGGATCCCAAATTTTAGGTTCTTATACAATCCAATAATAATATACACACAGTTCATGAATTACATTCAATATTTAACCCCTTGCTTCAAAGACCTTTCTTCCTATGCAAAAACCATCATTATGAACAAAATTTAAACATGGAAATGCATGGGTGGAGGGGGAAAATCCCTTCTAATCATTTTCAAATGAAAATGATAATCTATAATAATGAAGCCAAAAAAAGCCTGTCTACTTCGAGCAACAAGGAGCAGAGGGCTGAAATGAATACCACAGAAAAGTTTTTCTCTCTTTTTACTCAATTAAGAAATGCATACTTTAAAGAAAGCAACATCTTTACAGGCACACTTTAATTTATACATATATCACATGTACTGAGGCAAAAGGTGATGGAAATAAACTTTCAGTAATAAAATGAAGCAAAGCGCTAGATAGCCCATTCTAGCAAATTACATACTCATACCCTCCTGCGAACTCTGGCTCAGCACGACCCAAGAGATGTGCAATGAAGTCTGTTTCACAGCAAACATGTATGTGCCGTTCGTGTGGACAGCACCGCAAACCTTCATAAAGTGCAGCACAGTAGCCCTTCTCTTTGCTGCAATCAAGTTCACCAATAAGGATATTGTATGCTCGGAGGACTTTATTTTTGCAATCAGTGCAAAACCTGTTGAAAAGAAAAACTTCAAAATTAAGAACTAGCTGCGTAATTATTTCATGAAACATGTTACACCGTACTAATGACATTCCCCTCCTATATGGAGTGTTGAAAAAAAAATCCTCCAAACACACGTTTAAAACATACACATGTAAGAGAAATACAAATTTGCGGATTAGAAGAGTAGAGCTGGATCTCCATTTGCAAATGATTCTTAAATGAGACACATGGACCCAAAAGAATGAGATGGATATATACCCATTTGTTCACAAAATACACGTGTAAAAAAAAGTTGCCAAGGACAAGCATATCTCCACTTCAAGAGCTACTTACTTGTACAAGTCCAAAATAAAACAAAAGGCTACAAACCAGTGACTCAAAGAATCCCTTCTTTCAGCCTCTGAAAATAGTTGCTATCTTCGGTCAGTAAACCTGAGTCCATACTTTGCTACAACATTTTAACATCTCATTAGCTAAACACTGGGAAGAGGGTGGGGGCAAGAAGAACAGGAAAGTGGCACATGGTAGATTTAGTAATTGCCAAAATGTCAAATTTCTTCTTCTTACAAAAAAAAAAGCATGTTTTCAAACACAATCATAATATTGACAACACATACACAGAACTGTTGTCTAAACTTCAGTGGCAATAGTGTAGAGGGAAAAAAGCACAAAAGAGAGTGTGAATGTAGAGGATGATGACATTTTCTTTTAGACACCAAACATTCAATTTTTAATTCAAAAATTAAAAATTGGGCAGTGAAGAAAAAAAATAGAGCCTCGTTTCTTTAGCTTTGATATCCTGAAACAAGGAAGAACTGGTCTGATAAAAAAGCCAGGCTCATAATATTAATAACTGCCTCTCTGAGAAGATTAGCTGTGGTGGAATCAGAAAATTTTGATCTCTTTAATTTAATCTCCCTAGGTGACGTATTCTATTTCAATGGCTTCAGCCAACACGTATACCTCTCACCTCTACAGCTCTTGTTAAGTGTCTGCCCTTGCCTGGGGGCCAAACCCACACTGTAAAATGGGGGACACCACAGATGTACAATAGACAACATGTTAAACTTTCTCTCCAAAACCAAGGGCAACACAAGTGTTCCCTTCTAAACTTGTTAAGAACATCATTCATATAGTCACCCGGAAGAAAACCTCAATTAACTCCCAACTTCTTCTCTGGTCTTCTTTTAGGGGTGGAGCCAACTGGTATCAATGATTTCTTACATCTCCCTAGGCTTCTTTCCAATTTCCCCTAACCTGTTTTCAACTGCCTAAACAATTTTTTTAATGCTTTTTTACTTCTCTGTTTGTATTCTTTCTAGCTTCAATGCATCTCTCATAAGAAAATAATTTTTTAAAAACACTTTATTCATTTATTTGAGAGAGAGAGAGAGAGAGAGAGACAGTAAGAGACAGCATGAGCAGGGAAGAGAGGGAGAAGCAGGCTCCCTGCTGAGCAGGTGGGCTCGATCCCAGGACCTTGAGATAATGGCCTGAGCCAAAGGCAGATGCCCAACCAACTGACCCACCCAGGCACTCAGTAACAAAATAATTTTTGAAAATAAATCTGATTATCTCACTCAGCGTAAAGACCTCTCCACTATAAAGTTTCAACTTTTTATTAAGCCCTTCACGGACTTTCTCTCATCCCACCTCTTTCCAGCCACACGTCCCAAGACTCACCTCTCCCTCATCTTCTCCCCACTCTACCCTGTCCTGTACACACACCACACAGACAATGGACTATTGTGAACATAGCAGATGTGTCCCTACTTCAAAGTCTTGTTTCTTCTGCTTTCTCTCCATCCCTCTCCACATCTTTCTCCATTTGCGTAAATTGTGTCCATTCTTAAAGACATGCCCTTCTGCAATTGCCATACTAGAATTCAGACTTCCTCTGCATTCCAATATTTGCATTTACACTTCTTACTGTACTTACCCTTACACTGCCACACATCAGTTTGCTGCACAAATCTTTCTAAGTATGTTTCTTGAAATGAATACTTGTTAAAATAGAGGCGCTGAGTCTCTAGGGCCATTTAGTAAGTAAGTATAGGCAATAATGTTAACTAGTAAAAATAAAATCACTGTATCACTAATGCTTCGAAAAACAAAGAAATGTACAAAAATTAACACAAAATGGACTAAAGACCTAAACATTAAGACCTGAAAGTACGGGCGGCCCGGGTGGCTCAGCGGTTTAGTGCCGCCTTCAGCCCAGGGCATAATCCTGGAGACCCGGGATCGAGTCCCATGTCAGGCTCCCTGCATGGAGCCTGCTTCTCCCTCTGCCTGTGTTTCTGCCTCTCTCTCTGTGTCTCTCATGAATAAATAAATAGAAGCTTTAAAAAAAAAATAAAATTAAAAATTAAAAAAAAAAAAAAAGACCTGAGTACAAAACTCCTAGAAGAAAACACAGGAAGAAAAATTTCATGACACAAAATAGGTGATTTTTTGGATAGGACATCAAAAGCACAGAAAACAAAAGCAAGTAACAAATGAGACTGTATCAAACTTAAAAACTTCTGTGTAGCAAAGGAAAGAAGAGAGTGAAAGACAACCACAGAGAAAATATTTGTAAAACACATACTGGATAAGGGATTGATATCCAGAATATATGAAGAACTCCTACAACATAACAGTAACAAAAAAATTGAAAATTGGGCAAAAGACGTGAATAGACATTTCTCTAAAGAAGACAGGCTAACAAATGGCTAACAAGCATATGAAAAGTTGCTCCACATCATCATCAAGGAAATGCAAATTACACATGGTACTATCTTATACTCGTTAGTATAGCCATTATCAAAAAAATAGAAAACAGCATGTGTTGGCAAAGATGTAGAGAAACTGGAACCCTTGATACTACTGTTGCTGAAACTATAAAACAGTGCTATCAATAATGGCAAACAGTATGGCATTTCCTTAAAAAATTAAAAACAGAACTACCGTATGATCCAGAAATCCCAGTTTTGAATATATATCCAAAGGAACTGAAAACAGGATCTCAAAGATATTTGCACATTCATGTTCATCATGGATTAGAAACAACTACGACATAGGGGCAACAACCTAAATGTCCACCAACAGAGATGAGCGTGGTACACACACAAATGGACTGTTATGCAGCCTTTAAAAAGAAGGAAATTCTGCATCATATGCTACAGCATGGATGAACCCATGAGGACGTTGTGTGAAGTGAAATAAGCCAGTCGCAAAAAGACCAATACCGAGAATGATTCCGCATATATGAGTTATCTAAAAAAAATCAAATTCATAAAAACAGAAAACAGAACCCTGGTTGCCAGGGATTGGGAGAAGGTTAAGTAAATGGGGAATTATTGTTCAATGGATGTAGTTCCAATCATGTCAGATGAAAAAGTCTAGAGATCTACTGTACAACAATGTACATATAATTAACAATACTATAACATTCACTTAAAAACTGTTTAAAAAGTAAACTTGTTTTTTTTTAACCACAATAAAAAAAAAAGTCTTCCCCTTGATGGGGAGAATAGACTTATTGCAGAAATAACAAGTACTTCCTCGTTTCCAGATTATAAAAGATAAGGTTATTTTTCAGGTAAATAAATAGATGTAATACAGCAGCAGTAATAAAACTTAAAATACTATCCCCTTATTTTACTGCTTTAAATCGTCATAGTTTAATGTATCTTTGTGAATAATCCTAAGTATCAAAAGCATAGATAAATAGCAATTTTAAGAAAAGTGATTTTTTCCTGTTTTCAAAAGTAACCTTGCACAAATATTTCTTAAGGCAGAGGCATCAGTTTCTTAACATCTTATTTCCAATAACGTACTACCATAATACTTAACTGGCTAGCGTTCTCAAATCTTTATTTAATAACCCAGTGTGGAGCCCAACATGGGGCTTGAACTCACACCTGAGATCAAGACCTGAGCTGAGATCAAGAATAGGACACTTAACAGACTGAGCCACCCTGGCGCCCCATCAAATCTTTATTATAAAGTGCTCAGAAAAGTCCACTAAATAATGTGACTGGCTTATTTTACATACTTCAAAAACTCAAACTGTACCTAAAACAAGAACTAGATACATAGGAATAACAAGGACCTTGCAAATCTGGCGTGCGAAATTCCTTAATGTGCTTACTATGTGCTAGATACTGTTCTAAGTAAGTATGACTATGTATTGTCCATCCCTGGGACAAATTTAACCCTACAATTAATTAGTACTATCATTATTTCTAAGAAAAAAATGGAGGCACAGAAAAGTAACTTGTACAAAGTTATAAAAAAACAAAAAAAAAACCAAAGTTATAATCAGTAGATTATAAAAAAGCAATCTCTCTTAATTGTACTTCTCTCTACCCTTCAGATATTTATCAAACAAACTCCACCTTCTTATAGACATAAAATATTGCCATTCAAGTACTGGAAATATCTAGGAACCATTACAGGAAACTCCGAAACACTAGCTCTTACAACTAGTAATTTATCACTGCAAAAAGCTCTCTTTTGGTGGACCAATTAACATTGAATATAGGGATCAATTCATATTGAAAGAGGAAGGAATCTATAATGGACCTATCTATATAAATATATTTTGTGTCTATATAATTCCTCTTCAACAAAACTGCAAATATTTAACATATCCTCTATTCTCTTGGGTATAATCAACCAAAAAAGGCAAATAAACAAGAAAAGTTTGTAACTGAAAATAGAAAAACATCTAATAAACTTAGTATGCAGGTTAAGTCATTACCTCATTCCCATATAAATACCAATCTTGATAACGCTAGTTTTTATATTCACGTGTTTTCTAGAAGTGTCCCCAAAGTAAGTATGTATATATGTATTATATTAAAAGAATACAACTCCCTCCAAGAACACCATCTCTAGATGGCTCCCTTACCAGTTTCCTTTCCTACTGCACTCTCCCTCCCTATGAATTTCCAAATGTTAATGACACCTAGAAAATTCCTTTGTAAAGTAGTATTCTAAAAAGAATAATCTGAAGTTACTTTTTTAGTACATGAACCAGACAAATTCTAATTCTATTTTTAGGTCTTGACAAACAATTATAGAAGAAATAATTTAAAATATTACTAAATGAAAGCTAATTTAAACTTGAATTTTGAAAATGACAATATGAAATGCTTCTATCATAAAAACAAAGAATACTAGAATTTCCAAAGTGAATAAGTAGACTTTACTCAATTAAGTATACTTTACTGGCCTGGAACCAACAGGTAAAAATTACAAAAAGAGGAGATACTGGCTCAACACAAGAAGGATAATACTGAGAGTCATCCCATAAAGGAACTGCTTATCCTAACATTAAGCTCTGCCTAGCACCAGGTATCAATGGCAAGAATGGAGTGCTATTATATGAAGGAGATGACAGTCAATATGGATGACTCAGAGTACTAGGTCACCTTCCGACTATACTGGGATGACATGACCTTTAGACTTACCTGTGTTTTCGCAGATATGTTTCTAGTGTTTCTAAAAGACAACTGGAGTCGATTAAAACTACTTCATCCCTGCATTCTTGGGACATTAGTTCCCATACGTCCATCCAACAACCTCTGCAGAAAGAAACAGATATTAGTGAAAGAAGGAATACATAAGGGTAAAACATTAAAAAGGCAGAGTAAATGATTGCTTGATTTTACCTGGCTGTTCCCTGGAAAGGTCCATAATGGAAAATGATCCTACACTTGCTGTCCTTCCTGTGGTCTTCACTACTTCTCTTATCTGTACTTAACTTCTCTGAACTGACACTGCTACTGCTCCCTTCACTGTAGTACAGTATAGTACAAAGCTTAGTGACACTGAGATAATCTGAAGAGATAATTTCTATAGTCTAAATTAAAATCATAAAGTATTTAATACATTTATATTAGTAGAATAAGTTTACAAATTGGTATATAATTACATATTCGTTTTAATTATATTAAAATATTACTTAAACATATGCTCATATCTTTATATAAAAATATCTGTTCAACTATTAAGTTTATCTGACACAATTTAACAACATTTACATTTATCAAGATACTAACTTATTAAGATATTAAGCATTTTATGAGCAAACCTACTTGGAATGCTTTAAAGTCAATAGGGCTAAAAAAATATTTTCACCTATAAACATGGATCAATCTTCCACAAATTGAAAATTCTAACAAGTTTTGATCTACTTAATGTGGTTTTATATCTAACCCATGGCAACAAAACTGTTATCTACCTTCACATTTATAAGTAGCTAAGAAAAAAAGACACAGTTTAATCAAATCATAGTAAACAAATTTTTACATTTATTAAAACAGACAACACACTAAGACGAACACCTTACACAGCCTGTATCAGTAATAAGGACTATATAAATAACTTTTAGAAAATTTATTAAAAACTTCCCAGACTCTCCCCCCCCCCATAGGGTTTCAAGGTACTGCTCATGCGTTTTGCTTTGTTGCAGATGTGCATTCCAAGAGAAATGTGTGTCTCTATGCCATTTAATGATATTCTTGGTATGTCATGATTCTGAACACCTGGCTTCTGCCTGTTCTTCTGCAGTCTCACTACAATCTTAGAAATTTGCTAGTTATCTTGGATACTTGAGATGGAGAAACCTCTGAATCTTTACTTTAACCTGCTCTATATAGCTAAGTACCTATTTCTCAACTCCCTGCCTGCCACCACTACAGTTCATCTGTACAATTCAGCTCTGTATTCTCTGTTACAAGAGCTCAGGTAAGGTATAGCACTCTAATTTGAAACAAAAACCTCAACTACTGCTCTGTCTTCCATGTTCTATCTTCCTACTCTCAACTCCTGTATTTCCTTTTTTTCTAATTATACCTCCGTGATCTATAATCTCCTAAAACTGATGAACTCTCAAACTCAAGTTCTCACAATTGAGGAAAAAGTTCATGAAATCAGAGCTAGGGGATGATTATTTTATCATTGGAACATAAGAGCATTAATACTGTTTAAAAAATGCTACAACTCAAATCAAGATTTTATCCACAACCTCTCTAGACTGAACATTTTTATATCACTCCTTCCTTTCAAATGAAGCTTTCTGAAAAAGAAGTCTTTCCACTCCATACTTTCCCTCATAGCTTAATCCACTACGACCTTAGATTGCATTTCTCTTTTCTACCCATTCTGATCTGGATTATTTCCACTCAACCACATATTTACTCATCAAAATCACCAATTATCACAGTGTTGCTATATCCATTGAACACTTCTGGGTCCATGATGACTTCAGCAGCATTCAATACAGCTGACCAGACTCCCCTGAAACACTCTTTCCCCTTGGCTTCCTCCTACCTCTCTGGCCACTCTCTCAAGTTTCTCTACTGGCTTCTTTTCTACCAATTAACTGAATTCCTCAGCATTCTTCTCTCTTACTCTACTCTCTCCCTGGGTAGACCTTATACACTATTCTCTAAGATAATCTTCAGTCATCAGCTACAGGCCTGTAACTGTAGCCTAGATTTTTCTTCTGGATCTCAAACGTACTCCCAGGCAGCCAATAACTTGGGGTTACTTGCATGAATACAAGAACACTCTCAGGAAGGCTGACCTGGATTGTTGCCATTGAGTAGGTTGAAACCTAATCAATTGTTAACATTTCCTTAGAGAAAGTCTAAACAGCAAAAGGGAGGGAATAACAGTGGGAATATGTAAAATGGAGTGTCAAAGTATCATACAATAGCAGTGACAATCCAATGTGGAGGAGAGGGAGTCTTGGCTAAGCACACTACTCCTTGGTCTGCTATCCATATGGCCTGTGGGAATAACTGCAGCTACCTTAGGAGACAGTGCTCAAGATCAACTCATACTGATTTCCTAACTCAGCAAACAACCTTCTAAAACATTTGGCTTCCCATGTGGTGGAGCTGTAGCTGAAAGGGAATGTGAAGTCTGTGGAGGTTTGTTTTTTGTTTTTAAATGGAAAGATAGGAAAACACAGTTGTATGCCAATTTAACAAAAGGAGATAATTGATAAAGCAAGTCAATGAGAACAAGAGGAGAAGGAACCTGGAGCAAAAGTAGAACTGGTCTTTGAAGGAAGGTACCAATGAGCAGATGTGTAAGATACTGAGATATGTTGCTCTTTGGTTCCACAATGAAGATTATTCATAACAAGAAAACCAGAAGGCAAATTTTTTATACTACTACTCTGTGACTTTATTAGCCAACAGTCATTTAGGTGAACGTTACCGTATAATGAAAAAACTAGACTGAATTTTACATTCAGAAAGTCAGAACTCTAAAGATAATGGTAAATCAGGTATGTAAAATAACAATTTTCTTTCGATATCCGCTTTAATAGAGCGTTACTGAAGGTTCAGAGCATTCTCACATTTAGGTATCTATATTTTGTGGTTTTTGTCTGGATCCTGATTCTCACAAATCCGTGTAAAAAAAAGACACTTTTAGAGATAACTAAGAAAATCTGAACTGTGTATTAGATTATTATAGTTGATTCTGTTAAGTGTTGTAATGGCACTGTCATTATGAAAGAAAATGTCCATGTATTTGGAGATGAATGTGGAAATATGTAGAAGTAAAAAAGTGGGACTTGTTTTAAAATACTTCAGCAAATTAAAAAGATGGATAAATAAAACGAATGTGATAACTCTTGATACTACTACTGAATCTGAATGAAGATATTTTGGGGGGTGGGCAGGGGCAGTTCTTGAATAGTCTCTCTACTTTCCTATGTGTTTGGCAGTTTTCACAAATTTTTTAAAAAATGTTGTTCCTGACTATAGGAAAACAAACAAACTTGTTAATAGATTATTAATATACCACCACTCAATCATTCAAGTTCTTTTATCAGGAAGGAAAAGGTCTATACAATAATGGTGTCAACACTACTAATTAGATATTAAAAAACTGACTTTTAAAAGTAATTCAGTATTCACATCATTTCATTCTCTTTATTTTTTATTATTTTTATTTTTTTATTTTTTTTCCATCTCATTCTCCATAAGACACAAGTTACTTCTTAGAACCACTCCCCTTCAAATTCCATGGCTTTTCCTTACTACCCCTAACCTCAAGCAATTTTGTAGGGGGGCAAAAGTAACAATATGCTGGGAGATGAGGACAAAAGCAGCCTTGGGCATTGTACCACACCTAACCAGAACAAAACTGCAAATTAGTTACATAAATACACATTGCTACAACTGATCCAAGACCTTTTTAAAATCCCTGATAAATTATTAGGGAGACCTGGAGATAAGAAAAACAAGAAAAATAATTTATACATTATAACTATATACAGATGAAAGAATGATATCACCACTTTGAAAAACTTAATATTGTCTAAATAAATTTCCATAAAGATCTCAACTTCCTTCCTCTGAAACATACTGAATATAAGAAAAAAAACTTCAAAAGAAAAATCAGATCTATATTGAGACACTACATAGTCTCTATGCAAAAAAGCCTCATAGAATCAGGACAGATTTATTATAACCTATGTTATAGTGTAATAAAATAAAACTAACAATGTTTTTTTTTTCTTTTTACTAAATACGATCAACATTTATAATCTTAACAATTACAAAGCATCTTGTCGATTCTACTTACCCCAAAGGTTTTGGTTTGTGCGTATCTAAGGAGTGCAACTGACATCTCTTGTTCTTTTTACTTTTTGGAATAGCATCTATCATGTCATTTAGTTTGGACCTAAACAACAACAAAAAAATCATTACAAGTTTGTTTAATATTTCTTTTTCTTTAGAATTTTCAAAATCTCTATTTACTACCTTTTAGTGTGAAGTGTAAAGTATTACAGACCTATCACCTACCTTGAAAATTTCTCATCAAATTCTAACCAAGAAGAATCTGTACACCTGTCTTCTCCCATTCCATTTTCAGTCTGTCAATGTTTGAAAGAGACCTGTTCTATTCAACATACTCATTCCCCTAGACTGCATCTGTCTCATTCATCCCTATATCTGCACTATATCTAGCAGTGTGCATGACACTCAAATATTTTATGACTGATTGCTACCTCTCAGCCATCTTCCCCGGTTCCAACAATATCTAAATAAACACTATCCTCGGGCAGCCTGGGTGGCTCAGCAGTTTAGCACCACCCTCAGTTCAGGGTGTGATCCTGGAGACCTGGGATCAAGTCCCATGTTGGGCTCCCTGCATGGAGCCTGCTTCTCTGCCTCTCTGTGTGTCTCTCATGAATAAATAAATAAAATCTTAAAATAAATAAATAAATAAACTTTATCCTTGATGATGAGGAGCCATTAACAGAAATTGTATGCAAATATAGAAATGCGTACAGCTAATATCCACACCCTATATCCAATCAGCAAAGCCTGTCAACTCTAACTTTTGAATATGTTCAGAATTATATCACTTATCACCTCCACCATTACCATCCATGTCCAACTCGCCTCTCTAGCTTAACCAAGTGCAATCGTTGATCTCCCAGATGGTTTCTTTGCTTCCCACCTTTGCCTTTACATTTTAGGCTTCACTCAGCAGCTAAAATGATCTTTTCAAAACAAAAATCACATTATGTTCTCTGTCCAAAAATCTTCCAAGGTTTTTCTCAGGCAGAGTAAAAATCCTACGTTTCTATCACCACCTCTAAACAGAAAATCCGAGGGTTTGGTCTTTAGACCCCTTCTCTTTTCCTACTTATAGTCTTTGTGTGTATACATATAATTTATACATAGTTCAGATACTATATATGTGCTGATGACATGAATTTTTATCTCTAGAGCAGACCTCCTTGAACTACGCCTGGATGCCCAATTGGTATCTCAAACTGTAACACATCCAAAAGCGTGTTCAGCAAAACTGCTCTTCCCATACTTACCCAACTCAATAAATGGAAACCACTGGTCTTATTCTTTAGATCCCAAATCTGAGAATCATCCTTGATGTCCTCCTCCATATCCAATCTATCCAAAATATGAGTGGCTCATTCCTCAAAATATACCCAGGATCCAACCATTTCTTATTATCTATGACCACAATACTAGTCATCATTATCTCTCACATGAATTATTAAATACTCTTTGTTTCTCTCCCCTTCCACTTAGTCTCTACACAGAGGTCAAAGTAAGCCAAACTTTAAGTCAGACCATGTCACCCCTCTGCTCACACTTCAAAATCTTCCAATCTTACTCAAAATTAAAAAAAAAAAAAAAAAGTTCAGGATGGCACTACATAAGTAGGACTTTTATTATTCCTCTGATCTCATTTTGCTTTTTTTTTTTTTTTTTTTAAAGATTTTATTTATTTACTCATGAGAGACGTAGAGAGGCAGAGACACAGGCAGAGGGAGAAGCAGGCTCTATGCAGGGAGCCTGACTTGGGACTTGATCCCGGGTTTCCAGGATCAGGCTCTGGGCCGAAGGCAGCGCTAAACCTCACTGAGCCACCTGGGCTGCCCTGATTTCATCTTTTATTAGTGTTCCCTTCAATCACCTGGCTCCAGCCACATGGCTTCCCTACCGTTCTTCAAACATACCAGGCAAATTTCAACCTCTAAACCTTTACACTTGCTCTTCCTTCTCCCAGATATCTACAGTTTACTTACTCACTGCAAGTCTACACTCAATGTCATTTTATCAGAGAAGCCTTCCCTGACCATCCATCCTCCATATTAATTCCACCCATCCATTCTCCTCTCCCTTACTTGCAACTTACCTGAAAAATCATGTATTTGTCTACTGCCTGCCTCTTTCCATATCAGAACAAAATGTATAGTCACTGGCACACAGAAGATATTCAATAAAATTACTGATTTTGAATGCAAGCTTCATCCCATCAAATTTAGTAAAAGAGCTACCACTGTCATGAAGTTTAAAAAAATTTAACAGTCATCTTCCCATTGATTAAACTTACCCATGTACATAAAATAAGGTATAAAGCTTCTTTGCATCAGTCATGCAGCTTCGAGTTACAGATAGGACTCCTTTGGGCCCTACTGTCAGGGGTTCAAGTGCGGGATTTCCAGACTCTACAAGCTGGGAAAAGAGGCGCTCCACACTGCGACGACAACCAACACATGGGACAAGCTGAGAAAGTGCACTCAATACTTCACGTGATGTCACCACCATGGCAATACTTAGATCTTGCTGCTTAAGCATGCTATGTCGCTGAGAAAGAGGGAAAGAAAAATGAAGAACAATCCTTAAGAAAGACATAAAATTTCTCTTTATTACTACTTCTGGTTCCTGTCTTTGTGTAGTAAATACAATCTGGGCAGGGCTTGCCATCTATCTATCTGCAATTGACTTAGAGAAACAAGTTGGCCTTGCTTGCACTGTACTGAGTTTACTCCACAAAGCCCTCTATTCTAGCATCTAAGGTATCAAAAACTCTGCTTAGGATGTCAGGGCTAAGCAGTATGTGCCCCAGCATAGCAAAAAGCAGCCCTGCTTCAGGAAATTTAGTGTTTGTTCAATGAGTACTAAGCTTAGTACACTCTCTGGAAATAAAAAATTTTAAACAAAGAAAAAAATAAAGATGGTATGCAGCTTTGCCACGTCTTCCTCTCAATTTTTAACAACACACAATGGTTAGCTACAGGAATCAAGTTAGGATGGTGATAATATAGAGCAGCAATTCTCAACCTGGAGGTATGGACAGGTGGGTTACGGATTAGTGGGAGAGAACAAGGCCTATCTTACCTATGAAGAAGCCTGCAGTGAGTAACTAATATGGTGGTACATATGAATGTTATCTGTTGTCTATGACAAGTAGAAAAATGACTGAGAACCACAGCTGTAGAGAAATGGGCAAAACTCTAGTAAATAATTTCTATCTAGATGAAGTTATAGTTATACTACAAATAGTGTTTCCAGCTTTACAAAAAAATATGGGTAAGTAAGATACTCCCAAGAATTCTCTCACATTTACCATTAACCTTTCATTCAAAGTTTTCTACAAAAGTAGAAATAGAATTTTGAAGTAAAGTTAACAATTTACCTTCAATTATCTTGATTACATACAGGGTTTTATAAAGTATCATACTGCTTAAAAAATTAAATAAAAATCATGGAGTTCACAGTATAGTTTTTTTGTATTCTTTTTTTTTTTTTTTTACTTGAACAATCTCTACAGAAGAAAACCAACAAGTTCTCAATGAAAAGCTGTATACCCTATCTTTTAAAAACAGGGAAAGATAGCTTGGTGAAATTAAAGCTGTAGGGACATGTAAAATGATAACCCCACCAAATCTCTTTTTTTAAAAAAAGACTTTAGTTATTTATTCACGAGAGACACAGAGAGAGGGGCAGAGATATAGGCAGAGGGAGAAGCAGGCTCCATGCAGGGAGCCCAATGTGGGACCCGATCCCAGGACCGCAGAACAGGCGCCCAACTGCTGGGCCACCCAGGAGTCCCACCACCAAATCTCTTTCACATAACAGGCACATAAATGCATTCACTGTAGCAGGGTGCCTGAGTAGCTCAGTCAGTTAAGCATCTGTCTCCGAGTTGGGCTCCCTGCTCAGTGAGAAGTCTGCTTCTCCTACCTCTGTCCATGCTCTCTCAAATAAATAAATCTTTTAAAAAAAGGTATATATTCACTGTAGCAATAGTAAAAAAAAGCAATTTCAGGGCAGTCTTAAGATCTAAAGGGCCCTAGGTAAAATGAAATATTTAAAGCTAAAATTTTAAATGACTCTTCAACATACACACACACATTTAAAACATTGATTTTTAAAAATATTACCTGAATAAACTGCTTTAGTTGTGCACCATTATTTTGATGCCCATCAAGATTTAACACATTGTCAGGAAATTCCATCACCATCTTAATATGCAAAAGAATGAAAATCAATTATTTTATTTTCTTTGAACACATGCTACAAACTATTTTATAAACCCCTAGGACAGAAATAGGTCCCTAAAGCAGGATTTGCACATCCCAGTCCCGCCCCCTGTTGAAAGAAGTTAAAACTACCACCACCACCACCGCCCAAGTTATACAAGTTTCTAAAGCCAGAAATGGTATAGTCATTAGAAGCAAGGACACTGAAGTCAGGGAAACAAGAGTTCAAATCCCAGTTCCACTACTTATAATCTACATCAGAAGTCTGGGCAAGTTACTTAACCTGTTTGACTTTCAGCTTCTTCATTTGTAAACAGAGATTAAGTAATAATGTTTAATATCTCTCAGAGTAGGTTGTGAAGATTAAATTATGTTTAAAAGTGTTTGTTGCAGTGGCCCACAATATTTAATAAGTAAAATAACCTGATATTTTATATTAAACATACATACTTATAGTTATTCCTCTTAATTATGGAATACAGTAAATTTTATAATGCAAATGGCCATTTGCATATGGCTATATATGGCTATATATGACAATATATGACATACTCAGACATCTATGAAATACTCAGAATAGTACCTGGCACATACTAAATGTTTGCTCTAATTAGGAACAAAAACAGAGCTATTTATTCAATTATCAAAATTCCCTTGGGTGCCTGGTGGCTCAGTTAAACATCTGCCTTTGGCTCAGGTCATGATCCCAGGGTCCTGGGATCAAGTCCTGCATTGGGCTTCCTGCTCAGCGGGGAGTATGCTTCTCCCTCTACCCCTTCCCCCTGCTTGTGTGTGCTCAGGCGCGCTCTCTCTCTCTCTCTCAGATCAATCAATACCTTAAAAAAAAAAAATCCCTACCAGAGGAAGAGGGATATAAAATTCAAGGATGTTTCTGCATATCAGATAATGGGGAATTACTAATTAGCACATCACTGATCTGTGACACCATTGATTTTAGAAAAGTACAGTGGTTACATACCACTAGGAAAGAGCCTTTATAACTGTTAGATGTCACCAAATAAAAGAAACATTCCAATTTCAAAGATGTTAAAATATGAGAGCAAAAACAGTATGCCCTTCAAAACAATGAAATAAAGTAACACATTTATATCTTAACTAAAAACATTGTTAAAAGTATTAAACATACTGTGCTAGGACAAACTTCTATTTCCAGATGACAAGGACCAAAAACTCCTACATACCCAAAGAGTGAAGTCATGATAAAGAGACCCATTTGAGGCAAAAACACAACACTAAAAATACCCCAACCAGTTGAATATGATCTTAAAAAAATTCCTTCTTCACTAACCAGCACCACAAAGACCTTCTTTTTTTTTTTTTTTTTTTTTTTTTTTAATTTTTATTTATTTATGATAGTCACACACAGAGAGAGAGAGAGAGGCAGAGACACAGGCAGAGGGAGAAGCAGGCTCCATGCACCGGGAGCCCGATGTGGGATTCGATCCCGGGTCTCCAGGATCGCGCCCTGGGCCAAAGGCAGGCGCCAAACCGCTGCGCCACCCAGGGATCCCAAGACCTTCTTTTTTTAATAGAAGTGATTATTCTTTTTCCTCCACATTAAAAATGACAGCTCTTATACATGCTTGCTCTAACAATAAACTAAGGACTAAGGATTTGATAACGGGGGAATACAGGATGTGTGAAGTAAAGAGAAGGTAATACCAGAATGGATAATGATGCAAATATCAACTCAACAATCTAGGACTCCACTGTATTACACAGACCCAAAAACTGCATGTACAAAATGATTCAAATGTTTCTATTTGTGTATTTTCTTAGAGAAAAAGATTATACAAGATATATTAGATGTAGCCTATCTCTGGGCAGTGAAAAGAAAAAGGACTTTTTCCATTATGTGTTCCTACCTTTCCCAAATTAATTACAATGCACATATACTATTTATGACCAGAGAAAGGTAGTGTTCCTTGCTTCCAATTCTATACTCATTATACCATATTCAGATACATGTTTCCACCTCAAGAGTTTTTATTATTCTGGAAGTTTCTTCTTCCATATACATAGACTATTATGTCCAAATCTCATATATTTAAGGATCAATTACCCAGTTTACCCAGTTTTCAGGTTTACTGACTTCTCTCTAGTCTTCCCTCTTATAGTCCTACTAATATCTCCAAAGACTGGTAGTAGTAATAATAAAGATATTTAGTATAGGGATCCCTGGGTGGCGCAGCGGTTTGGCGCCTGCCTTTGGCCCAGGGCGCAATCCTGGAGACCCGGATCAAATCCCACGACGGGCTCCCGGTGCATGGAGCCTGCTTCTCCCTCTGCCTATGTCTCTGCCTCTTTCTCTCTCTCTCTCTCTCTCTCTCTCCTCTCTCTCTCTCTCTGTGGCTATCATAAATAAAAAAAAAATAATAAAAATAAATTTAAAGATATTTAGTGTAGCTTTATATATACTTCGTGTTGTTCTAAGCACTTTCATATGTTAACCTTAACAAACTGGTCACTGGTCTGCTTTAACAAGGTGGCTCTATATGAACTGGTGAGGATGACAGAAATAAATGGGCAAAAAATCTAATGATCCATACAGTCCATTGTCCTTATATTTAACAGTCTACTCAGATTTTTCTTAAAAATTAATAATCCCAATATTAGAAGTCCTGGTCTATGAAAACTGATGAGATAAAAGTAGTTAATAGTACTTTACAGTTAATTCACGTTTTTTTTTTGTCATCACTACATGATTCAAAACACAAAGAAATCGAACTGTCAAGTCAGAAAAAAGTGTAGGATAAACTTAAAGCCATTAACTCAACAGAATACTGTAAACCACTCCAAATCTACCATTTAAGCAACTACCATCTTGATTTGCATTCTCACTTGTTTGATACAAATGTATACCACTCTAGTACATATTGATTGCCACCATAAAAAAATTTAAGATAATTACCTATTTTAAAATTAAAGCTACCAATTTAAGGAACACTCAAAGAATGCTTCTCATTTAACCAAATCAAGGTCTTTCCAGTCTGGTTCATAGGAGAAATCCTAAATTCTGACTCTGTGTAATAATGAGTTATTTTTATTTTCAACTATGTTTTATTGTTTGAATAATTAAAGTGGAGGTCAAAGAACAAATTTAACATATTGAGACCTAACAGCTGACATTAAAATGTATATAATTTAATGGATAAAAACTAGGAATCATTTCTAAAAGGTACCAACAGGAGGACACGGTTAAAAAATTTTTTTAAACTCCTCATTTCAGATCATTTGATTTTCACCTAACCAGGTGAAATGTCAAGATCAGGTCTATTACTGTGTCTTTCCTAGGTTTCACTGGCCTACATAATACTAAAGTTTTTCTTGTAACTTACTCTATACCACCCTGGTTACAAACTCTGCACTCACACTAAATAATTATTCTGTCCTTGCCTTTCAAACACTTAGGACAACAGCTTTTTACCTTGCTGTTTTCTGGTCAATCATTATATACTCTTTAATGTTGAGAGAAGACAGTAAGAAAAAAGGAAAGAGGGAAGACAAAGAAAAGGGAAACACTACTTTTCCCATTCTTTAAAACCACCTCCTTGACTTAATCTTCAGATTCTAGGTTCCCCAAAGGAAGACACTCATGTAAAGTATTTCAGGTGTGGTTTCACAGAGGACTCATTAGTGTTCTGCTTCATGATGAGGTTGCCTTTCCCTAACCGACCAAAAATAGAACCAGTCATTGTCCTGCAGTTACTGCTTTATAAAGTTTATTGAATCCATTACCCACTTTCACTCTTAAATACCTGTCCTGGTTTCTCTTGACCACAAATAATCTGTTTTTAGCACAAGTTCTAACCAACAGTATTAAATTTGTATTTATTAAAAGTCATTGTCACTTTAGCTTTACTTTTTTACTTCATCCTCATAGCTATTTGTAACATCTATCACCTTTGGTAAAATCAATTAAAGACTTAAGAGTTAAAACATTAAATACTAAATTTAACAAACGATAAACACCTAATCCCCAAGTGAATACAGTACCATTTACTATCTTTTAATGTCTCATTAAAAACCATTATCTGAGATGCCTGGGTGGCTCAGCAGTTGAGTGTCTGCCTTTGGCTCAGGGCATGACCCCGGGGTCCAGGGATCAAGTCCCACTTCGGGCTCCCTGCAAGGAGCCTACTTCTCCCTCTGCCTGTGTCTCTGCCTCTATCTCATGAATTAAAGAATTAAACAAACAAACAAACAAAAAAAAAACCCCACATTATCAGAGTCTCTAGTCCATTTAAATTAGTTGATTAGGAGGGTAAACTGCTTCCCAGCAATACTGTAGCAATGTGACACTATGTATCAAGAACTCTACAAAAAGGTTCTTATCCTTTGATCCAGTAACTATACTTCCAAAGACTGAGAAAAAAATTTTAATGCAGATTTATGTGTTATTTATAATCTTATCATACATAATCAAAAGCAGAATCACCTCTATATCCACAAAGGAGGAATGATTAAATTATGGAATGTTACAAAACAAATTATTATATGGCCAATAAAGCTACTTAAAAATGACAAGAATATTCTCAGTATTACATTTAGTGGGGAAAAAAAAAAGCCAAATATAAAATGCTACAGTAAACAATACATCTCAACTCTCCACCTAAGTGTGTTTCTATGACCAGAGTTACAGCAAATGTTGCTATCTTCTTAGTTATCTCTCGCAAGTAGGATTAAGGTTAATTTTTTTTCTTTGTTATACAGTTATTTTTCAAGACTATTTTATAAAGAGTATAAATTTTGACTCTTTTAAAGAAAACTACCTACTTAAAAATTATAATTCTTCAAAAATATTTCTAAGGTAAAATATATATTCTGCCCATTTGCTATTTTACAATTCTAGTTAATACCAAAAGTATTTTGGCCACATAGCATACCACTCTCCTAAATATTCCACCAGCTTACCTCTTTGGGATTTTCTAAAATACACCTAGATCAGTACTACACTCAAGGATTCAAACCCACTAAATTACCAAATGGGTCTTAATGTGTATTTAATATACCACATAAAAGAGGCAGCTACTTCTTCACATACAAGCTTCTCAATTTCATTTTACAAACCCAACCTAAAATCACCAGTAGAATTAAGGCTGGAAGTTTCAACTTGTTATTAAAAGGATGCATTTGTAACTAAATTGTGAAAGCTGTAACCAGACTTAACATCTAGGTGCCAACAAGATTCTAAGACAACTTGAAATAAAGACCACACAAAGTTTTTTCAATGCATTACGTATAAACCCTAAGAACAAAGACCAGACCAAATGTTAACTTCAGGGATACACTGCCATCAAATTATCAGTAGGCCAGTGCAGAGCATAAACTTCTGCTACAGGCGTCTTCCCTCCCTCTTCCAACAGGTGCTAGCTCTGCATTCTTCTTTTAAATAGTATTTGATAAAATAGTTCTGAAAGAAAGTTGTTTCCCAAAATATAATGCATCCCTGACAAGAATTTTCACTAAGCAGCACTCAATGACTATGCACAAGTTCCAAGACAAAGCAATAAATCGTCCCACTCATTACTAGTGATAAAAATCCTTCTAAAGTCAAGAAAAACTGCATCTTTTCCTAAATAGAATGCTATTTTGAGATATTTAAATTAAATGACCCTAAATTTTATTTGCCTTGGTGACAAATTCACAATACAACAAAAGCAAAACTCAACCACCAGGTTCAATCCAATCCCAACTTCTCTGGAGAAATAAGTACAATAATGTATCATAGTGCAAGGTTACATCTTTTTCTGTGGAAAGTTTTAGAAATTAATATCCTTGTACAGAGAACAGAGTATAAAAACACACACTGTTTTAAAGTGCTATATGACAGATGTGTCAATGCTGCACTCAACAAGGTGGTTATGTGAGCGTGTTAGTGCCTTTTAAAATGTTGTAAATATTAAAATTTATGTTGATTTCCCATTTTGATACTATACACTCAAAAGTAACCTTATGTTTAAACCCACTGGATTTTTTTAAACTTCAAAGGCATTCTGGGACAATAATCATAGAAAGTTCATACTAAATTATGCGCTCTAGAAAAGTGTTTGTGTTAGAAGTGGGAGAAAGAAAGTAACAAATCAACTCACATTAGGAGTTTTCAAATGGAGAAATGCATCATTTAATTTGACCAGAGTGCTATTATTTTTTTTTAACTTAAAATACAATTCCATTATACTTTTAATGTAAAAAATACAGAAATCATAACCAAGGAATACAAACACTTTCTAATGCATCAACACAAACTCTATTTACCCTATGTCAGGCCAAATCACTCTTTCTCCACAAAAAAAAAAAAAACAAACAAAAAAAAAAAACAAAAAAACTTTTTCATGAAAAAAAAAAGATGCTTTCACTTAAATAGTTCTAACCAATTAAGTCACCAAAAAGCTCCTCTAGTCCTTTTAAAACTACTGCAGCTCAATTAAATCTTAATTGAGACTGGCAAACAGAAAGGCATAGAGTGGCAGCTCTACAATGACTTGCATTTTATACAAAAATTGAAAAAACTTCAATGGATATTTGCAAAAGAAAATTCAAGAACAGAACTGCCTCTTAAAAGCAAAAAGGCAAAGGTAATACGATGAAGAGACTGAGTTACACCTATCAAAATAGGGAAACGTATAATCCAAAGCTCCAACATCATCAAAATGCAGGTTTCAAGATATTCAGAAAAGGCTCATTTCATGTCTTAAGAAATAGTGGCAAGTAACTGCACTCATTTCCTGTTCAGATTCAATTCAAATTTCTGCCATTTCCTTTCAAAGGAAATAGTACAGCAACATAGGGCAGAGGGTCAGTTATGCTGTACTACCATCAACTCTAAAAAAGAAAACTACCCATAAATGGGTTTTGACACTTGAGATGAGCAATCACCTCTTTATAATGCTCTTGCACATTCACTAATTTTGCTTCATTAAAAAAAAAGAAAAAGAAAAAAAAGGTTAACTGTAAACTAAAAAATAACTATTGCCAAGAAAACCCATTTTGAAGAGTCATGGCCTACCAATACGATCATTTCAAAGAGTTTTAATGTACTAGGCAATATGACACTATTTACAATGAAACCAAATCATTTTTGTGGAATCTTTACTGTGCGAGAGCATGTCACTTTGCCCTAAGTAATTAAGCTTCTGTTGTGAGCTATACAGTATTGAGAGAGAAAATATACAGGTAGCAGTGCAGCTGCGACATTTCCAGATAATTAAGCCTCCCCGAAGGGTAGGTGCATTCTGTAAAGGATAGGCCCTAAACGCCCAAGATCCTTCAACCCCTCTCCGAGGCGCGTGCTTTGGCAAAAGCAGCGTCTCCTAAAGGGACAGGGGAAAGGAAGAGGGTTCAAAAAGGAAGGAAAATCTGGAGAGAGGGGCTCGAAATGCTTACGAAGCGCTGGGTTAGGGCCCCGCAAGGATTACCGTGCGACACACTGCAAAGGCGAGTTTGTGGGGCCTGCCGGAGAGAAGGCCTCGCCTAGGAGTTGCAACACACTGTTTCTCCAGTGCGCAGCGCTCGGCCTGGGGGAGGGGGAGGAGGGGAAACAGCTGCCAGGGGAGCGGCGAGCCCGGCCCGGCCCGGCCCGCTCACCGTGAGGGTGTCGTCTATGTAGAGGGGAATCTGCCTCCTCTCGAAGGGGAACTCCTCCTCCCCGTCCCTGCACACTGCCACCAGTCGCGCCATCGTCCCCGACGCTGCCGTTGCCACCGTCACCACCTCCTCCCAGCTGCCGCCGCCGCTGCTGCTCCTGCCGCTGCCGCTGCCGCCTCCTCCCAGCTCCTGCCTGCAACAGCCAAACCCCGCGAGCGTAAGCACCCGCCGCCGCGCAGCACTTTCGCCACGGGGGGGGGGGGGAGAGGAGCAGGAGGGCACGGGAGAGCCGGTCTGCGTTTCCCATCACCCGATTCCACACGCGCTCAGCCAATCAGCGACGAGCAGCGCCGGGACCCGCCCCCTCGCGCCGCTCGCCCTCCCCAGCCCCCACCCCCGCCGGCCTCCAGTCAGGGTCCAAAGGAGAGGCGGAAGGGACCCGCCAGCCCCGGGGCTTCCCCAGCCCGTCACCGGAGTCCCAGCTCCAGGACCCCACCCACGGCCTCAGCTTCAGAGCCCACCGCCTGCTTCCCGCCGCCGGGGCGCCCTCAGCCCCCAACTGACCCCTTCCTCCCCTTTCTTGGCGCGCCCCGCCCAGTCCGTCCCCAGGGCTGCAGTTGCCCAGCGCGACCCCGCCCCTGGGAGGGGTCGACCCCGCCTCAGCTCTGCGGAGACTGTGAGAGGGAGGCTCAGACCCTTTCCTCACCCTTCTCGGAGGAGGCCTCTCGGTTCTGACCTTCACCGTTTTCGTGGTCGCCTCCCTGACCCCCCACCTCTGCTCCCCGTTACCGGCTGACGAGGCCCGCGTCAGGGCCGGCCTGGGCGGGAGCGCGGCTCCGAACGCCGTTTCCTCTCCAGGCTCAGTCAGCCGCTCGCGCCACGGGGAGTGGGGGAGGGAGGGCGGGGGACGTGAGGAGGGTGGGGCAGGGAGGGGCCGAGAACTCCGGGCGGGGCCCCGCCTTCTCTCGCGAGACTGTAGACCGTCGCTCTCTGGTCGCCTCTTTCGAAACCCTGGTGGCGGGGGTGGGGGTGCTCCCTCGGGTATCTCGAACGCGTGACCGACCCCTCCCCCGAGTCTGGCTACCCAAATAAATCCGAGATAGGGCTGCCCGGAAGAGTGAACAGGCCCGAACCTCCGTGGCCCTGCCGCGCGGGCCCGGGAACCGCCTTCCCGAGGTCCGGAGGGTGCAGAGCCGAGCTGACGCAGGGCCCACCTGAGGGGTCAAGGCCCTGGGAGGACTTAGGTAAGTGGGGGGGAGGTGAGGCTTTCCAAGTCAGTGGGAGCTGAAAAGCGGGAGTGAGGGAAGGGGAGACGAGCGTCTGGAGGGTGAGCGAGAAACTCGGGGCTTGGTTTCCAGGAACTTGACGCCGCTTTCTCTGAACACCCCGACTGGCCGAGGGCCCGCCGCATCACCGCTTCCCCGACAGAGACTGCGTCAAGATCCCGCCCGGGGGAGCTACTGATGTGCTGACAGTTGTGCGTTGTAGTTGCTACAGTAGAGGCAGATAGAAGACGACGTGGGGAGAGGCTCGTAAACGCCCTGGCCAGAGAAACGTCTTGGGCCGGGTTAATATTAACTTAGAGACTCAGGACACGGGTTCCCCTGGGCAAAGTACTGGTACGGGCCAAAGGCCCTTCCCTTTCCTCTGTGAAGGCAAGGTACCTATACCCTGCGTGCCACCGTGTACTCACTTCCTACCTGGAAGGCTTTGGAGGGCTGCTGGAAAGCCGAAACAGTTGTTGGGAAGTATTTTGCCTATGAAAGTCTTGACGGTTGTAAGGACAAGTCCGTTTGCTGCCTCTAAAACTAATCCTGATGACGGTATTTCCTGGTAGAATAGGCTAAAGCAATGATACCAGTCTTTTAAAAAGTATTTTGGTCATCACCAGAAACCTTAGAGACTCAGAACAGCAAAAAAACCCCATAGTGCATCTTTAGCCACATGTTGACTTATGACATTGTGTTGTCACTGTTAGGTTAGGTGACATAATAAACTGGAAGAACCATTGTTCAGTCCCAAAGGTGTGATTATCCAGTATTTATTATTTCTGTCTTTTGGCCATGTTAGGAGAGCAGAACAATGGGATCGTTAGCTTAGATCCAATAGGCATATAGGATGAGTATGCAGCTTCTGACAGGTTAGACTACAGAGCCAGACTTTGGACTTTTGAGAGAGTCTTGTGTTTTATGTATAAACACTCCTCTAAGGAAAAAAAGAATACTGTGGTTTTTAAGACCTAAAGGTGCTCTTATAAAGACTATATTAATGAATGTACCTATTTTAAGTTTAAACTTCTTTTGGATTGTGGTTGGTAAAGGACATGAAAATGACAAGCTCAACATAAAGGTACTAATTTTAATGATTTTGGTTATTGAGTACACACTGGGTACTAGCAAAGAACAGAGTATTCACCTGGGGATTTAAATCTTAAGTTAGAAAGGGCGTTAAAACCCAGATGTAAAACAGAATGGTACTACAACAGTCTCTTTCCATCTGAGGTTACATTCCCTGATTTGGATTTGTCTTTTATTACATAATCTCTACACCCTACGTGGGGCTCAAACCCACAACCCTGGGATCAAGAGTTGTATACTCTACCAACTGAGCCAGCTAGGCACCCCTGGATTTGTCCTTTAAGTTTCCTGAGCTTGCTGCTTAGTATCTTTGGACAATGTTTCACATACCACTGATACTCAGTAAAAAGGTGGATAATTTGCAAGATAAGTTGTTAGGGAGGTAAGGTGATAGTCTGGGTGCTCCAAATATAATAAAATAAATATTTGAGGAGGAATGCTTAGAAAATTATTTCACTAGAAAAGAACTTTTAGAAATTGTAGCTACGTCAAGCACTCATGGTCACTATTGGTCTAGCTTCTGCCAAAACCAATACTGCTACAGCAAATATTTCATAACTAAGTATCTGCATTTCGAGAGGTTAAAGCTAATTGACAAAATGAGTTATTGCTTACCTAAAAAAAGCTACCTGTTGTCTATTTTTAAATTTTAATGTAGGCATTGTGAAAGGCAAGGTTGAAGGATTTGAGAGACCAGGAGAAAGCAACCAACCACGGAAGACCTTCTGCTGATACCTGGTAACAATTGGAGTGATGGAGAGATAATTATCAACAAAATGCTCTTCTTTTTCTTGTTATGTTCCCAGTTTGTGAGACCCAGCCACAAAACTCCAGCACAAATGAGATAGGATTATTTTCCAAGCAACCTAGGTTTAAAAGAAATGAAGAGTACTGATTTATTCCTTGTGTTGTTTTCTATATTCATAGACTATACATAAACTCTTAGGAAGCAAAATAAGATTTTGTACGATTTATACATCATATTAGATATCAATGCTCAAAAATAAGATGTCATCTTCTAAACACAAGCTATTGATACATATTGGTAGATATATACAGTTTAAATTGTATAAAATTAAAGTCACAGGAATGAGTCACTTCCTGAAGGTCATCAATAGTCACAGACCAGATTATATTTTTCCCTTCTCTTTCCCCCTCAGTTCTCTGTCCTCAAAAATTGATAGTTGAGAGATGCCTGGTTGGCTCAGTTAGTGTAGCATGTAACTCTTGATCTCAGGACAGTGAGTTTGAGTCCCACTTTGGGTGTAGAGATTGCTTAAAATCTTAAAAAATAGTTGAAAAGAAAATTATTCAATTAGAATACTTTCTGTTTTCACTATAATAACCATGTTGTTTAGTGTGGTAGTAAAATCAGTAGCAGAATGTTCATTAAATTAAATTACCATGGTGATCCAAACCTGAGATTCTGTGAGTTTGGTTTTCTTTTTCATGAGCTGATAATGGGAAGTTTCATTGTCTGTTAAAAATAGGGACATACTAAAAAAAAAAAGACATACTTTCACCATTTAAATTTTTTTCAGAGAGAAAAAAAAAATTTTTTAAGGGAAAATAATGTCCACAAGTTAAAATGTAAGCCCCTTGAAGGCAGGGACTTTATTTTCTATTGTTTCTCTAGCACCTATACCTGGTACATTGGAGCTCAGTAAATCTGTGTTGAATGATCTCTTTTTGTCCTGTAAACTAGAACCAAGTCAGAATGGTCTTTACTAATTCTTCCGTGCTTAATGAATACTATTTCATTAGCTTTCTCTTAAATGACTTTCATAATTGGAGATGGAAAAAACACAGAGTACGCTTTGTTCTTTTTTTTTTTTCTTTTTTTAATTTTTATTTATTTATGATAGAGAGAGAGAGAGAGAGGCAGAGACACAGGCAGAGGGAGAAGCAGGCTCCATGCACCGGGAGCCCAACGTGGGATTCGATCCCGGGTCTCCAGGATCGCGCCCTGGGCCAAAGGCAGGCGCTAAACCGCTGCGCCACCCAGGGATCCCCGCTTTGTTCTTTTAAGTTATGATTTAGTATCCATAATTGTGACACATAAACTTGCTGAGAGATATTTAAGACCTAGTAAAGATGGAGCAGTTACCAACAAGCAGCAGCCAGTTAGACAACATGTTCTTTCAGTCATCAAATAATTACTTTTTTAAAAATGAGAGAACAATATGTTTACATCCTATTGGCCCTCTGAATGCTTTAATTAGATAAGTTGTGGGGTATTAGGCTATGACATAGCAAGAAAACCCATCACCTTTCCTACTCATGCTTAATTTACGTGCTATAATCTTACTGGTTAAATTTCAAAAGTTTTTTTAATTGAAAATCGAATTTGATTTTTGTTTTTATAGCTGTGTAACTGCTCAACATGCTGATTTCTTCAGGGAAAAAATTCCTTTCAATAATAGAGTAACTCCAAATATCGTTGATTATAGTTGGCAAAAATGCCACATAACTACTAAATTAGCCAACATCAGTGTAACAAATTGAAGTAAACTAATTAGTGTAATAATGTGCCTATGTTTAACAAAGTAGGGAATAAAATAAATTTTAACTAATTTAGAGGCAACTTATTAAAATAGCAAATCCAATTTTTTTTTTTTTTTTTTTTTTTTTTTAGCAAATCCAAAATTTTAATGTTAGAGGAGGCTCTACCTACACTACACAAATGATCGAGTCCTTACCAAATATAAAATTAACTTGGGCATTCTGACCCTTGACTATTTCTGCAAAGAGTTTTGCTTGAAAATGAAACGCAACTAAAAATTTTAGTTGAGTAGGCACTACATCCAGCATGAAGCCCAATGCCAGCCCAAACTTACAACCCCTGAGATCAAGATCTGAGCCCAAATCAAGAGTTGGATGCTTAACCTACTAAACCACCCAGGCACCCTTTTTTTGCCCACTTTAAACAATATACAGGAAACATTATAATCGGAAACTAAGGATTTTGTTTTTTAAATCTTAAGATTTTTTTTTTAAATCTTAAGATTTTGAATAGCCAATTTGAAGGTCTCCTTAGAACTTTTTTTTTTTTTAATTTTTACTTATTTATGATAGAGAGAGGCAGAGACACAGGCAGAGGGAGAAGCAGGCTCCATGCACCGGGAGCCCGACGTGGGATTAGATCCCGGGTCTCCAGGATCGCACCCTGGGCCAAAGGCAGGCGCCAAAGCGCTGCGCCACCCAGGGATCCCCGTCCTTAGAACTTTTAAAGGACTCAAATTGCCAGTAGGATATTGAACTTCAATATAGCCATCATTGTATTAAATCAGCCTACTACTTCACTTTCTCACTGGTTCTCTTTCCCTTTAACATGGTAGATGAGATATGTCTGATATGGCCCCTGCCTGCCTCTCTAGCTTATTACCCACCCTCTCCCTTTTTCTGAGCTCCAGCCTTGATTTCCAGGATGTGCTATTTTCCCAACTCAGGACTTTTGCCTTGCCTCCCAGAGGATTCATTCTACCTAGAATGCTGTTTACCCCTTCCCTTACCACATTTTAACTCCTCATCCCATCCATCAGCTCTAGCTCAGAGAAATACCATTTAGGAGTGTGTGCCTGGGTGGCAAAGTTGGTTGAGTGACAGACTCTTGACCTCAGCTCAGGTCTTGATCTCAACAGTCAGTTTGAGCCCCACCTTCCTCCCCAACCCCCATGCTGGATGTGGAGACTACCTGGCTGGCTCAGTCTGCAGAGCATGTGACTTTTTTAAGATTTTATTTATTCATGAGAAACACGGGCAGACATAGGCAGAGGGAGAAGCAGGCTCCCCCGCAGGAGTCCTAGGATCACGACCTGAGCTGAAGGCAGACACTCAACCACTGAACTACCCAGGTGCCTAAGCACGTGACTTGATCTTGGGGTTGAGTTCAAGCCCCATGTTGCAGTAGAGATTGCTTAAAAATAATTTTTTTAAAAAAATACCATTTGTGAGTAAAACTTTGACTCTATTAGATCAATTCTTCATGATACTCTTGGTAACCTATACTTCATGACTTAACAGTTTATAATAGTTGTTCAATGTCTGTTTCCCCACTGGATTACAAGTTCCAAGATATCAGAAAACCTGCTTATCATCCCTAGAGCACAGTGTTGGCTAAAGAAATTAATCCCAAAGTAAAACTACTGTCTCATAATTACTAGGCATGTAAACTACGTAGTACAATTTAGTCCATTCTTTGCAGCATTTGTTTCCTGACTTAATAGTATATAAGTATTTAATTGTAAACGTTTGCTTTCTTAGGCTTTTTTAAAAGGTTAAAACTGAGCAGTAAAGTGTTGACAATTTCACAATCACACTGAGATGTTTTAATGTAAATTTTATTATAAAAGTCATACAATAAAAAAATACAGAATGGTTTCTGATATAAGATGGAAAGTAAAAATCCTCCTTTCTACCATCTAATCTTTCAGTGTCATGACTCCAGTTTCTTTAAAATAGTGAAATTTAATAAATATTCTATCAAGTCACAAGGCTCTGTCTATTCTCTATTGGTTTGTTTTACATAGTGTTGAGATGCATTGGAACAGTAAGCATCACTCCTATTACAGAGGATTGAAACTCAATTCTATAATAAAATATGGTTAACACTGGGTTGCCAAAAGTCCATTTTCTTCACATTTAATGTTTCTGCTCATTAAGATAATAGTTCTGTAACACAAGTACTTTGTACCTATACTGATCACCAAAATTTTATAGTCTTATCTTGCAAGTGTAACACAAATATAATTAAACAGTTGGTAAACATATAGAGATTGAGCACAATTAAGGCCCACAAAGTACTGCTGTGTAACGTATCTACCATCAGGTTGATGAGACCAGTAGTTATATTTGATAGCAAGAAAAACACTAACTGGTTTCTGTTCATAGCTGTGATTAAACAAAGACTGGGTTCCTTTCTTTCAGCTTCGGAGACTAGAGATTCTGAATGCTTTTTACTGATAGCAGATGGCTGGACTGGTTTCCAAGAACAGGGTACGATAGCCCCTTTAGTAAGAAATTTGGCAAAACTCAAAATTATATCACCTAGTAATAAACTACTAAGAAGGATCAGGCTGGAAGCAACTATCCAAATACAAAAGGCTAAGTTGGCCATTCTCCGAGATACAACTTCTACATTTACCTGAACTATGTAAAGAGATATGAAGAGGCTTATTGCTGTCAGCAGAATACAGCATGTTACTTTTATCCAGTCTTTGACATGTGATCTTTTTTTAAACATATATGACCCTGTTTGCACACCAGCCATATGAATTGCCACATACCCCAAAGTAGAGATTATTCCTTCTCGGTTGGCATTTAGTAAACCAATCCTTGTGCCACTACCATCAGTGCCATACAAAATTAACCTTTTCAATGGAGTAAAGTCCAGGGCTAGTTGGTATAACACAATAATGCTGATGGCCACAATCCAGGATTTATTTAAAGGAAAAATAATCAATAGCAATGATGTTATAAGTTTCACAACCATTAAGGTAAAGAAAAAGTTCCAGTGAACTCCATACTCCGTTAAATGTTCCTGATAGCCTATGGATTTTATAATGACTAATCGTCCTATTCCTAGGAAGACTAATGGCCAAACAGAGTACAATGACTTTGTAAGATAATAAAATCTGGACCCTTCTGCATATTTTCTCCTAACCTCTGGACAAACCATTGCAGTCCCAAAAATAAAACCTCCTACTCCAAAATCCATTGCTCCTGTCCCATAGAGCTCAGTTTTGGCAAATCTTCTGGGAAAAAGTGGGAAGTCTACAGCTAAAATGGCAACAGCAGTAAATGCGCTGTTAATTACACGGAAACAAGAGATGGCTGGAACATATTCTGATTCTAGACTGATTTTCAAGAATTTTTCAAGTATTTTCTGGACAGGTATTCTGGCATAGTAAGTTCTTCTGCAGTATATTTGATAGAATAGCCCTGCCCCAAGGATAATTACAGCAAGGTGCTCAAGGAGGACAAAAGACGACAAAATGGTCAAAGTTGCCACCAGGGGAACTATTAAGAAAACAAAGTCAATGAATAGCCTAGTTCTCCAGGTATGTGAAGAACACAAGTACTGTGAGAGAATGATCAGGAGCCCTCTGCACAGGATACAGAATGCAGGTAAGCACAGGCCTTGGGTGACTTCTAGCACACTGGTTCCATTGTGGTTACTGACAAAAGCTTCCTTCATCTGCTTTTGAGACATTTTTTCTTCCTGTGAAAATAAGAGCAAAAGGATGCATTGGAAAAGCAATGTTCTTTTGGAATAGACATATATGTATGTGACCTGATTTTACTTTTTTAAAAAGAGTTTACTTGAGAGAGAGCATGTTTGGGGAGGGATACAGGGAGAAGGGAGAAACTTAACAGACTCCTCACTGAACTCAGCCCAACACAAAGCTTGATTTCAAGACCCTGAAATCATGACCTGAGCTGAAACCAAGAGTCTGACACTTAGAACTGACTGCACCACCCAGGGCCCCAATTTTACTCTTATTCCTAGATTTCACAGCAGAACTTTAGCCCCTAGTGAAATTAGAATTTGTGATTCCCCTTCCAAGGATCGTGGGAAGAAGCCTAACACATCAGGATAAGAATGTCAGGGCATCTGGGTGGTACACCCAGTTAAGCATCCTATTCTTGGTTTCAAGACCAGGTCTTGATCTCAAGGATCAAGCCTGAGGATCCGCTCCACGCTTAGCACAGTCTACTTGAGATTCTCCCTCACCCTCTCCTGCTGGTGCTCATTCACTCTCGCTCTCTAAAATAAATCTTTAAAATACCGGCGGGGGGGCGGGGGGAGAGGGGTGCCTGGGTGGCTCAGTCAATTGTCTGTCTTGAGTTCAGGTCAGGATTTTGGTGTCCTAGGATCCAGGCCCACCTCTGGCTCTCTGCGACACAGGGAGTCAGCTTCTGCCTCCCTACCTATGCTCTCTCTCGCTCTCACTCTCTCAGGTAAGTAAGTAGAATCTTAACAAAAAAAGGATAAGAATGTCTTGCTAATGGTATGAAATCATTGGTTAAAAAGCTGCAGCTATTCTCAGTATAAGGCAGACTGACAAACTTAATTTGGGATATAAACCCTGAAAATGGACTCGCAGATAGAAATTCCTATTACAAAGCATAGGATATGTTATTAAAATTTTGTGATGGAAATTGAATACATTTAACTGATGACTTCAAGTCAAATCAGAGAGGGACCGGGAGTGAGATGGTAGTTAAGTGCACCCTGGAGTTGGAGACCTTGGTTTGTGTGACAAGTCCCTCTGAAGCCATTGCCTCCAGTACAAAATACTAGTTCTCTAGGGCATCCTGAGCCCCAGGCTGCTTCCTATCTCATTCACAGCCACGCTTTCAGGTTAAGGTGTAGATGGGATAGAATGGATGCTAGTCAGGGGGGAAGGGGCGGGACGGGGGAGGCGTGGGCGTATCGCACACGCTAGTGTTCGTGGTTTCAAAAGGATGTAAAACACCTCTATCATATTTCGAGGTCTGAAATATGAACACAGAACACGTCTGTTGGCCAGACCACAGCCGCGCAGAACAAACGAATGCATGCCCGCCTGACGGCCTGTCTGGACAAGCAACAATTCCTCACGATAACAAACCGATCGTTACCGACTGGCCTTATAAAATGACGGAGTCCTTTTCCTGACTGACACGCGCCACGGCCGCGCCGGCCCTTACACCTCACGTGCCTTCGGTGTCCCGGTGTCCGGCCCGGCGCCCCGGCAGGCGGCCTTCTACGTGAGCCGGACAGCGCGGCTCCCACCGCAGCCGCAGAGCCACGCGGGAGCAAGCCGCTTCCGCCTCCCGAGCCGCGCTTCCGGAAGGCCGACGTGGGGCGGCCGAGGCTTCCGGGCGGGGATTCCGCGCGCGCGTGCTCTCCGCCCCGCGGGCTCCCCTCCCGGTTCTTGCCTGTGGTGGGCCTGCCGCGCGCCAGGTCCGTCAGAGGAGTCCGGAGCGGAGCGGACGCGTCCCACGCCTCGCCGCCACTCTCGAGCCCACGACGAGTCTCTCAGAGTGGTGGGATCAGAGGGCCCGGCTCAGTGTTCGACCACGGCGTCCTCTACTGAAGGACGGGGCCCCGTGAGGCCTTGGCTCCCGCGCCTCTCCCGCCGGAACACGGGACGCCGGCGCCTCAGGCCTCTCAGCCCAGGTTCTCCAAGTGCTTTGTCCCAGCTGGAGCCCCTCACTCCCACCCGGCGTCCAGAGCGGGCCACGTGCGCCCCGCGCCCAGTGCGCGCCCCGCCCCGGGGGAGGAGCCGCGGGGCTCCGGGCCACTCTGCCGGAGCGGGTAGCCGGCCGGTGCGCCCCGGCGGTCCCGGCTTCCCGTCCTTCCCGGCTCGCTCCCGCCCCCTCCTCTTCCCGCCGACTCTCCCAGCCCGCCCGCCTGCCTTTTCAGTCGGGCCTGGCGGGGCCGCGCGCGCAGCGGCTCGGGCCGTGGGACCGGTGAGTGTCACCCCCCGCCCAGGTCCGAAGCGCTTGGTGACCCCGAAAGGGTAGGGAGGCCGGTTTGCCGCCGGAGCGCTGAAGAACCGGGGCATCTTCCTCTCCTTTTTCCAAAGCCCCGTTTGCCCACCCTTTCCCATTTCCTTTTTGACCGTCTCGTGTCCGCAGGGGGTAGCCCAGCGCTTGGCCCTAGCCCAGAACCGTCCACCTCTCCACCTTGCTGCAGGAGGCGCCCCGGGGTCCCCAGCTGGGAGGCCGAGTCGCGTCTCCTGCCCCTCCTCTCGCACTCCTGGGGACCAGGGAAGGGGCGGCTGGCCCCGGGAAGCGTCAAGGGCAGCCGCGCCCTTGGCTGGGTCACATCCACCTTCCTGGGAAGGGCATACCCTCGCCGTGCCAGGTGCTTCCGGAGCGGCATCCGAGCCCCAGTCCCAGCGGGCACCTCGTCCCGAGAGGGTTCCCGCCGGTTCCCGCCGGCAACCTGGGGGCGGGCCCCGCTGTGTTCCCGGGACCCTTACCCAGCTTTTCTCGTCTGCCCTCCCACTGTCCTCCGAACGGAGGACAAACCTGAGGCTGGGTAGGAGGAGGAGCTAGTGATCAGGTTGCCTCTTGCCTTGATCTAGTGTTTCATCTGTTCGTTACCGTCTCCCTTCTGCCCACAGTGGTCACACCCTTTCCAGAAATTCCTGGCTGGTAACCGCGAAGCTGGGGGAAAGCAAGAGCTGGGAGAACTGGAGAAGACTGCTCTAATCTGACTTGACTCTGGCTGGGAACAGACGCATCATCATAATAACCAAGATTTGCAAAGCGTTCTCTAGAGGTACTAGCCCATTTGATCCTTAACTCAGTATTTTGAGGTGTAGGTATTAGTATTCCTTCTTGCAAACGAGTAAACAGAATAAGGCTTAGCGCTTATGATCTGCCTTGGAGGAGTTGGAGCTTTGGTTTCTAACTCCACAACCTATTATGCTCCCCGTCTGACCCTCTCTCTTAAAATGAGCTTCCAGTTTTGGGAGCTTTGTTCTTCTTGACTCTCCGGGTGTCCTCTCGATGGCTGTCCCTTGGACAGCATATGGTCCGTTTCTGTGGTGAATGTGGCCAACACATTCCTGATGCCCTTCTCTGTCCTTTTTCCAGTTTGTATGAATTCCCTATCCCTGAATTCTTTCACGTGCTAGATATATTCGGAACCCCAAACAAGACTCCACGAGGGTTAATCCATTACAGACACCCTTCATCTTCATCCCTCCTTGCTAGGAAAGTGTGAGGCCTGGGAAATTCTGAGTCTTAGGGTCACTTACAGTTTTTCAGAGATTGGCCCTGGTACAGCCTCACAACACTCCGTCTCTCAGATTTTCCTCCTCTGAAATCTTTGCCTTCCTAAAGATGACACTGGACTGTTCTGATTAGTGTCCCCAAATGGATTATTCATCCTTAGTAGTCCTTATTAGTAATAACAATTTTCCTCCTCTGAGTGAATATTCAGATTTGTACTCCTTGACATCATTGACCTTCACAACCACTCCTCATGAGGTAGATTTACTATACCCATTTTCAAGATGAGGGATCAAGGTGGGCCAGGAAGGTGATGTGGCTTTCCTGTGAATAAGCTATGATTTTGCTCCCACACAGCAACCTTCTGAGAGCATCAAGAATTGACTCCAGACTCCCTGTTCCATCAATCACTGGCTATACAAAAATAGAATATTTCTGTCTAGTAGAGAGGATAGGGCAAGAGACTTCTCTGTCTCCCAGTGTTTCCATTCTCCATGGCACACTGACTCAGAACATATGTAGCCCCACCCCAAACCCCTGTAGTAAAACTGGCTCTGAAGAGCCTGGGGAGCCTCTGGAGGCCCTCCTAAAATTTTCCCCTCTTCCCTAATGCAGGAGGTAGGACCGACTTTCCCTCTCTGCTCAGGCTCGCCCTGATTCTCATTTTGGTTCCTCTTGCTTGGCGGGAGGTGCAGGAGTGAGTCACCCTGAAGAAGCCCTCACCTGTTTGGCTCTTACCTTCTCTCTCATGTAATATGCTCTGAGGTGACTCATTCACATTCCTCCAGAACCGAGCCTTTTGCTGGACCCATGTTCCTGCCTGTGCTCCCATGACGGGGTGGATAGCACTGCTTGTGCCTGTGACCCAGAACCCTGGCTGACCACATTGAAGCAGGATGCTCCAGCAGGTAAAGCAGGTCACCCTGAGGTAACCTAGGCCCTGAAGCATCTAAGGCACTTTCCCATCTGTCACTTGGCTGAAGAAGATTCCACTTACCCTGACCTGGAAGGAAGGGAAGGATCCCTTAAAGGTCTTTTCTCTCTTCATGTAGTCACTCCAGTGCCTTTTACCTGTCATTGAGAAGCTTTTCCTGATCCCTAATTTGAATCTTTCCTATTGTGGTCTTTAACTCTTTTTCCTGGGATGAGTATGATGAGATTGATAAGATGGGATGGGTAGGGAAATCCTTAGGGCTCTTTGATGACTTCACAAGCCTGAACCAGTGAGTGAGTCCAGAGAGATGTCCCAGCCTGAACTGTTGAAGTACAGTGGAAGCTTAGGGCTTCCAAGAGGAGGTGTTCTTTGAAGATGAACCTTAAAGAATATGTAGGAATTAGCCAGGTGAAGAAGGGAAGTAAGCAGTCCAAGCAAAGAGGTCAGCCTGTGCAAAAAATATGGGTGAAAATGCCTATGTTGAAATATAGAAGTCTGATGAATGGATCATGAAGCGCATAGTGAAGGGTTGTGACATAAAACCTACCCTTACTCCAGGTGTCTGACTATCTAAAAAGGCTACTGTGGCCCCAGGCCTGTGGAATTCCAAATCACCCATCCCCTATTTGTATCATCCTTTACATGCAGCTCTCCATCCAAAGAGAATGCTAGTAGATAGGTATTTGCTGAATTTTTATTTACAAAATGTTGCCATGTACTGTGCTGAGGCAGATGCTCAAGATGGGGTGCCTGGGTGGTTCAGTTGTTTAAGCATCTACCTTCTGCTCAGGTCATGATCCCAAGGGCCTGGAATCGAATCCCACATTGGGCTCCCTGCTTCTCCCTCTTCTTCTGCCTCTGCCTCCCCTCCCCACCTCGTTCATGCAGTCTTTGTCTCGCTCTTGCTCTCAAAATAAATAAATAAAAATCTTAAAAAAAAAAAAAAAAGATACTTGCTCTTCAGGAGCTCACAATCTAGTGGAGTTCTAGGCAGGTAAGTGCCTGAGACTTATTAGGATCACCGAGTGGAAAGCCAGCCAGCCTCAAGGGAGCCCTGGTGGACAAAACTGCTTGATCATTTTCCAGACTTTTATCTTATGCAATGAGCTTGAGACTAGAGAGAAGCAGGCAGGACAATTATCTGCTCTGGGGCTTTTTTTGGTTTGTTTTCACCTTTTTTTTTCTTATTTTTTTTTAAAGATTTATTTATTTATTCATTAAGAGAGAGTGAAGAGAGAGGCAGAGACACAGGCAGAAGGAGAAGCAGGCTCCATGCAGGAAGCCTGATGTGGGACTCGATCCTGGGTCTCCAGGATCACACCCCGGGCTGCAGGCGGCGCTAAACCGCTGCACCACTGGGGCTGCCCTTTTTTTTTTTCTTATTAAAAAAGCAGTAACATCCATCAAAACCATACCAGCAGCTGCACTGTGTTGAGCCCTACGTAAGTAGTAGGTATTCTAAGCATTTTACACGTATAGTTTTGTTTAGTCCTCGAGCAAGTTATAGCGTTACATGTACAGTGCTACTATATCCCCATTTTGGAGATAAAACTCAGAGAGGTTATGTGACCTATTCAAGGTCACATTCACTGTAAGCAATGTAAAAAATATAAGAAAAAAAAACATTAAAGTTACCCATAATTACACTATCTAGAGTTAAGATTTTTAAAAAATCCTATATTTTCCTAAAGATATAAATATATATTTTTAAAGATTTTACGTATTTATTCATGAGAGACACAGAGGCAGAGACATAGGCAAAGGGAGGAGGCTCCCCATAGGGAGCCCAATGCGGAACTCGATCCCTGGACTCCAGGATCACGCCCTGAGCTAAAGGCGGACACTCAAGGGCTGAACCACCCAGGTGTCCCTCCTGAAGATATATTTTTTTAACTATTTGAAGTTATACTCTTTTTTTTTTATCCTGCTTTATTCTGTTGTGAGGCTATACTATAAATTGTCCACCATTTGGACATATCAGTTGTTTTCAATGCTTTTTGCAATTACAAATAGCTTAATATATGGTGAATAAGAAGGTAATATTCTTATGGCCCTTCTTCTAAAAGAATTGCAGGCTTAAGAGGCATGTGTGGTTTTTAGGCTTTGATATATCATTGCCTAATTAAAGAAGAGCTGTTTTGGTTTTTTTGTTTTGTTTTGTTTTAAAGATTATATTTATTTATTCATGAGAGACAGAGAGGAGGAGGAAAAGCAGCCTTCATGCAAGGAGCCCAATGCAGGACTCGATCCTAGGACTCTGGGATCATGCCCTGAGCCAAAGGCAGATGCTCAACCACTGAACCACCCAGGTGTCCCAAAGAAGAGCTGTTTTTAAAAGAATAATGATACCTAACTTAGGGTGCATATACCAGGTGCCTTCTCTAAATACTTGATGTGCTTATTAGTGTCTGAAGTTGCTGCTACCAGCATTCCCATTTTATAAGTGAGGAAAATTGAGGCATAGAGAGATTAAGTAATTTATAAAACATTGTACAACTAGTAAGTGGTAGAATCAGGATTCAAATCCAGACAATCTGCATTCAGATCTAGGCTCTTGAACATTATACTCATCTACTTCCCTGGTTGTATTAGAGCTGATCATAAAATATGGCTCAGATTGTGATTGTCCTTCCCCCCAGTCCCCCAAGAGAAGAAGGATTTGCAAGAATCTAACCGTGCTCTGACCTCAGCATCAGGGATGGGCCAGGGTCAAGGAGAAACCGCTTTTTTTCCCTTTGGTGCCTATTCTTAACCTCATCCAACTTCCAAACCAGGCTCCCTCTCAAGTAGACCCAGGGCAGAGGAAAATAACTAAATAGACTAAATCTAAGCCCCAAGAACCAGGTGATGAAGATGTGGAGCTACCTCGCAGCTGGTTTTTCATCACAAACTAAATGGTTTCTTTCAAAAAAGGCCCAAACAATGGTTCGTCTGTGTGTGTGTGTGTGTGTGTGTGTGTGTGTGAGTGTGTGAGAGAGAGAGAGAGAGAGAGAGAGAGAGAGAGAGAGAGTGATCGATCCCCTGTAGCAGACCTCCATGTTAGGCCCCACCCCTCCCAGTCCCAGTAGGCTGGAGCTCATTAAGAGGAGAGGGAATAGCATTTATTCATTTATTGAGTACACACTGTGTGCCAGGCACTAAGTGCTTTGTATATCTCTTATTTTTCTGTCCAGTAGTCCTGCGAACTGGTTTTATTTTCCTTTATTTACAAATAAAGAAGCTGTGGCTCAGAGAAGTTAAGTAACTTATCCAAGCTCACAGGCTTAGTAAGTGGCAGAACTGAAATTCGAACCCACACAGACTATGATACTAGAGCCCTGTTCTTTTTGCTATTCAGGCCCCCACCCCTACATTGCTGCCACCTGGTCTCAGTCCCAGTTTTCATGGCCCTTTCCTCATGGCCTCTTAGGTTAATGGCCACAGTTCAGGCTCTGAAGCCCAAGGCGGGGGATTCCTCAGAGAAGACCTGCAGGAGTTCCTGAGTGGGGAAGCCCCACTGCACCAGCTGGATGACCTCACCAAGGTGAATCCTGTGACACTGGAGACAGGTATGGGCCTCCCTTTCCTCAAGAATGCTGTCTCCAAAGCACCCGTTGGTGCCTGGCTGGCTCAGTTAGTGGAACATGCAATTTTTGATCTCGGGGCTGTGGGGTCCAACCTCACATTGGGTGTAGAGATTACTTAAAAATAAAATCTTAAAAAAAAAAAAGTGCCATCTTCAGAAGGGTGGAGGTGTGATGTGGGTAGTTCACACAGCTTCCCCTGGCCAGACCAAGGCAGGCAGGACTCCTGATCGCCAAATGAGCTGCTCCAGACCTCTGCCTGGCAGCTGCACCCAGGCTCCAGGGCAGACTTTGCTCCAGATTTGGGGCTCATCTTAATTAGATTTTGTACTTATTCAGCAGGGAGTTGCTGGGATCTAAAGGCACTTGGCTAATTGCAAAGGTAGCACAGTTAGGCCAGTGTTTGTGTGGGCAGTTGTGTCTACATGTGAGCCAGAGTTTGCTAAAGGTGCCTCTGCCTCAGTCCTGAGGTGTTTGCAGGCTCGGTACGCAGCAGACACGTTCTACACCAATGCTGGCTGCACCTTGGTGGCTCTGAACCCCTTCAAGCCCATCCCTCAGCTCTACTCAACAGCACTGATGAGAGAGTACCATGCTGCTCCTCAGCCTCAGGTAAGGCTCCGCCACTTCCTGGGCCTCAGGGCTCTGCCATATTCATCTGGGCCTTCTTGCAGCTTCCCCATCATTGTCTATTCACCAGCCATGTAGTCATTCAGAGTCTGCCGGTGCCAGGGCGACCGAAATATTTTGGACACGTGACAGCAGGTACAAAGTAAGAGTCAAATAAATATTTGTTTAACTGAGTTTGGAACCTAAAATAAGGACATAGGACAATGGATTTTTTTTTCTTGTTTGTGACTTTATTAAAGGGAAGGATTTACAAAGGTATATTTGTATATTTAATAAACCACTTTTTTGGGGAAAGAATAAAATAACATATGATAAGGAGTGCTCTAGAAAATTCAGTATGTGTTCCTTTCCACTGAGAGGAATGAGACAAATTCTTATGGGGTTGGAGGTGGTACAGGCAGGGAGTAGGCTAGTTGGTGTTTAAGTGCGTGATGTCTTCAGGGAGAGGCAAGAGCAAACTTGCCGGCAGGAGAGGTGCTGTCAAGGAGCAAGGAAGTAGATGAGATGGGAGGATGACATAAGCCAGAGCTGCTGGCAAAGGGTCTGAAGCCCCACAGCAGGCAGAATGAATCCATAGTGCTGCTTCCCTGGGGATAGAGGGACTGACTGGAGCCCACCGTGGGGATCATTACTCTGCAAATTGGGGGAGTCAGGTTCAGGAAGGTAAAACAGGATGTAGGGAAAACAGTCGGAGGCTCTTAACAGTTCAGGCAAGAGGCAGCTAGGGCATAAACAGGTGCAGGGAGGGATGGCTCTGATACTATCCACAACAGTATGTTCTCTCTTCAAGAAGCGGTGGGTAGGTGATCATTGCTAGGTAGGCAGTGCTGGGCTGACCCTTTAGAAGCTCATGCATGGTTAAGTGTCCGAGTCTTCCCTGAGAGCCCATATCTCACTGACTGACAGCCTCTCCGAAGGCAAAAACCATGTCATGATTCCCTGTTTCCCCAGTGCCCAGTTTAATGCCCAGCACATTGAGGATAATTAATATTTGTTGATGGAAAGGAGAACAGTAGCCTTAGAATTCAAATCATGTGGTCACATTTACCTGCTGAGTAGACTGGGGAAGGTAATTTAACCCCTCCAAACCTCAAATACCTCATGTATAAAATAGGATTAGCTATCTAAGTAATGCACAGATTTTTTTAGCCAGTAGCTTGTAGGAATGTTCTTTGCATGCTGCAAAGTACAGTAATGTAAAATAATAAGTAGAATAAGACTATTAAGGTAAGATAAAATGGGAGGATAAAGTGTTAAGGTCATAGACTGGTCAAGGCCAGCGCTGCTTCTATCCTGAGAGAAGATGAGTGGATATAGCCATCATAGGGGTCCCACAGTTGGGTCTAACAGTTATATCCAGGAGATTTTGCTAGAGGAAGTTTCCTGGCACTGCTGTTGGCAGCCTCCCCATCTCAGCCATCATTGGATTAACTACTCCTTGGAGACAAGCATTCCCTCACATGACCTTTCACCCCTTGATATTTTAGAAATTGAAGCCCCACATCTTCATGGTGGGTGAACAGACGTACAGGAATGTCAAGAGCCTGATTGAGCCAGTCAACCAGTCTATCATCGTCAGCGGAGAGAGTGGTGCTGGAAAGGTAGGAGGGCCTCTTTCCCACCATGTCAACTTCGTGACTGGTGGGATGGGCAGAGAAGAAGGAGGTCATTCTTGTGGACTTGTTTGCTGCCTAGTCATTTCCAGATAGTCTGGCTCAAACAGGAAGTCAGTGTGTGGTGGTGAGCAAGCACTGGTCAGGAAATCAAGAGATAGACAGGGTTCTAGTCCAGGCTCTTCCAAGTAAACCTGGGTTAAGTAATTTTTCTCTCAGCCTTCATTTTCTCCTCAGAGGTCTCAGCTCTGACACCATTGGAAACAAAAGTCAGCTATTGGGGATTCCAAAATATGGTTAAGAGCACATCATAAAGGTATTTAGGCTCTGCAAACATGAGTTCTTTCGTTTGTAAGATGACAAGGACAGGAGGCCCAACATGTAAGTCATGGGACACCTATAAGAGTTAAATAAACCAGTGCACATAGGCGCTTGGTGGCATGCTTGGCACATGGCAGCACTACTCTAGAAGTAACTGGGGTTACTTGTGGGAAAGGATTTATTGGAGTAGCCTACCTATATTCTCTGGGTTGCCCTTGATGGCAAGGACAGGGCATTGGGCCAGAAGCATTTGATGTGGTCATGTGGCCCCCTAGGTGCCAGAACCACAACAGATGAGACAGAATGTTGCATAAGGATGGTCAGAGGAGGCTACCAGGCCAGTCCTCACCACCTTCCTGCCAAGACTCACTGAGTCACCCCACCCTTTCCACAATGCTTTTACTTTCACAAGGGATTCTTCAGACCATGAACTGCCTTTGCCTATACTTACATATGAGAGAATTGCTGAGCACTGAGTACCTGCCAGCTTCTAGGCTATGGGCTAGCTACTAAAGAGTGGCAGGGGGAGGAACAGAGATGAAAAATGCAGCATAAGGCTTGCAGGGGGCTCTTAGTCCACTGGGAAAGACAGACAAGGACACAGGTGAAGAGTGTAAGGCTGTAGGGATGACACCTTGGACTTGGGTGTAGAGAGGATCTTCAAGAACTCTTTCAAAGTGACCAGTGCAATAGCTAACACCCAGCTATTGGTGGATTGTCCATTGTCCTCCAGAGGAAGCCCATTGTCCTCCAGAATTGCTCTGGGGAGCTGAAACTAGACCTGGCTTGAAGTCTATGCATCTGGAGCTCAATAACCCTTTTTTGAGCAGCTACTATGTTCTTTTGCTAGGTCTGTATGTTTTTTTAATTTATTTTTAATAAGTGGTAGCATAATTAACATAGTTCAAAAACAATACTGAATGGCTTTCAAAGAAAAACAATGACAGCCCAACCCCTATCTATCAAGACTATTCCTTCTCTACAGAGGCAACTACTTAACATATCTTCTAGCAGTTTATTTGGGTGTTTGTATCCGTATTTCTAAACAACATCCTTATATTGTTATTAATTTTTCAGTTTTTGACCTTATTCGTTCATTTCCTACTATGTTAAGGATTTAGCCCTCTTTCTCTACCCCCAAATACCTATATAATTGTATCACGATTTCTTTTCTTTTCTTTTTTTAAGATTTTATTTGTATTCATGAGAGACACAGAGAGAGAGAGAGGCAGAGACACACAGGCAGAGGGAGAAGCAGGCTCCACGCAGGGAGCCCAATGCAGGACTCGGTCCTGGGACTCTAGGATCATGCCCTGGGCCGAAGGCAGACACTAAACCTCTGAGCCATCCAGGAATCCCCACGATCTCTAATTAATATGCAGTATTACAGCCATGTATATATTGTTCAGAGCAGTATATTGTATACAGAGCAATATACTGTCCTTATATAATTTTTACTTTCCCTCTACTTAATAATTACCCTGTTTTTTCACTTGTTTTAGTTTCTGTATACCTATTACTTATTATAAACTTGTCGCCAAAGCTGGATAACACCTATCCACTGGCAAGTATCTCAGGTCCTTTTTTTTCTTTTGTGATGTTCTTCCCAGAGCTCCCACATCTCTGTCTCCCACCTAAACTGGTAGCTGCCAAGGGCTGTTGCCACACAGTTATTACCTGAGAGCTTCTCTGCCTCACTCTGGGGATCCCCTCATTGCCCTCTGTCCTAAGACAAACTCTCTCTTCCCCACTCCCTCATCTCCTGGTGTTGGTCCCCATGGTTTCAACTTCTTAACTGCCTTGTTTTTATGGTGCACATTCTTTAGTAACTTTCTGAAAAAGGTACATAGAGGGCAGATTTTTTAGTAGTTGTGCACCTGAAAATATTTATTTTGCCTCAAATTTTATATGTTGGCTGGATTTTATAATTCCAGGTTGGAAATCATTTTCTTTCCAAATTTATAAGATTTTTTTTTCTTCTATATTTTTTGAGTTAATGTTATGATAGTCCCAGTCCATAATGGTGATTTGTTTTTCTTTCTAAAAGCTTTTACAGGGGATCCCTGGGTGGCACAGCGGTTTGGCGCCTGCCTTTGGCCCAGGGCGCGATCCTGGAGACCCGGGATCGAATCCCACATCGGGCTCCCGGTGCATGGAGCCTGCTTCTCCCTCTGCCTGTGTCTCTGCCTCTCTCTCTCTCTCTCTCTCTCTCTCTCTCTCTGTGACTATCATAAATAAATAAAAAATTTAAAAAAAAAAGCTTTAAAAAAAAAAAAAAAGCTTTTACAGACTTCGTTTTTATCCATGGGTATTAAAACTCACAATGCTGTGTCTTGGCATGGTTGTTTTGGGTTTTTTTTCACTTGCTGTGCTGGATATTTTGTGGGGTTCTTTTTAACCCGAAACTCATGTTCTTTTGTTTGGGGTAAATTTGTTTGTATTATAGCTAATAATTTAATAATCTCCTCCCCCTCTTTTATCTTTCTAGAAGTTAGTGTTATTAGTAGGAAGTTTGTTTAATTGTCTATATTCTTATTTTTGTCACTTATTCTTCCATCTCTTAACATTTTGTTTGACCTTCTGGCAGATATTCTCTACCTTCCAATTTTTTTGAATTTTGAATTTTTGTTAGAAAGGTTAATTCTAAGAGTTCTCTCTTGTTCTTTGAATATTATTCCCCACCACCTCCCTCCATCCTGGTCTGATTTCATAGTCAGTATCTTATTTTTGAGAATACTTCATAATTTTTATTTATCTTCTTCTCCTTGCATTGACTCTGTTTTCTTCTAATTCCTTTTCCTTCATTTATTGTGATATTTGTCAGTCTTGTAAAAGAGGTTTATTATAGTTGATGATCACTAAGTTTCTATTCATATTTAATGCCTCATTAAGCAACTGATTAGAATCTTTGTTTATGGATAGGATTGTCAACCAAGGATCCTTACTAGAAGTAGGTTTTTAAACTTGTGGGACCCTGAATGCTCATATCTTTTCTCACGAGCTTATCAGTATCTCCAGAGAAGATTCTTTAGCAGAGATATGGAAACTATAAAGAATTAAATGACAATGATAAGAATTAAAAATATAACAAATAATTCCTCATCCTTATCAACAGACCAGACATGCAGATAAATACATCAGTGAATTTTGACAGTAAATCAATAGAAATAATTCAAATTGAGAAACAAAGGGCAGCCCTGATGGCCCAGCGGTTTAGCACAGCCTTCAGCCCAGGGCCTGATCCTAGAGACCCGGGATCGAGCCCCACGTCAGGTTCCCTGCACGAAGCCTGCTTCTCCCTCTGCCTGTATCTCTGCCTCTCTCTCTCTCTGTGTGTCTGTCATGTCATGAATAAATAAATAAAATCTTTAAGAAAAAAAAGAAGAGGGATCCCTGGGTGGCGCAGCGGTTTGGCGCCTGCCTTTGGCCCAGGGCGTGATCCTGGAGACCCAGGATCGAATCCCATGTCGGGCTCCCGGTGCATGGAGCCTGCTTCTCCCTCTGCCTGTGTCTCTGCCTCTCTCTCTCTCTCTCTCTCTCTCTCTCTCTGACTATCATAAATAAATAAAAATTAAAAAAAAAGAAAAAAAAGAAGAGAAACAAAGAGAAAAGCACATCTGAGAGCTATTGTACAATATCACATGGTCTACCATATTTGTTATTGCTATACTAGGAGAAAGAGAACACGTGGATCAGAGGTGTTATCTTACACAATGAACAAAAGATGGCAAGCACAGATCCAAGAAGTTCAGGAAATAATAAGCAAATAAATACTAAGAAACATACCTAGGCACATTATAGTCAAATTGCTGAAAACCAAACAGAAAACTTTTGTGGGAACCAGAAAAACAAAGAAATATTACAAAAAGAGAAACAAAGATAAGAGTGGCAACAGGCGGGAACCCTGGGTGGCACAGCAGTTTAGCGCCTGCCTTTGGCCCAGGGCGCGATCCTGGAAACCTGGGATCGAATCTCACGTCAGGCTCCCGGTGGTGCATGGAGCCTACTTCTCCCTTTGCCTGTGTCTCTGCCTCTCTCTCTCTCTCTCTCTGTGACTATCATAAATACATTAAAAAAAAAAAAGAGTGGCAACAGGCATCTGTCAAAAACTGCAAGCCCAGGGTTATGCAGTCAATTGATCATCCAACTTTTAGTTTCAGCTCAGGTCATGATCTCAGGGTCATGGGATCAGGCCCTGCATCGGGCTCCATGCTCAGCACAGAATCTGCTTCAGATTCTCTCTCTCCCGTGCACCTCCTGCTCATTCTCTCTCTCTCTCTCTCTCTCTCTCAAAAAATAAATCTTTATTTTTTTTTATTTTTTTAAAGATTTATTTATTTATTTATTTATTTATTTATTTATTTATTTATTTATGATAGAGAGAGAGAGAGAGAGAGAGAGAGAGAGAGAGAGAGAGGCAGAGACACAGGAGGAGGGAGAAGCAGGCTCCATGCCGGGAGCCTGACATGGGACTCGATCCCGGGACTCCAGTATCGCGCCCTGGGCCAAAGGCAGGCGCCAAACCGCTGAGCCACCCAGGGATCCCTAAATAAATCTTTAAAACAAAAACAAAACAAAAACTGCAAGCCCAAAGTAATAGCAACATCTTTAAAGTGCTGAAAGAAAATATCTGTTGGGACACCTGGCTGGTTCAATCGGTAGGGCATGTAACTCGATCTCAAGGGTTGTGACTTTGAGCTCCACTTTGGTCATAAAGTTTACTTAATTTAAAAAGTTTTTTTTTTAAGATTTTATTTATCCATGAGAGAGAGAGAGAGAGAGAGAGAGAGAGAGAGAGAAGAGAGAGGCAGAGATATAGGCAGAGGGAGAAGCAAGCTCCACGCAGGGAGCCCGATGCGGGACTCGATCCCGGGATCACGCCCTGAGCTGAAGACAGACACTCAACCACTGAGCTACCCAGGCATCCTTGTTTGTTTTTTTAAAGAAAGTTTCTATCAATCTAGAATTCAGTTACCAGCAAAAATGTCAAATATCTTTATAAAAATGAAAACAAGGGATGCCTGGTTGGCTTAGTCAGAGCATACAGCTCTTGATCTCATGGTTGTTAGTTCAAGCCCCACATTGGACATGGAGATTATTTCACTTTAAAGTAAAACTTTCGGGCAAAAGTTGAAGGAATTCTTTGCTAACAGACCTATACTACAGGAAACATTAAAGGAAGTTCTTTAGACCAAAGGAATATGAAACTAGGTGAATATTTGGATTGATACAAAGGAGTAAAGAGCATTGGGATGTGATATCTTATTTTTAATCTTTTTTTTTTTTAATCTCTAAAAGATCATTCACTTCAGGGGGACTGGGTGGCTCAGTTGGTTGGGAATCTGACTTTTGATTTCAGCTCAGGTCATAATCTCATGGTTGTGAGATTGAGCCCCATGTCTGGCTCCACACTGGAATAGAGCCTTCTTAAGAGTCTCTCTCTGCCCCACCCCCAACTTTCTCTCACTATCTTTAAAAAAAAAATCTTTAAGATAATTCACTCTAAAGCAAAAGATAGTAACAATTTACTGTGGAGATACAATCATAAAAGTACTAAACTCAGCGGTAAAAGAAGAAAAAAGCAAAGATCACGTGAAACAAATCACAAAGAAATAAGATAGTTGGGACGCCTGGGTGGCTCAGGAGTTGAGCACCTGCCTTTGGCTCAGGGCATGGTTGCTGTGTCTCTCATGAATAAATAAATAAAATCTTTAAAAAGAAATAAGATAGTAGACTTAAACCTAGCCATAGTGATTATTACATTAAATGACAATAGACTCAACACTCCAATTAAAAGACAAAGAATGTCAGATTGGATTTCTTTTTTTTTTTTTTTAAGATTTTATTTATTTATTCATGAGAGAGAGAGGCAGAGACCTAGGCAGAGGGAGAAGCAGGCTTCCTGTGGGGAGCCCAATACAGGACTCTGTCCCATGACCCCAGGATCATGACCACAGCCAAAGGCAGAGACACTCAACCACTGAGCCACCTAGGCGTCCCTTGGATTACTTTTTTTTTTTTTTTGGATTTCTTTTTTTTAAAGGCAAGACTCAAGTTGTAAGTCTTCAAGAAACCCACTATAATTATATGGTAGGTTCATAGTAAAAGAATGGGAAGAGATAGATTCCAACACTCATCAAAGGAAAGCTGAAGCAGTTATATTGGTATGGAACAAAGAACATTTTAGGGGTAGGTGCCTGGCTTAGTCGGAAAGAACATGTGACTCTTGATCTTGGGGTTATGAGTTCAAGCCCCATGTTAGCTGTAGAAATTACTGAAAAAAAAATAACACTTTAAAAAAAGAATATAATACTAAATGTGTACGATTTCAAAATAACCTGAAGCAAAAATTGGGATTGAAAGAATTTGATAAAATCAAAATTATAGTTTGAGATTTCAGCATTTTTTTCAAATACATGTGATCCACTCACCAACAGACCACATTCTGAGCCATTAAAACAAATCTCAATTTGAAAAGATTAAAATCATGCAAACTGTGTTCTCTATCCTGAGTAGAACTGAGCTAAAAATAATAAAGATACCTGGAAAATATCCAAAACATTTGGAAATTAACACTCTTCTAAATAGCTTATGGGCAAAGATAAACAAAGAATGTTAGAAAATACTGTGAACTAAATGAAAAGGAAAATAGGACATATCAAAATCTTTAGAAACAATAGCAGTGCTTAGAGGGAAATTTGTAGCATTAAATGCTTAATTAGGAAAGAATAAAGAACTCTAATGATCTGAACTTCCACTTTAAACAAGTAGGAGAAAAAAGAATAAACCCAAAATAAGGAGATAAAAGAAACCAATATTGCACTGTATGTTAACTACCTAAAATTTAAATTAAAAGGAAATAGAGGGGATCCCTGGGTGGCGCAGTGGTTTGGCGCCTGCCTTTGGCCCAGGGCGCGATCCTGGAGACCCGGGATCGAGTCCCACGTCGGGCTCCCGGTGCATGGAGCCTGCTTCTCCCTCTGCCTGTGTCTCTGCCTCTCTCTCTCTCTATCTCTGTGTGACTATCATAAATAAATAAGAAATTTAAAAAATATAATAAAAAAAATAAAAGGAAATAGATGTGATGTGTATATATGCAATGGAATATTACTCAGCCATCAAGAAGAATGAAATCTTAGCCATTTGCAATGACAAGGAAGGAGCTGGAGTATATTGTGCTAAGCAAAATAAGTCAATCAGAGAAAGACAAACACCATGTCATTTCACCCATGTGGAATTTAAGGAACAAAACAGAACATATGGGAGAGGTGTGGGAAGAGAGGGAAACAGACTATAAGAGACTCTTGAAGGTAGAGAAAAAACAGGGTTGATGGAGGGAGGTGGGGGGACACTTGTTATGATGAGCACTGGGTATTGTAAGTAAATGAATTCTACTGAAACCAGTAGAATTCTACCCCTGAAACCAACATTGAACTGTCACCTGATAAGTATTTAAATTAAAAATAAAAATAAAAAAAGGAAATAAAGTGAAAAATCAATAAAATAGGAAACAAAAATAGCATAATAAATGAAGTCAAAGGCCATTTCTTTTTTTTTTTTTTAAGATTTTTATTTATTTATTCATGAGAGACACAGAGAGAGAGACACACACAGGCAGAGGGAAAAACAGGCTCCATGCAGGAGCCTGACGTGGGTCTCGATCCTGGGTCTCCAGGATCGCACCCTGGACTGCAGGCGGCGCTAAACCGCTGCGCCACCAGGGCTGCCCTCAAAGCCATTTCTTTAAAAAGATTAATAAAATTGATAACATCCTAGTCAAACTTTAAAAAATGAAAAATTCACGAGTTACCAATATTAGGAATCAAATAATTAGGTATTAGGGGATCCCTGGGTGGCTCCCTTATTAGCTCAGTGTCTGCCACAGAGTAGTCATTATTTCCTGTGAGCCCTCAGAGACACTGAGTAGCCTGCCCAGGTCAAGATGGGTTGTCTCTTTTCTATCCCAGCTTCCTTCGTTTTTTTAAAGGTGTCCTCTGGAACTAGGAGCAGCAAAAGTGAGCAAACCCCCCATACTCCATTTCACAGATGGGGGAAGTGCCTTGTCCAAGGACACAGTTGAAAACATTCCCCCATGTGGGCAGCAGCGTGCCTGGTGAAGAAGAGGGGTCTAGTGGGTACCATATCCTGAGGTGTGGTGGGAGAAAACGGGACACTGCACCCACACGGCTGTTTCTTTCTTTTTTTTTTTAATTTTTATTTATTTATGATAGTCACAGAGAGAGAGAGAGAGAGAGAGGCAGAGACACAGGCAGAGGGAGAAACAGGCTCCATGCACTGGGAGCCTGACGTGGGATTCGATCCCGGGTCTCCAGGATCGCGCCCTGGGCCAAAGGGCAGGCACTAAACCGCTGCGCCACCCAGGGATCCCTTTTTTTTTTTTTTTTTCACACGGCTGTTTCTGCTGCAGACATGGACGTCCCGCTGCCTGATGAAGTTCTACGCTGTGGTGGCTGCCTCACCCACATCCTGGGAGAGCCACAAGATCGCAGAGAGGATCGAGCAGCGAATCTTAAACTCCAACCCTGTCATGGAAGCTTTTGGTGAGCTCAGTGTTCTCTGCACAGTACCTCAATTCTATTTCCTCAGACCTCCCAGGGAGAGGGGTAGTCCTTTGAGTCCATCTCTGGGAGCTGGAGGATGAGACCTTCTCACTCACTACCTTGGACCCTCAACCTCCTCCCAGGTCCCCTTGGCCTCCTTCTATTAGAGTCATCCACTTCTCTAGCCTAGGCAGATGTAATGGTGTGCTGGAGAGGACCTCGTGGCTCACCGAGTTCAAATCCTGTTCTTATATATGGTTTTCTAATGGTTCAGAGAAGAGGGGAACTTGGCTAAGAATACTCATCAGCTAGCGTCTATGTGGGACTCCAGCCTAGATGTGTCAGGCGGGGCCCACAGCTGCCCAGATGCATGCTGGAGATAGGTCTGTTGTACCTAGATGTTGTCTCACTCAGTGACAGCTGGTTGGTTTTGGTCCTTTCTCTTCAAAGAAGACATTCCCTGACAACCTAGACTTGCTTATTCCATTCATTGCCAAAAAGTTCTAACTCTCCTGAAACACGTTTGCTGAAGCCCAGGTGCCCATTCCCTAGTCCTGCCCTTTGTGACATGGAAACTCACAGAGGGGCCATTCAGTGACTTGATAGAGACATGCCCCCCCCCCACATTGGTCCATGAGGACCCTGTCAATATGGGGGAGCGCTATAAACATAGGTATGTGATCTGTAGGGAATGCGTGCACACTGAGGAATAACAACAGCAGTCGCTTTGGGAAGTTCATCCAGCTCCAGCTGAACAGGTAATGACTACTGCCCCTCTGGCTGATGGGAGGATGGGATGGGGAGTCTGAAAGTGGCCAGGGCAGTTTCTAGCCTGGGCTACACCTATGGCAGAACCCTTCTCCTCTTGGCATGTGATGTTTGTGGGATAAATGAACCCGAGGGTGATTTTTGAACCTGGAGAATTCTAGCAACTCCCAGCCTTAGGGACACTGAGGCAGTGTGCTTGTCATGGCCTGTGAGTTCCTCCTGGCTTCTACCCTTGCTCAGGGACTTTTAGTTAAACTACCACCTCTCTGGGCTATACCCCTGAGCTTGAACCTGGGGCTTCTGTTCTGCCTTGAGATGGGACAAAATGATAAATAGAGGGGTTGGCCCTGTCCACTGGAGCTGGTCACAGGGGAATGTTCCAGACCACCCAAGGACCTGCTGAGTGGTCCCTAGTCCTCAAGACCCACTTTGGCTAAGTGGAAGAGCTTTGGGGGGAGTGGCACGGTTGCATTCTGGCAGACAGTAAGTACTTACTAAATGGCTATCTGCTTGTGCTCAGGGCCCAGCAGATGACTGGAGCTGCAGTCCAGACGTACCTCCTAGAGAAAACTCGAGTGGCCTGCCAGGCCTCCAGTGAGAGGAACTTCCACATCTTCTACCAGGTTTGTGTCAAGCTGGGCCCCCAGCTGCCCAGATTTAGGGTGGAGATGGGTCTGAGCTTCCAAACCCACCTCTCCAGCTCCACCATGTTCCAGGCCTGCCTTGTCACTTGGCTTTTGGTGATGCCGCCACATACTCCTACAGACTGTATGCAACACTTCTTCCTCATGCTGGACCTTGGCTCCCAGGATGGTTTTGACATGAAGATGCATTTGCTTTCACTATCAGACCAAAAAGTCTTTAAGACTGGGACTGTGTCACCCTCCTTAGACTGAGGACTCTTAGAATGGCAACTATCTCCAACAGAATGAAGGCTTTGCTAGAGCTGTGTCTGATGTGTTTCCCATCAGACTTTGGGTTATACATAAATAGTATGTCTACCTTCTCAGATGGGACCTTGGGGCTCCTCAAACAGGAGTCATGCTTTCTTCATCAGACCATAGGCCTCCTCAACAGGTTTTTTTTGCATCAGGTTGGAGACATTCAGAACTGTTGCTGTGGCTTTTGCCCCTGGGCCTGCCCTGGGCTCTGTTCAGGGACCTCTCAGCCTTGTGATGTCAAAGCATTTCTCCTCTCATGGCAACCCCAGGCTTATGCAGGCCTGGGCTTCCTTACACCATCACTTCAGCCACCCGCCCACCCCTCCCCACAGATCTGTAAAGGAGCCAGCACGGACGAGAGGCTCCAGTGGCACCTCCCCGAGGGAGCAGCCTTCTCTTGGCTGCCCAACCCAGAGAGGACCTTGGAAGGTAGGGGGAGCCTTGTCCAGCACCCTGGGCTGGCCCATCAGTACCCACTTACCCTCTACACAGGGCCTGCCTTCATCACCCCTCGATGCCCCTGCTGACCTCTGGTCCTGACACTGGGCTGTGACTTGGATTCCTTTTCAGAGGATTGTTTCGAGGTGACCAGAGAGGCCATGCTTCATTTGGGCATCGACAACCCCACTCAGAACAACATCTTTCAGGTTAGAAGAAAAGACACACCTCTTCTGTTTATTTGGCAGAGGTGACAAATGGGCAGCCACTTTCATAGTTCCCTTTTCTGAACTCTGTAGATCTAGGACTTTAATCCCCACTGTCTAATCTCTAAGGAGTCAACTGCCCCCTGTGCCTCTGAGCCTGGACAGGGCATCACGGCAGACAGGGCATAGAGGACAGTGATTGAGTATACAGTGCTGTGGTACAAAACCTCACACAGTGTGGGGGGCAGGGGGCAAGTGCCCAAGTCAGTTATTAATGCAGTGATCAGATTAGAGAAGCAATGCTATCACAGGTTTGTCTAGTGTATTCAGATTTTGAAATCATGTTCATACCTCTTAGTCCATTTGGTTTTTTAGTCCTGAATGTATGGAGATTTTTCCCATTCTTATACTTTAGAAAACTAGGAGGTTAAGTGACCTCAAGGTCAGACATCACTAAGTGACAGTTTGTACCAAATGTAGTAATTCCGACTTCGAACTTTTCCCTCCTCTTGGGTAGAATGCTGACCCAGGTGAGCTGGGCCCCTCTTATCCCACTGGTGGCCTCCCTTCTCCCTTCTGTCTTTGCTGACAGGGCTGACTACCTCCCTACCCCATCACCTCCTTACCCACCAGAGCACCAGGAGGGGATATAGAGGATAGGCTGGCAGCAGACACAGGGAAGCCTCTGCAGGAAGATGGCTGTGCTGTGGAAAGTGACCTCTACCTCTAGATGGGGGCTGCCCAGGCATGGAGGGGATCATGTCCAGTAGAGGCATCATTAGGTCAGAGCTTGGCCAGAGGGATAGCGCATGGGGACAAGCCCAGGGCAAGTGGACAACACTAGGGTTCTGGACAGCAGTGTTGGTTTGGCAGTATCCTGACCCTCCACCCATTAGGCACAGCAGTCTTCTGCCAAGGTAAGTTGTGGCAAAGCTGATAGCATGTAAAGACACCCTGCCTGGGACCAGACAGGAATGGTAGGAGAGGCCCTGCTCTCCTGATAAGGGTCTAAGGGTTTCCAGGCTGCTGGACCTATGAGTCTTGCTTTACAGCCCCAGGGGACTCAACCATGTGGATCAGTGAGTGCAGAGTCCACTGTACAATGTGGACTGACAGAGAACCACTGTACAGAGACCAAAATCACAGATCCTACCCCAGGCTGAGCTGTCAGAAGCCCAGCAGTGCTGAGAAAAGGCCAGAGGGAGCCAGGGCCAAACCCCCACTGGCCACACAGAAGTGATCCTGGCCCATAGGTAGTAACAGGAGTGGTGTTCTCAGTCTGCTCCTAGAGAAGGGGAGGTACAGGGACGGTCATTGGGTGACTTAGGAGCCCCACTGGCTGCCCTGGGAGGCATCTGAAATCAGACTTCCTGGGTTCTTTTTTTTTTTTTATTTTAAGATTTTATTTATTTATTCATGAGACACACAGAACACAGAGAGAGGCAGAGACACAGGCAGAGGGAGAAGAAGGCTCCATGCAAGGAGCTCGATGTAGGACCCGATTCCGGGTCTCCAGGATCACGCCTCGGGCTGAAGGTGGCACTAAACTGCTGAGCCACCCAGGCTGCCCTACTTCCTGGGTTCTTACCCTGCTTTTGTCTTTTTTTTTTTTTTAAAGATTTTATTTATTTATTCATGAGAGACAGAGAGAGAGAGGCAGAGGGCGAAGCAGGCTCTACGCAAGGAGCCCGACGTGGGACTTGATCCCGGGTCTCCAGGATCAGGCCCTGGGCCGAAGGCAGCACCAAATCACTGAGCCACCTGGGCTGCCCCCTGCTTTTGTCTTTAACCAAGTCTGTAGCCTATAGGCTTGTGATTTAAAGATTTTATTTATTTACTTATTTTTTAAGTAATCTCTACCCACTGTGGGGCTCGAACTCATAACCCCAAGATTGAGGGTCACATGCTTCACTGAGCCAGCCAGGACGCCTGTAAGCTTATGATTTAACTACCTTTGTCACCTCTGTCATAGGCATCATTACAGCACATTCCTCATTGACTATTGAAAAGATTAAACAAAGTGATGCATGTAACTTGTCTAGAATTGTGCCTGGCAGAGTGATGTAGTAAATGGGCATCGGTTAGGAGCTTCTATTATTATTCTGTTAATCGTGATTATATTCAGCAAGAGAGGGGCCCTTCCCGGGCTAGGCTCCAGCCCTTAAGAAAGAGCTTACATCGTGTCTGTCCTCTCCTGCCCACTCAGGTCCTGGCTGGACTGCTGCACCTCGGCAACATCCGGTTTGCTGACTCTGAGGATGAATCCCAGCCCTGCCAGCTGATGGGTGATGCCAAGTGTGAGGATAGGGTGGGGGCCTGTGTCTCAGGCTTTGATCACACACCCAGGGAGCAGGGCACACCCCGTCTGGAAAAAGGCCGACATTGGTGGGTCTGGGTGGCCAGAGGGTGAAATTTGGAGTGCAATGCCCTTGATGAAACTATGGATGTTACTACTCACCCCATCTCTGGTGAGGCAAACAGCAGCATCTGTGTTTTGCAGTTGAGAATAAGAGGGTTTATAAAATTATTTCTCCCACATGTAGCAGTATGGACTGGTATGTAGAAGTCCTGGGTTCAAGTCCTGCCTCTACCTTGGGCAAGTCTCATGCACCAGAACCTAGGTTTATTCAGTCCCGTTGGATAGGTCATGGTTCCAGTGATGACTTTACATTGTCTTGTGAAGAGGGCTCTTTGGATGGAGGGTGATTTGTCCCTCTCAGGCTCTATCAGGACATCAGCCTCACTGCTGCAGCTTCCAGAAGACCCATTGCTAGAGACACTGCAGATTAGAACCATCAGGGCGGGCAGACAGCAGCAAGTGTTCCGGAAGCCCTGCTCCCGAGCTGAGTGTGACACACGCAGGGACTGTCTGGCCAAACTAGTCTATGCACGGTGAGCACTCTGGGCCCTGCCCTCCTTCCAGGTTCTCCCCCCATCTGGTGTTGGTCCAGATAGCATCAGGCAGTAGGCCCAGGCTCATGGCGAAGGCTTTGAGATAAAGCAGATGCATTTCTCTCCCTGCTTCCCAGACCTTTGGGGATAGCAGGGAGATAGCAGGGAGTGGCTCCTGGGTTTTCCTTGAGCAAGGCCTCTGATCTTAATTCCAGAGTACACTGCATGGGGAGGTTGCCACATTCTGGGCTAGATTTGGCTCATTATTAAAGTATAGGAGTCTGCCTTGCCTTTGGCAATGAGTGAGGAAAGCCTGCCTAGCTCCCCACTGGCAGAGCAGACCCCAAAGGTGATCTGAGGCCCTCAGAGTTCCAGGTTTAGACCATGGGTGAATAGGCTTCTCTGTCTCTATGTGTCTTTGTACTTCATCTCTTTATATGTTACCTGGGGAAATTGATAGAATTAGAAGCTTGGCCCACAGTCTTGGACAACACAGTGTGCAGCAAGTGGGAGCCCAGAACATGGTGAAGGTGGGGGTCCTGGGTTTTTCCTGGTCAGTTACTTGGTCATCTCCATACTCTGGCCATGTGGTTTGGGGTGATTTTTCACCATGGGTTCTGAGAACCTTCAGGGTACCAACTAAAGGTGTCAGGTGGCTCACAATCCTCCAAAACTATGGGACAGAACACATGTATGTGTGTGTGCATGTGCTTATGGGAATTTGGGCACTGGGGAGAGGGGGTCCCCCTGCTTTCATGAATTGCTTGAAGAGTCAAGAGCCTGAGAGGCACTACTGAGGGAATAAGATCACTGAGATGAAAATGGCCCAGGGCAGCTGGGCTCAGACTGGCCCCAGCTCAGCAAGAAACTCTGTTCCCATTGCCTCAAAGCTGAATTCAAGCTAAAGACTTTTAAAGCCTTTGTGTCAAGTCACTGCAAAATAAGCAGATAAAATAAAATATGACGACCACAGGCAGAGTGAGCCTGTCTGTGTGAAGCAGAACGTTTCATACGGGATAGACATCGGGTCACTGTATCACTTGTGTTTAGTACCTCACATGGGTTCTTGAAGCCCCTGTGGCAAAACAGAAACCAGCAACTGGGTTGCAGTAAGTTCCAGAACAGTCATGTTAAGAAAAGCTATAAGAGATTCCTTAGGGCAGCCCAGGTGGCTCAGCGGTTTAGCGCCACCTTCAGCCCAGGGCGTGATCCTGGGGACCTGGGATCGAGTCCCACATTGGTCTCCCTGCATGGAGCCTGCTTCTCCCTCTGCCCCTCCCTCTCTCTCTCTCTCTCTCTCTCTCTCTCTCTCTCATGAATAAATAAATAAAATTAAAAAAAAAAAGATTCCTTAATGGTACTGTACATGTCCCCAGGAAAGTGACCTCATCTCAGGGTGGGGATGGCCCAGAGCACAGGATGCCACCTGCCCTCAGGTGACTCGGAGCCCACTTGTATGGGACTGAGTGGGGGGATGTGGCAGGGTCTTGAGCTGTAGGTACCACAGGTCTGCTTTTGCAGGGGAGTCTAATGAACTTGGTTCTTTACAGGCCCCACTCAGACCTGCTCATCAGCCCCTTTCCTTCTAGTCAAGACACCAGCTGGGTGTCCAGCCAATTGGAGACCTACTCCCTATCTAGCCCCACAGTCTAGTCCGGTGTTCTGTCTTGCTGAAAAGACAGGTCAGGTTTATGTATACCTAGAAACAGGCACAGCCATAGTCTGCATTTGTAGTAGGGCAAGCCAGGATGGGCAGGGAAACCATGGGAAAGGGTTTGACCCTTTGGGACACAGGCTGTTCAGTGTGGCACCCTTGCTGGAGGAGCAATCTTGCCACCCTCAGGCTCAGCTGACCTCTCACCAGAGTCCTCTCTCCCTCTATTCCCACCCCAACAGGCTTTTTGACTGGCTGGTATCCGTGATCAATAGCAGCATCTGTGCAGACCCTGACTCCTGGACCACTTTCATAGGTAGTAGGGGCTCATCTTTCGGGGAGCACTCCTTCAGAAAAAGAACAGTGGAGTCCACTGTGTGACTTCAGGCAGCTCTTCTCCCCTCTCTGCACCCCCGTCTCCTCATCTACCAGTGTTTGGGCAGGACATCTCTGTGCTTTTGGTCTGCCTGAGTCCAGGCCAACTCAGATGGTGCCTTGTCTGTGAGGGCCCGTCCTCTCTCCTGACACCCATCTCTAGCCTCAGAAGAGCAGTAGGGGGCTAGGCAAAATAGGCTGGTAGAACATGCTAACATGGTTGGAATTAGGGTGGGATAGTCAGGTAGGGGAGGAAGTAAAGCTCAGAGATGTGAAGTTGACTCAAGGGACAGTGGAATGCTAGATACCAGCTGGGCTGGTAAGATCAAGACCCTCCAAACTGAATTGGACACAGAAAATGTTCCCTAGGCTGCCCCTCAAACCTCATTCAGCTCGTCTTCCTGCTCTTTGCAAAGTAGAGATGGGCCCCACCCCAAGGCGGGGTGTATGCTGTGCCCAGTGCTGGGGATCACACTCATTCAGCTTCATCTCCAGGCTGCTAAGTGTGAGGCTTCGCCCTGGGCTCCTAGGAGTCCCCTGCAGTTGTTCCATGGGCTCTCCCCCATCCTCTCAGGCCTGCTGGATGTGTACGGATTTGAGTCCTTTCCCAACAACAGCCTGGAACAGTTGTGCATCAACTATGCCAACGAGAAGCTGCAGCAGCACTTTGTGGCTCACTACCTAAAGGCTCAACAGGTAAGAAGTGGAATGCTCCTTCCCAGACCTTACCAGGAGCCTTTAGTTCCTTCTTTGATGTCTTTCTGCAATATGCTGTGGTACTGAGGCCCAGCCATGGATGAGCCATCTGGGCCTCAGTTCACAGTTGCCTTCTCCTGCCACCCAACCCCCACTTTTGTCCCCTAGGAGGAATACACAGTTGAGGGCCTGGAGTGGTCATTTGTCAACTACCAGGACAACCAGACCTGCTTGGATCTCATCGAGGGGAGCCCCATAAGCATCTGCTCCCTTATAAATGAGGTGGGGTCAGCTAGTATGCTGAGCACCAGAGTTGGGCCTTTCTGGGGCCTTGGAGGCTATACTGTGCCCTCTGTGCCTCTGTCTTTCCATCTGCCAAATGGGCTTGCTAATCCCTATGATCCTTCCCTCTTAGGGTCACTGTGATGCCTGTATGGCAGCTCTGCTGCCAGAGGGGACTACAGGGTGTGGGGACTGTGAGGGTTGTGGTGAGCGTGTCTCACTGTGTGGCTGACTCCATCCCATCCCACACAGGAATGCCGCCTTAATCGGCCAAGCAGTGCAGCCCAGCTCCAGACACGCATTGAGAGAGCCCTGGCAGGCAACCCCTGCCTAGGCCACAACAAGCTAAGCCAGGAGCCCAGCTTCATTGTGGTACATTACGCAGGGCCGGTGCAGTACCACACCGCAGGCCTGGTAGAGAAGAACAAGGTGAGGGCTGGGCCGTGGTTTGTAGGGGCCTGCATGGCATGAGGTGTTGACTTATTGCTGCCCATACATGGAAGTTTCCAGTCGTGCATTCTCTGTCTCCTGAACATCTTCCCAGAATCCAGAGTCACCTCTTGGGCCTACCTGCCTGAGGTGCTTGCTAATCAGGCATGAGCTGCTCAGGAATGACTCCTGTCACAGTTGGGCTGCCATAGAAGCCATCTTGTGGAGGCCTGGTGGGCAGGGCTGGCAAACTTTCCGACAGCCCTGGGTAACACTCCACCTGGCCTTACCTGCAGCCCTTGTCCTTGTCCAATAGGACCCTGTTCCCCCTGAGCTGAACAGGCTCCTCCAGCAATCCTGGGACCCCCTGCTCAAGGTGCTGTTTCCTACTGATCCCGAGGAGCAGCCCTCTGGCCAGAGCAGAGCCCCTGTGTTGACCGTCGTGTCCAAGTTCAAGGTGGGCCTGGGGGGCACTGGTATGACATGCTTGGCTCACTCACCAATCTCAAACATTTACTGAGCACCTCCCAGGATCGGTACTGTGCCAGGGAACACTGACAGGTCAAGTAGACATGGTCCCAGTCTGCATGGGGTTGATAGTCTCACATGGAAGACTGAGACAGGAGACTGACAGATAATTAACATGATTGGAAGCCTAGGGGTTTGGGTGGGGGGAGACAGTGAGGGCCTCTCACCCACTGCTGATAGTGTGATCACAGAAGAGCAGTAATTATGTGAACCTCTGTGTCCTGGTCCATTCCCAGTTCGACAACTTCCTGCTCAAGCTGTCCTTGGCTAGCAGATTTGTCACCTCCTTAGCATCTTATGCTTTCTGCCATCTCAGCCCTTGCACATTCTGCTCTACCTTCCTGGGATGCCCCTTCCCCTGCCTCTCTCCCCCGCACTCCCACCCTCCACACCCCTTGTCCTAGCTAATGCCTTCTCCTCCTTCAGACCTCAGCTGAATCATCACCTGGAGGAACCACTTTTGTTGGAGCCTAGATTTTGTGGGCACTTTCCCGCCTAGCCTCAGACACACCATTCAGGGGGCCAACACCACGTCTGGCCCATCAGACCCTGGGCTTGGAGCGGCAGACTCACCATGTCCTTGTCCCGGCACATAGGATGGTCTTAATGAGAACAAATGTTGCCTGAATGAATGGCAGTGGCTTCTGAGATTGTTCTCCTCTAGGAAGATTGCTTCAGTGAGAGTGGGGGAAGGGGAGCAGAGAGCAACCAGGTGTAGGATCACAGGTCAGGAAGGTCCCTGGAGGTGGAGGTGAGGAGCAGTAGGAGGGCAGGCCAGGAGGTGCTCAAACTCAGTGAGCACCTCCCATAATCATCCCAGAGCCTGGGAAGATCCCCATCTCAAGGCTGTGAGGACTGCCTCAGATGTCTGATGCAGTCAGTAACTGGGGCCCAGCTGATGCCCACAGGCATCCCCAATCTGCCTGACCCCAGTCTCCCCACAACAGGCCTCCCTGGAGCAGCTTCTACAGGTTCTGCATAGCACCACGCCCCACTACATTCGCTGTATCAAGCCCAACAGCCAGGGCCAGGCGCACATCTTTCTCCAGGAGCAGGTAATTCACTGGACCAAAGCTGCTTTGCAGGGAGCTCCATCTGGCCAAGGCCCTGAAGGGGTGAAAGATAGAACATTATCCTTCATATGGAGTGACCAGAACGTGTCTCCTGGGTTGCGTCTCACATTAGGGCATCTTGTGTCCCCTGCTTTGGTAGGACAGTCAGATATGGTCTGTGGTCTGTGCATGGCACAGTGAACCATCCAAGAAGGCTCCACTGCATCTTGCACTTTATTCACCAAACCATGTTCCCTGATGAGACTAAAGCTGCCCCAAGGAATGGGTGACCTTTGTGATTAGCTGAAAGCCTGTATCACCTTACAGTTTGTGCACAGTGCAGCCATTTCTGACCAGAGGTAGAGTTTTTTCTAATTTGCACAAAAGCAGCCAGTGGCCAGCAGCTGCCCTTTGGGTACTGGGCTCTGAGATGTGAATGAGGTATGAGTGTTGCCCAATGCTTGGAGAGTATCCCCTGGCCTGAGGGTTTATGGCCAGGATCTCTCCACTCAGGTCCTGAAGAATCTTTACAATATAACCTCTTCTCCTTCTCAGCTGTGATTTACTCTGTTGTCCACAGAAAATAAGTAAAAAACAAATTGGGTTGGGCTGCATGGTGAGGCAGAGCCTCTGCACTACTGGGAGTGGTGAGATAAAAGCAGGACCAGCACTTGTCTCAGCTGAATCAGAAGCCAGGCATCAGAAAAAGGAACCTAGGGCCACCAGAACCCTTTCTAGAAGGGAGATGTTCTTGAGGTCCCAAAGAGTATATCCCCATTAGCCAAGCCTCTGGACAGCCTGCAGGTTCATACTGACCAGGGCCACAGTATGGCCTCAGAAAAGGCAGAAGGAGTGGTATATCTGGCCTGCTGGCCCCATGCCGCAGGTGCCTACCCTTTCTCCCACACTTGCAGGTCCTGAGCCAGCTGGAGGCGTGTGGCCTTGTGGAGACCATCCACATCAGTGCTGCTGGCTTCCCTATCCGGTGAGTGGGCTGAGCCTACATGGGGCAGGGCCAGTCCTGGGATTCAGGTGTGATGAGAGCTGCCCAGCCCAGAGCAGGAAGTGGAGGTGAAGAGAAAGAGGCAGGTCCACAGAGGTCAACCTGGAACTCGAAAGGCTTCACTTGTTCATTTATCCATTCTCTTTCATGTACTGTTTTGTACCGGGCACTGCTTCTAGCCTCAGTGAATAAGGAAGGTGAGCCTCTGCCTCTTGGAGCATATGTTCCTATGGGAACAAGTATAAGAAGTATAAAGTTAGGGATCCCTGGGTGGCGCAGCGGTTTGGCGCCTGCCTTTGGCCCAGGGCGCGATCCTGGAGACCCAGGATCGAGTCCCATGTTGGGCTCCCGGTGCATGGAGCCTGCTTCTCCCTCTGCCTGTGTCTCTGCCTCTCTCTCTCTCTCTCTCTCTCTCTCTCTCTCTCTCTCTCTCTCTCTCTCATAAAAAAAAAAAGAAGTATAAAGCTATACAGTGCTACAAAAGAAACAACGCTGCTCCATAGACTAATGCGGGAAGAGGATCTTTGGGCTGGTCAGGGAGGGGCCCCTTTAAGCAGCTCAGGTCTCTGGGGGAAGAAACAGCAAGCACACAGCTCCCAACTTAGGAACTAAGATGCTAAAGTGACTGGAGTTTAGAGACCTGGGGGAGGGGGGCCGCACAGGAGGAAGCAAGGGAGGCTGTGGTGTCAGAGAAACCAGAGATGTGGCTGATTGTATGCAGCAGGAGCCATCCAGATGGGGAGAAGCCTGCAAGCCCCTTTGGAAGCAACCCGCAAATCCCCTAGGTAAAGGGCAAGCCCTTTGTTTGGGTAGCCCATGGCTGCAGGAAGAGCAAACCCAGTTTAAAATGGTCTCTACTGGCTTCCCGTGAGTGATTATAGTAATCCCTCCAGAACCACCACTTCATCCATTCAGTGGACACAGGGCAGCGCCTCTCTTGGCTGCTGAGTAGATTAAATAGAGGAACTCCCTGTGGCCCCAAGCGCTGTGCCAGGCCCATAAATGAAGTCACTTCATTGTCTTCTACCTCCTTTGGCTTTCAGGATCTCTCATCAGAACTTCGTGGAACGATATGAATTACTGAGAAGGCTCCATGCTCGCACATCCTCTGGCCCCCACAGCCCATCTCCTGATGAACAGCACTCAGGTGAGTGGGGCCCATTTGATACTCATTTGTTCAAGCACAGTTAACTGAGCATCTGTCCTGGGCCATCTCAGAGCTAGGAGCAGGGCACTCAGAGCAGAGTAAAACATGGCCCTAGCCTCATGGTTCTTGGTTCAGTGGAGGAAACAGACTAAAAGACAACAAACAGTGGGGAAAGTAGAAAGGCAGAGGTAGGAACAGAATGCCGTGGGGAGTGCTGGGGAGGTGTGAATCAGGGAAGGCTTCCTAGAGGAAGTGGTGTCTGAGGACAGATGATATTGACCAGGTGAAGGGCATTCCACAAGACAGGTAATTGAACAGAGGCCTACAGGCAGGAAACAACACTGTGTGTGAGGCACTCCAGGCCAATTTTGCCTGCCCATAAGGGCAGAGAACAGTTGGAGGTGAGCCTGGGGTGATAGGCAGGCCATATCAGAGAAGCGAACTCTCTGAACAGATGGAGGCATCTCAGAGGAGGAAGGGAGTGATGTTAGCCTTGTGCTTTCTGGAGAGCACTGTGGGGCCCCCATAGCAGACCATGGGAGTGAGGCTGTTATGTTGGCCAGAGTCAAGAGAAGCTAGATGTGGCTATAGTGGGCAGTGTTGGGAAGAAACTGGCCAGACTGTGCCTGGCCTATGGGGAAGAGAGGTTTGGGGGAAGTTGCTGACTTGAACTCCAGGTCCCTGGAGTCATCCGATGGAGAGGTATTCAAGACACTTGGCACACTCTAATCAAGGGAAAGGTCTGGCATGTGGCCCCAGTTTGGAGGTTGTCAGCTGGTAGGATAAGACCCCTCCCCCTCCGCACAGGTGGAGGAAGAGGCCAAGGACTGGGTGTGAGGCCTCTGCTCAGCAGGATCCCACCCCAGCAGTAGGTGCTCCCACACACACAACCTTACCCTGGAGCCTGTCAGACCTGGGACAGTTCTGCTTCCCCTCCTCTCTCAGGCAGTTTTGTCACTTTCATTCTTTCTCCCACCTCTTTCCTCCCCTTCTCTTCTGATCTGTTCTACTGCACTGTCTCGTCCCCAAAGCCCCCTTCGCCCCTGGTTGATTTTGCGGTTTCTCGTCTACGGCGTCTTCTTTGGCAGCCTCTGTCCCCAGAGAGGCACTGGGCAACAAAAGGTGGTCAGAGCCCTCAGGTAAATCCTCTACAGGAGCCAGTCCTGCATGCCGCGGGAGGTCAAGCAAGGGGACCTGCTGGGCCTCCCTGGGACTGGGATTTGTTCTCCCTTTTCTCCTACATGGCAGGGAGTTAAGGGGTCACGGGCAAAGGGAATGGCCCAGCTGCCCTGCTTGGCCCTCAGCATGTTGGGGCCTTGGAACAAAGGCTGGCTGAGTAGCCTCGGTTTCCAGATTGGAGTCCTGCCACCAAGTGCCCTTTGCCAGCTTGCCCAGGGGACCCATGGGAATGGAGGCTGCAGGCCAGCCCAGGGCACAGTCACAAGTGGGGATTCCAGTGTTCCTCAGAATAGCCAAGGCCTGAGGAACAACAGAGGGGTCACCTATGGCTTCCCCAAAAAAGGATGAAGAAGTGGTTAGAGCCAAGAACAGCAGCAAAGAAGCCTGTGGAGTATTGGGGAGACCAGAACCAATTTCTTAAGTCTGTAGAAGTGTGCAGATGACCAAGAGCTGATGGGACCTCTGTCTCCCATCCTACAGAAGGGTCTCCGTGCACGGAGGCGGCCACACTGCAACCTCTCCTTCAGGACATCCTCCACACTCTACCAGCTCTGTCTCAGGCTGCAGCCACACTCAGTGACCCAGCTGAGGCCACACCAGCCCCAGTTTGTTGTGGCAGAACCAAGGTGTTCATGACTGACTCCATGGTAAGCTGGTTTGTGCTAAGGAGGGGAATTCACACAAGCCAGTCTCATGCTCCTCAGCAGGACACAGTGTAAAGGACCACTTCAGGGCAGTGGGAGGAGAGGCCAAGGACCTCAGTGGATACTCCTCCTTCCAGCTGGAGCTTCTGGAACATGGACGTGCCCAGGTGCTGGAACAATGTGCCCGCTGCATCCAACGTGGCTGGAGGCGACACTGGCACCGCAAGCAGGAGAGGCAGAGGCAGGCCGCTGTGCTCATCCAGGCAGGTAGGAGGGGCAGGGCTCTGGGCACACAGCCACAGTTCCAGGCCAGCAGACAGGCCTGCGTGTAGCCACTGTCAGCTGCCGCAGACCCCATATGATACAGATTTCCTTTGAAATGGTGCTCTTTGAGACCCCATATGCCAAGGGTGTGTCCCAGCCTCAAGACATTGACAGTACGACCTTATGGTGCACTGGGATTCAAATTCTGATAAACCTCACCCAGCGTGTCTCTCCAATTCAGTGGAAACTAGGTCACACCACAAATAAGGGTGCTGTGTAGGTAGCAGAGGCTAAAAATTTGCCTTGAATTCCCAGACCTAGAGAGCAGTTTTTGCCATCTTCCTTTTTTTCTATGACAAATCATTACCTATTGCGTCCAGGGCTCATAATGAGTTTGAGAAGGCAAAAATTAACAAGATTTGATTCATCAAAGGAAGAGATATAGGAACCATGTTCATGGTAGTCATATTTTGAAAATAAAAATACGAGAAACAATCCACATATCTGACAGTGGTAAACCCACGGCTATATTATGGACTATCCTTCTGATGCAGCTAGGAAGTCGTTCTGAAGAGTGTTTTAAATTTAATGGAAAACCACTTCCAATATGATATTTAAACCAGGATGCCAAACTGCACATCAGGGGTGATGTTACCTTCCTTAAATGTGTTTCTGTGTGTATAGACGTAAAAAATCATATAAGGAAGCATTATAGAACTGTAAGGGTTGGTGGGACACCAACGTGGCTCAGCGGTTGAGTGTCTGCCTTTGGCTCAGGGTGTGATCCCGGAGTCCCGGGACCGAGTCCCACGTTGGGCTCCCTGCATGGAGCCTGCTTCTCCCCCTCTGCCTGTGTCTCTGTCTCTCTGTGTCTCTCATGAATAAATAAATAAAATCCTTAAAAAACAAAAAAACTAAGCGTTGGTGAAATAACAGGATTTGGATCTGTCTTTAAACTTTTTAGTTTTCTAGAATCCAAATGTGTTAATATTGAATGGAATAGCCCCTTTTCTGAATGCAGCTATACCAAAAAGAACCAGAAAATGCTGAAATTGCAAGAGAAGGAAATGAAAACTGCCACATGATCAGTCTACCATCCAGTAGTTCTCCCATTTACCAACACGTGGATGCACAGTGGGGTCACTGTTTGTGAATTCATAAAGCTAGTAAGCAAATTCAACTGAAGATTTCCCAGAAAACAGAACCCTTCTGTTCCCTGGGCATTGCCCCAGACAGACCCTAATGCAGGAGGTGAGTGTGCTCCCCCCTGCCCCCACTGCCCCTGTCATGCAAGGTCTCTCCCAGCCTAATGGTCTGAGAGAGAGAGATCTTTCAGAGCCAGGGTTCCTTCAGAACTGACTTTAGTTCCCTATCTTATGTAGTGGCACAGGGTAGCATTCATGGAAAAGGCACCTATTCCAAACTTCTTCAGCACCAAGTTAACAATAGTTCTAATGAACTATTGTCTAATGACTTCTTTTGTTTCTGGGCAAATCCCTTAGCCATCCGTTCCTGGTTAACTCGGAAACACGTCCAGAGACTGCACACAGCTGCCACAGTCATCAAGCGTGCATGGAAGAGATGGAGAGTGAGTATGTGACTCAAGTAGTCAGGATGGATGGACAGCTTGGTACCAGATGGCCCTGGGTTAGAATGCTGGCCCTGCCACTGCACACTGGATGGCCTGATCCTCGTGCAGGAAATACCACCTGTCCCGTAGGGTGGCTGAGACATACAAAGGGTGGTGTAAACAACTCCAGGAGTATAGTAAAAACCATGAAATTGGGCAGCCCCGGTGGCACAGCAGTTTAGCGCCGCCTGCGGCCCAAGGTGTGATCCTGGAGACCCGGGATCGAGTCCCACGTCGGGCTCCCTCCTTGGAGCCTGCTTCTCCCTCTGCCTGTGTCTCTGCATCGCGCTCTTTCTCTCCCTCTCTCTCATGAATAAATAAAATATTCAAAAATAAATAAAAGTAAATAAAAAAATAAAAACCATGAAATTATTTAAAGGGGTGAATTTTATGATAGATCAATTAGATTTCAATAAAGCTATGATATAAAAAATAAGGCTATCTTTAAAGTGGCATACATTAGGCCTAAGTACAGTGCCTTGGGTAAAAAGTTCAGCCACATGGTGCCAATCTAGTTGAAGGCATCCAGCTTTTCAACAGGTGCCCTTCAGTTAACCTCATTAAGCTGTATCATTAAAGATAGTTTTGGTTTCCATTAAGAGCTAATAAATTGAGAACTATAAAGTAGCTTTTTTTTTTTTTTTTTTTTTAAGATTGGAATGGCCTTCCTTGCTTCTAAAGAACTGGATGATGTGGAGGAAAAACACGTGTCTCCGGTTCCCCTTTCCACGGGCTCCTGCCTGCTGCCACAGACACAGAGCAGCCTCCTGGCAGCAATAATCCGCCTCTGGCCCCTGGGACTGGTCCTTGCCAATGCATCGGTGGGTGTCCAGGGCTTTCGGAGGAAGCTGGTGGTCTGGGCCTGCCTCCAGCTACCCACGGGGAGCCACAGCAGCCACAATGTCCAGACGGCACAGGAACAAGCTGGCATCACATCCATCCGAGCACTGCCTCAGGTAAGCTGTGGACAGGATGGCCATCCTGCCCAAGATGGCTCTTAGCCCCTCATGTCCCCGTAGAAAGCAAGAGGCTGGGAAAAGGGCTGTCCTGCCCCTGCTCGGACAGAACTCTCTGCTTCCCAGCTGGCTGCAAGTCTGGGTTGTTTCCATCACTACAACTAGGAATTTTCTAGAGCCCTTTCACTTTTTAAAAACTGCCTCTGACTGTTCTGGCATCTCCTCTGAATCTCCATAACTAGTCTTACTTTTTAAAGTTTAGGTTGTGCGGGGGGGGTGGGGGTGAATGGGTGACGGGCACTGAGGGGTACACTTGACAGGATGAGCACTGGGTGTTATTCTGTATGTTGGTAAATTGAACACCAATAAAATTAATTAAAAAAAAAAAAAAGTTTAAGTTGTGGGCAGCCCCAGTGGCGCAGCGGTTTAGCGCTGCCTGCAGCCCGGGGTGTGGTCCTGGAGACCCGGGATCGAGTCCCACGTCGGGCTTCCTGCATGGAGCCTGCTTCTCCCTCTGCCTGTGTCTCTGCCTCTCTCTTCGCTCTCTCTGAATGAATGAATTGGTTGTGAAGACAGCTTATACTCTCAAATAACACTGAATTTAGCATATTTTCCTCCAATTATTACTTGGTTTATCTCCTGTTCCAGCTGCACAAATGACAAGCAGCTAAGTCGGTGGTCCCAGAACTCTTTTTATATTATGGGCTCACGCTCAGCCTCTTACATGGGGTCACAGCAAGGTTTAAGGGACACAAGTCAAAAGGAAGTGAAACAGTGGGTTTCCATACCAAAAGAAGGGATGTAATCTGGATAAAGTCTCCTATGACAACAGGCTAGCCAGAGTATAAACAGAAGTGTAATTGTTTGCTCTTCCAGTTTTAAGCAGTCTTAACACTGTGACAGGTAATACTCTTAGGGGAGAGCTCCTTCACCCATCACACTGAATGGATGTAAAATTTATATTTTAATACTGCTTTGGACTTTGCCACTGGTTTAGAATGAGAAAAAAGCATTAACTCAATCCTGCTCTTGCTGTGACTCTCATACCAGTACTTGTTCACACCTCTGCATTTCTAGCATTTGCTCTGTGAGGCACCTGGAAGCTGGCACTCCTGGGAGCTGGAATTAAGCTCTTATCTTATCTCTCCCTAGGGCTCAATCAAGTTCCACTGCAGAAAGTCTCCACTGCCATATGCTGACATCTGCCCTGAACCGTCACCCTATAGTGTTACTGGCTTTAATCAGATTCTGCTGGAAAGACACAGTCTGGGCCACGCGTGATGTCTTCTCACCTCTCAGCCTCACCTGGCTGGGCAATCCTTTGGTGCCTTTGTGTCTACGAGGCCTTTTCCTGCCAGCTGCCTTGCCAAAGACATTTAATCCACAAAAGCTGCCAAACTACTCCCACAGCAACTCCAAACACCTGAGAGCGAGTAAAGGCTGCCTGCCGCAGCCCTACACAAGGGACCTGGGGCTCCCATCGACATCTCCGAGCCCTGACAGGGGTCAGGGGTTGGTTACCAAATCAGGGCTAAGAAACCTCAGGGCCACAGAGCACTACTTCCCACATTTTACTACCCTCATAGATCCAGCTTAGCAGTGGAGTCTGTCACTACAGTGGGGCTCCCCTGATTCCCTACAAACAGAACAGACGTCGGCTTGAAATTAGCTCTAAAATTTCAACTGGGATATTTACAGGAACAAAACCCTACTATTTAATACATTGATTTATTTAATGTAATTTCAAGCAATTATGAATTAAGGATGAACAAAGTAATTTACCATCAAATCACTGTATCTTGATTTTATTTAGCGACATTAAGCAAGTTTTAACTCAAATGAGTATGAAACTTGACAAATTCTGTGTGATGTCTAAACACCAAAATTAAAACATTTAAAGACAACTATCTGAATGTTAAGTTCTCCCTCCAATAAAGGGTTTACCACCTCGAGTATCCTCATCTTGCCTGAAACACACACCCTTTGTGCGGCACACGCTTGCTGAGGGCCCCACGCTAGCTCTTCTCGGGGGAGGAGACAGGTTCTTAGAGTCACGCACCCATGTTCGAGTGAGCAGGACAATAGTCCATCTTAGGAATCCTCATCCTGGGATGGTTCCACAATCCGTAAACAACAGTCTGCAAACTCCACAAACAAGGGCTCCTGCATGCAGGCTCGCATGAGCTTCGCCTTGTTGTCGCCCTGATCGAGGCTGACCATCAGCTGTCTAAGGTGTGGGTTGAGCAGGAGGCTTCTTAATGCTGCAGACTCCCCTTAAAAATGAACAAGCAAGCCAGAGTGAGTTCAAGTGGAAACAGGTGATAGCTAAAAGCTAAATGTGTCCAGTGTAGTACATATCAAGGGTGCTGCATCCCCGTAACCTTTAAACTCAAGAACGGAACCAATGCTCCACATAAACAGGATGAGGTCAGCATATCAGATGATCTCCAAGTTAAATGCCATCACAGGTTCTTATTCTTGGGATCTCTGTAAATAATTTAACTTTATGCCATTTCAACTAGGACAAAACCTCAGCACCAATACAGAGGACAGCAGCAAGTTGCTGGCATGCTCTGTTCTTAGGCCTGAAGGGTCTCACTGGTGAGGAGACTTCTACCAAATACTCTGGATGCTGCTGACGTCAGCACATGGCCCTTGCACAGCAGCCTCAGAACAGATACTGACGTCTGCATGGTGCTTTATAGTTTACAAAACTTCACACCTGCCCTCAGGCTTATCACTGCTGTGGGACTGGGTGCACAGCAGGGTGGGCCTGACGATGAGACAGAAACAATGAAACCTCCCATGTTCAGGAACTGCACTGACCTGTTAATCACACATCATAGAGCTGCCACAGGACTGACTGCACAGGCCTACAACAACACTGGACATTATTAACACCCCAGTCCCTCTAAAAACCCAAATCCAGGGATTACCGTCTGTTGTGATGGCCAGACCGCACACTGAGCCCGGGGTAGGTGGGAATAAATGCCAGCCCCTGCCCTATAGACTGGTGGGGGAGAGAGATTAACATAAAATACGACGGGTATATTTCAAGGCCCTATGAGAAGGTGAAAAGTGCTTACTTCTGAGAAAGACAAAAGGTCAAAAAAAGTTTAGCTGAGGAAGGGTAACCTGAACCAAGCCTTGAGGGAGAATTTTGCCAACCCACCAAACCAGTAGGATTCCAGGCCAAAGGAGTTGTAGGGAGGCTGGGAGATGTGGAAGCCCTGAGTATTTACAGAATTGTGTGGCTAAAGGACTCTGCATGCCATTCTCAAGGACAGGGGACCCTTATCACAGGTTTGAGCTGCACGGGCCCACTTATATACAAGGTTTCTTCCCCACAAATACAGTGCTATAAATGTATTTTCTCCTCCTCGTGATTTTAACATTTTCTTTGCTTTCATTCACTTTATTGTAAAAATGCAGCATATAATACATAAAACATACAGAACACATGTTAACTGTGCTATCAGTAAGGTTTCCAGTCAACAGGAGGCTATTCGTAGTTGTTTTGGGGAGTCAAAAGTTATACACACATTTTCAACTGCAGGGTGGTTGGGCAGGAGCCCTACCCCTGCACTGTTGGGTCACCTGTATTTAATAACTTAAAAAAAAAATCACTTTCTATACATTGGATTAAATGTATCAGTGGTTGATAAAGAAGCACAGCACAGACTTACCTAAATTCTTTAAATTCTGTAAAGAAACTCTGTCCTCTTCCTCATCGCTATTGAGAAAATCAGCTACAGAGTCCTCATCATCATCTGAGGAATACAGAACACAATTATGATTAGAAACAAAACCTAAATGCCAGAGTCTAACAACTACTCCAACAGATTAAAAATGTGCACACCAGTGACAGTAGTAGGGGTAAGCAGGTATTGACAAAATAAAGTGATCTTTTCTAGGATTTGTGACTATACCAACATTCCTCTTTTTGGGAAGGAAGGTGAAGCAAAGAACTGGGGAGTTTAATAAATGCTTACTCTACGTGTTTTCTCTGTGCTCTGCGGGCCAGGAGCCAAATTTTCCAATTCCTATTTTAGTATATGTGCTGCCGAAGTGAGCACTGATTTTCCAATTCTTAATCTCTCCAGCTCACTATAGCTCCAACCCTGTCAGGGGCTGAAAAACTAGGTGTTCTGTAAAAACCTGCTAAAATGAATACTTTGTGCTTTCAGCATGGCCAGAAATTTCTGACACAGCCTGAACCCAACAAGGAACTTTCTCAAAGGACAGAAATAGGTTATTGGCACCCAGGAGGGGCTGCTTTCAGAGCCTGGCATGGTACATGGAGATATTGAAGTCTGGAGAGATGGATGGGATGACAGCCCACTCCCACAGTAAGCTGTGAGGAGCACCCAGCAGCCGGAAGGTGACCGGGGCCAAAGGCAGCATCCCGCATCCCGCCTGAGCCTAGCTCCGGTAAACGGACAGCTCCAGCCAGGCCTGGGGAGGGAGGAAGACCTGAAGCCATGATTGGGGAGAAGACTCCTGCCAGCAGAGTCCACCCCTCACCCCCACACCACAGCCACCCGCCTCTTGCCCTCTTATTTCTTGTCCTTAACAATGCCCTGAGGCTGCTCTAAAATACACAACAGGTGCCTCCACTCTTGGTGCTAATAAGGAAGCTGTTGCTCCTTAATGAAGCATCGTTCCTGACTCCCTGTCCCAGTCCACATCTCCTTTCAGCCTTTTCTATTTAAAACCCTTTCCTAGGTTGGTTTCTTTGAAGTCAACCAACCCACCTTTGTTTTCTGTAGGCTTTATAGTTTTTGCTGTAACAGCTGACCTTATCTTTTTCTCAGTAGGACGAGTTTCAGGGTTGCATTGCTCTGAAAGAGACACAAATCAGATGCACGTGTCATTTCTGCTTTAGTGACAAGGCCGCACTTCCCCACCAAGCCAGCATCTAGGTGGGAAACATGTATAGGGAAAGGGATGTGAGTAGGGACAGGGATGGATACAAAGGAAGCGAGGAATCCAATCAAAGGGCAGCATCCAGAAAATGAGTAACCATGAGCAGAGGATGGAGGAAGCAGGCCTCATGCACCCTGAAGGGCTGTCCTCACCCTCCTTATCCCGCCTAACCAAAGGGCTCTCACCAAGGTTAAGTGGCACACTGACTTCAATTAGCAAACTATTTTCTCAGCAGTTTCAGATGCCAAATCTGCATGTACCACATGCCACTGGGATTACAATGATGAAAGTCATGAGACCCGCTCCAAGGGGTTGAGCCTTAGGGATGACAGCTAGACATGAGTAAGCGGAGTCTGATCTACATCACCTGAAAGGACTGGAAGACAAAGGGGAAGCGCTGCCAGGTGGAAAAAGCATTCCTGGGAGAAGAAGGTCAGACCCCTGGAAGACTAGGGTCACGGTGCAAGGACAAGGTGACGAATAACTCCCAGCTGATGGACAGGGTAGGCCCAGCGGGTGGCTGGGGCTCAAGTGCAGAAAGAAGAATGCCACATTTTGGCCTTTCCTCCCCAAACCAATGTCTCTCATCAAAGGCACAGGTAGTTTTCAGGGTAGAAAGGTCTTTTGTTTTTGTTTTTTAGAAAGGTCTTTAATGGTGTGACACAGTCTCACATGCCACAGATGTTTATCTGCATCAATACCAATTACCAGAAGTGCCCCCAACCCCCTTCAGCTGTGACAACAGAAACATTGTCACAATGTGTCTCCCTCCAGAGAGCAACACCTCTAAGAACCACTGACTGCTACAGAGGCTGGAGTTGAGTGAATTACTCAAATGTGTATTTCAGGAGAAACCCTGGCAGCAGCAGGGCCACACAATTAAGAGCTCCAGATTACTTCGAAATGCCCTACGGGGTTCATAGAAGTGCCACCCAAGGCCGCACAGCCAGAGCAAAGCTAACCAACCCGGCTTCCCAACCCTATTTCCAGCAAAAGCAGTACGAATTCTTTCCTATCTTGAACTGAAAAGTTTCCTTTGAAAATGGTCCAGAGTTATTAGGATAAAAAAAGAGCCAAGAGAGCAATGCAGCTTGAAACATACCTCTAAGTCAGACACTGCAGAGGATGACACTAGATACATAAAATCAATAAGGAACTTTAACCAAAGAGTCAACCCAGCATGAAGTCCTGGGCAAGAGTCCCTGAGGACTGAGGAGACGCCCAGGATTGGTGTTAAAATGTAGATGTAGCAGCACTAATCACTACCTCGTTGTTTCTTTCTTTCTTTTTTTAAAGATTTATTTATTTATTTATTTAATGATAGACACAGAGAAAGAGGCAGAGACACAGGAGTAGGGAGAAGCAGGCTTCATGCGGGGAGCTGGACGTGGGCCTCGATCCCCGGACTCCAGGACCGCGCCCTGGGCCAAAGGCAGGCGCTAAACCGCTGAGCCACCCAGGGATCCCCTACCTCGTTTCTTTTTTTTTTTTTTTTAATAAATTTTTATTTATTTATGATAGTCACAGAGAGAGAGAGAGGCAGAGACAGAAGCAGGCTCCATGCATCGGGAGCCCGACGTGGGATTCGATCCTGGGTCTCCAGGATCGCGCCCTGGGCCAAAGGCAGGCGCCAAACTGCTGCGCCACCCAGGGATCCCCCCTGCCTCGTTTCTAACAAGATACTTAAAAGAAAGAAAATGGGGGCACCTGGGTGGCTCAGTAGTTGAGCAACTGCCTTGGGCTCAAGTCGTGATCCAGGGATCCTAGGATCGAGTCCCACAGTAGGTTCCCCACAGGGAGCCTGCTTCTCCTTCTGCCTCTGTGTCTCTCATGAATAAACAAAAATCTTGAAAGAAGATAAAGGAAAGAAAATGTTCTTGTTAACTTCAGCCAGCACAGCTTCAGCGACAGAATACTAAGATGAAGAAACTGCTAAGGTAGACTTTGATGGCCAAAGCTGTCCCCCATTTTTTTTCAAAAAAGATTTATTTATTCGAGAGAGAGAGAGAGAAAGAGAGAGAGAGAGAGAGAGAGAGACAGACAGACAGGCAGAGGGAGCAGGCTCCACGCAGGGAGCCCGACGCGGGACTCCAGGGTCACACCCCGGGCTGCAGGCGGCGCTAAACCGCTGAGCCACCGGCGCTGCCCCGCTGTCCCTCATTTTTATTTTTTTTTGTCCCCCATTTTTAAGGGGGGGGGACCGGTCTGAAGGACGAAAGGTAGAGAAATTTTTGACTTTTCAAAATCCGGGAAGGCATTCACAGAGGTCCCCCGGGAGCTCCGACGGGAGAGAGCGAGGCAAGGTCAGGAGGGAGTGCGGCGGGACGCGGGGCCTGCCCGGGGGAGGGGAGGGCGGCGGAGGGAGGGGGAGGGGAAGGGGGGTCTTATTACCTTTGTGTTTCCGGAAGCAGGTCACCGAGCAGCTGTAACAACAGAGGCCACGGGCCGCGTCAACCCGAAAGGCCTCGCGGGCTCTCCCGGGGACCCCGCCGCCCCGCCCGGCCCCCCGCCGCCCCCCCCCCGCCCTCCTCCCCACGACCCCCTCGCTCACTATGGCACGCGGCAGGCGGGGCAGCGGTATTTGGGTTTCTCCAAGCAAATCACGCAGACGACGGCGCTGCAATTGAGCGACGCCATGGTCGCTGGCGGCCTCGCTCCCACGGGACGTGCCAGGCTCTGGCCGAAGGTTCCACGCCGCTCGCGTTTTTCCCCCGTTTCCTTAACCGGGACCAATCGGCGCGCGGCACTCCCTGGCAGTCAGAAGCAATGGATCGATCCTGCTCCTTGCTCCAGTCCTGAGGAGTAGAAAGTCGATGCACTCGATGCGCATCCAGTAGCGGGTCTGACGTCCCGGATTAGATCACGCTGTCGCCGGAGAATTTGTTATGTAGCCCCGTCCCTGTCCCTAGGGAACTCTGTGACTTGGACCAAGTCATCGTCACTCTCCAGTTCTGTTGCCCCACAGGTAAAAAGAATGTGGGACTGGGGCAGCCCGGGTGGCTCAGTGGTTGGGCGCCGCCTTCAGCCCAGGCCTGATCCTGGAGACTGAGTCCCGCCTCGGGCTCCCTGCGTGGAGCCTGCTTCTCCCTCTGCCTGCGTCTCTGCCTCTCTCTCTCTCTCTCTCTCTCTCTCTCTCTCTCTCTCTCTCTCCCTCCCTCCTTCTCATTAATAAATAAATAAAAATATTAAAAAAAAAAAAAGAATGTGGGACTAAATGCCCTTTACCTCTGACTTGGAATTTCTGGATCTTGCCAGGGCACTGGGTTTTCTTCCCCCTCGACACTCCATTTACTTATATCTAGCAAATGAGAAGTCCAGACCCTGGCCAAACCAGAATCGGTTCGATTGAGTGACATACACGTGCTCTTCCCTACTTAAGCCCCTTTTATCTCAGGAAAGAAAGAGGAGGCTTAACCACTGACAAATGTTTATGGAACTCCAAGTGACAGCACTGTCCTGCTCACATGCTGGGCTGGGGACACCCAGGCAATAGTAGGCACAGTCTCTGTCCTCTAGGAGCCCAAAGCTTAGAGTAAAGGCAAAAGGGGGAAGGGAGACAGACTCTGTCTTAGGTCCTGCCGATGCTAGCCTGCACTTGCTCAGCCCTGAGAGTGCCTCTTCAAATTTTGCACCCTCGCCTCCTCACTTGACTCACCCTAGTCCCAGCCCTTAGTGAGATAGCTTGGTCAGGGGACAGATGAGTGAGCTCTGGCCTGGAGGTGGGGATCCCGGCCTAATGAGTCCAGATGGATGAACTGTGACGGGCCTTGAGTGGCACCTCAGGCTTTAGGAACAATTACGTTTAACTGGCAGCCTGTGCCTCCTTGAAGCCGTAAGCACTGCCCAGCCTAACCAGGGCTCCCATCCCACATGTCCAGTGCCCCACCTAGGGTCATAAGTCATTCTGACTCCCAAGTGCCTCCTCCTTTGTGTTGAGCCTATCAGCCCTCAGGATCCCACTACAATAAGGGCCCCACATGAGTATAATTGTTTTTGTGGATAAATCTGCTATGCCCAAGGCAACTGTTTGAGTCTTGGCTCAAACCCCTCCATGGCTATGTGACTTTTACTTTCTCTGAGGTACCTCACCTATTGGTGTGGATGTGCACGCCTGCTTCCCTGAGCTGTTGAGAAGCAGAAGACTGTAAAATTGTTTGTAATTTGAGCAGAGCTGGAGACTCAGTGCTTGTGGGCCAGTGGCCACTGGGCCACATGGAGGGGCCGCTGCAGGTGGGGATGTCTCTCTGCACAACTTCAGTGGGAGACTGTGGGAGCAGATCATCCATTTCCATGTCATGCAGCTGAGACTCATTCTTCCTATGGGTGTGGGCCACGCCGCACCTGCGCAACCTCACAATGACCATGTGCAACCGCTACGATTCCATCCCTGTGTCTACCTCCCTCCTTGGAGACACTTCTAACATGACCTCCATTGGCTTCGCCCAGCGCTTCGCCAGAAAGACCAACAAACAGGTGTTTGTCAGCTATAACCTTTGAAATACAGACAGTACCTTTCCATTACTGGTACAGAACAGGATCAAGGAAGAAATGAAGGCTTTTCAGGAAAACTTCTGGCACAGTGGCAGAAGTGAGGATTTTTAACTTATGTAAAATATACATGTGAGTAAACAGGGATGCCTGGGTGGCTCAGAAGTTGAGCGTCTGACTTAGGCTCAGGGCATGATCCTGAGGTCTGGGTATCAAGTCCCACATCAGGCTCCGCGTAAGGAGCCTGCTTCTCCTTCTGCCTATGTCGCTGCCTCTCTCTCTGTGTCTCTCATGAATGAAAATATAAAATCTTAAAAAAACAAAATACATGTAAGTAAATGGATTGAATTTTTTTTTTGGATTGAATTTTTTAAAAATTTTGTAATTTGAAGCACTACAAAGCGTTGACACCCAGAGTCTGTAACTCCTGGAGCTCAGGTCCCAAACCTACGTGTGCAGATGTCAGGCCCTAAGTCCCTCAAGGCTGGGGTCCTGAAGCTCAGGCCCCTCCAAAAGGGTTCTGCCATCAGCCTCTATGGTCCACACTCAGGGAGCATAAGCCACTATCCATCCCTGCTTTGGCTTTGCCAAACTGTCCTGAGGATGCTGTCCAGTTCCTAGTGCTGAAGTGTCATGGATTCCCTACCTGCCCAGCATGCAGCTGCCCTTGTGTAAACCAGCACCGGCCTGAAATCTAAGACATGTCCACAATGACCCCCAAATCAGCAGCATTCCCTGTATTCTTTTTGTTTAAGATTTATTTATTTATTTATTTATTTATTTATTTATTTATTTATTTATTTTTAATTTATGATAGTCACACAGAGAGAGAGAGAGGCAGAGACACAGGCAGAGAGAGAAGCAGGCTCCGTGCACCGGGAGCCCAATGTGGGAGTTGATCCCAGGTCTCCAGGATCGCGCCCTGGGCCAAAGGCAGGCGCCAAACCGCTGCACCACCCAGGGATCCCTTATTTATTTATTCATGAGAGACAAAGAGAGAGAGGCAGAGACACAGGCAGAGGGAGAAGCAGGCTCCATGCAGGGAGCCCAATGTGGGACTCGATCCTGGGACTCCAGGATCATGACCTGAGCCAAAGTCAGACGCTCAACCTCTGAGCCACCCAGGCATCTCCATTTCCTTTATTCTTCAACAGCTGTGACCATCCCAGAGCCATCTCAGTAGGCCCATGCTTACCTGGGAAGGCCAAAGGTCAGTGATTTGTCTAGGCCATACTTGATTCCTGTGTCCTGACTGGCACCAGCTGACTATGTACAGCAACACTATCCACTCCAGATTTTTCCTGTGATTGTTTGGAGGCTGAGATCTGAAAGTCTCTATAATTTTCAAGGCTCGACACCCCCCTCACACACATCCAAACCATGCTGATTCCTCTACCTTTGGGTCCAGAGATGTTGATATAAGCAGAAAGAAGTTTCTGGAATTCCTCTCATGCACATTCCACACAGTAAAGACAGTCTTCCCTCTACTCTGGGAGACCCCCCAACTTCCCCAGACAGCTGCACCCCTCCTGCTCCAATGTCCAGTGAAGGAGGTGGCTCAGCTGTGGTGGCGATGAGGTTGAGGGACACCAAAAGGCCGAGCAAGCCCAGTATAGATCTTCTTGGCAGTGACCAGTTCAGAGAAAAATGACAGGCATGACTCCAGGCCCGGCAACTACATGTCCACACTGATGTAGCCACCCTTAGCAGTACCCTGGTTCTCCCTGGACCCCCGCCAAACCCATCCTAGCAGTTGTCGCACCTCCCCCAGCCGGACCAAGAGAGGGGTGAGGTAATAATCAAGGCAGAATTATTTTCAGAGCTCCGCCACCTTGCAGGCGCTGTCCAGCGCATTCTGGGGACCAACCCCAAAGCCCGGCGCTGTGCGTGGAGGGCCCGGCCCGGCGTCCAACGCCGCCAGAGGGCGCTCCAGGTCCAGATTGGCCCAGGTGTCGCGGAGCTCGAACTGGATTGGAGTCAACTCCACCCCAGTCGCCGTGGGAGCCAAGGCTGTCTCGCTGAGCAGGGAGGCGGAAATCCAGGCGCTGGCCGGTACCTCCAACATTGCCAAGTGGCAGGAAGGGAGTGGAAAGATCAGTGCTGAAGCCGGCGACCGGATGGGCAGGAGTGTCTCCTCCACGAAAGCAAGAGGACTCCAATTGCAACTGGCAGTCCGGGGACAACTCCCCGACCCCTATAGCCCTATGCTTCCTGGCATTCCCAGGGGGAGGAGAGCCAGCTGCAAGCTGGCCACCCACATTAGCTGATAAAAGTTTAGCCATACTTCAGGAGCATAGGATTACTAACTAGGGCCTGAGCCACTTCTCTGCACCTTCCCCGGTGGGCAGAGGGATCTAGTCACCCAACCTGAGCTACATGTTGCAGTTATCAGAGACAGGGATTCATTAGGTTGGGCCCTCAGCTTTTTGCTGCAGCCCTAACACATTTATCCACACACATACACATACTCTCCGCCAGGGCATAGGGGACCCAGGGCCAACACCAAAAGAAGTGTCCGAAATTGGGGTTTTTAGAGGACCTACTGCCTCATTCTCTTCTGCTCCCCCACCCCTATCTCTCACTCTCCTCTGGTATCTAAGTAGTTTATCTTAAGGTGATTGAGGTTGCTGGTGAGAATCAAATTAAGGAAGCCTGAGATCCAGGTGAAGTGGAGTAATCAGTTTCTAACTCTGCGTGTTATTTTATAGCAGTGAAGTTATATTCATTCCCAAATTCTAGACAATAACAGGCTGACCTACAATCAGGCTTCAAGAACTTCCAAACAGCAAAAGGGATAAAGAATAATTGCATTATTCCTGGCCCCATAGCTTTTGGGAGAGCACAGACAAAAGAAGCCACCATTGTTTCATGAACACACTCATCCTACTACCCAAACCCCACACTTCTTTTCACACCCTGTCCCACTTGCAAATCCACATGGATCTCACCTTATATTGCCTGGGACAAAAGAGACCAGAGGAATCAGAACTTCCCAGCCAGATTCTCCAAGAAGCCTTTCAGGGTCCCAGGTGGACAGGGAGGGGATCCGGGGCTTTACACAAACCTCTTAACCATGTGGTAGTGGTGCATAGGAACTCTGCTCTGTGAGGAGCAGGTAGGAGGAACTGAGACGCCAAATTCTCTTCCCCCTCTCTTAAAACTAAAGACAAAATAAAGACTCCAGCCAAACAAAAACCATGAGAATTCTTCACTAGTAGATCTGTACCAGAAAGTTATGCAGGCCAAAAGAAAATGGTATCAGATAGAAATGATACCACTACATGC